TTATGCTAAATTGAAAATAAGAAATTGAGAATTTAGAACATAACAACAAAAAAGAAGATGAGAAGTAGGACTAGAAATCTACATAAATCTTAGAATAGTTTGAAGGACTTTTGAGAAACTTTCATCTCTCCAACAAACTCCAACAACTCTCCTATGATTACAACCCTCCTCTGCTATTGACTTTTTCTCCTATATCAATCTGAGCCTTAGGTTGGCCCTTTTGACCCTCAAGCTAACCTATTTGGGCTATGGCTGAGCTCACTTCAGCTAGACTCTTTTTCTCTTGAAATAATGTGCAGATTGGTACCATATCAAAATCCATCTTGATGAAACAATTGCAATATGAACTCAAGCATGGCAAAGAAACCTTCTTGCTAGCCCTACATGTGGTGGTGCAAGATAAGCAACTCCCAAACCCACCAACACGTACTAAATAATTATTGAACAAGCAAGAATAGGTGCCCAATTAATTACCAACCTATTTTTCATCAACCACATAGTAGACTTTGTGATAGGGGTAAACCCTTTGACCTACACCCCCATACAAGATGTCACCCTATTTAATAGAACGTTGATGAAAATTTTGTGTTATTATAAGTGAGTCACATACAATTGTTGAAGTCCCCCCTTTAGTGTGCTTGCCATCTTCCAAAGAAGAAAGACAAGATTAAGGTTTTATGTGAACTATCAAGCAGTCAACAAGTTAATAATTTGCAACAAACATCCATCCCTAAAATCGAAGACATATTCTATCACTAAGTACAACTTGTGTCTTCTCCAAGTTTGACTTGGAGGGTAGATAATACCAAGTCTGCATCCACAAGGGAGATGAACCAAAGATACAATGTGTCATGAAATATGGCTCCTTCAAATTCATTATGATGCCATTGAGGCTAATCAATTCCCTGATGACCATCTACACTCTAATGAGTGATATATTTTCATGTACCTTAACATCTTCATAGTCATCAATCTAGATGATACCTTTGTCTATGACATTGTAACCTACGAGAGCATATGGGGTACTTTTGGATAATACTTTAACTCTACCAACATCAATTATTTTTAAACATAGTGAAATTACAATTCATTGAGTAGGATATTGACTTCTTGGGACACCATAGGAGGCAAGATATGCATGGATGATACAAAGTTCAATGCCATCATCTATTGGCTAACTCTCACAAGTGTCAAAATGTGGTGGGTCCTTAAGACTCACAAACTACTATAGACACTTTATAAATGATTCTCCAAGATTGTGGCTCCCCTCACCAACCTCCTATGTAATGAGACTACATAGTATTGACGTGAACTATACAAATATGTTCTCTTGATTCTAAAGAATATAGTCATAGTAAAATTAATCCTTTGACTCTAAAACTTCATCAAATTCTTTGCAATCTACACTAACATAAACATTATGATATTAGAACACACTCAGTCACATTCAAGAACTGCAAGCTCAATAATGTGACTACTTGGTCCATGAGTGGGAGTTGACTAAAAATGTGGGAACTGCAAACATTACATACTATGTAGTTATTTCACCATTTTCACTAAAAATGTGACCACCAACTACTTCACTTCATAGCCTAAGTTGTTGCCTAAGCAAACATGATGGTAACAATTTCTAACAAAATATGACTTTATGATATAACACAAGTAAGAAATGTAGAATTTCATCAGCAGAACATTTATTAGACAAGCACTATCTAAACACCTCAATGTGGTGTAAATGTCCAGATCATCCACATACTTCCTCCAACAAGTGTGGGTGACATAATTTACATTAAAAGATGCTGCATCTATGTACCCGCTGCCCAATACTAACAAGTGTTAATCTTTGAAGTTTATGATACCCATGGCACAACCACTTGAGACAATGGTGTACCTTGGTGCTCATCACCTGTCACTTCTTTTGGTCAATGATATACATGAATGTCCAAGCATATGTGAAGTCCTCCCTCACTTACCAACAAGATAAAATGAAATGAAATAAATGATCTGAACTGCCTCAACCACTACCAATTTTGGTGGCATCATGGTAGATTATCACTGTACATTTCATTGCTGACCACAAATGGAATAGCACAATGTCATCGTAGCCACCGTTTATAAACTATCTAAATATGACATCTTTATGTTCACTCAGCAAAACAGCATAGTGGAAGAGACTACCTTATTGGTGCTAAGGCACATCATCAGACACTAGGGACTGTCTATAGTTATAATTTTTGACTAAGATACACAGTTAATTAGTTAGCTATGAAAAGCTCTCTTTGCTACCTAACTACTATTCTCCACTAACTACTACCCCAAAACAAATGGTTAGATAGAACATTTCAATGTTCTCCTCATCTAATATCTCTAGCATTACATGATGGTGACCCAAGACATTGCCCAACTAGCTTCCAACTGCAGCAAAATAATACAAATAGGTTTCTCTCTATTTGAATTGGCAGTAAATCGTCAGCCACTCATTTCCCTACAATTTATGGAGGCTTATGTACATCATTCATTACTCTTGTATTTGACACATGAGCAAATAGAAATGCTAGAAGAGGCCAAGGACAACCTGTAGTAGGTGACACAATGAATGAGGTGGAGTTCAAAGTTTCGACTAAGAACTATGAATTTCTCACCATCCACAAAATCATTTGCAACACCAAATGGTACAAGTAAGAACTGTGGCATACTAACTATAGCTCCCACACTAATTATATCATTACTCATCCATCATATTTTCCATGTATCATTACTCAAGCAATATAATGAGAATGTCATGGACCTAAAACAAAATCAACCTCTACCCACCTCCAATTGTCTACACAACATTCTCTAAAAAGCTTAAAGTTATCCTCAACCACCAAGTCATAAATAATGAAGAATGCTACCAATACCACCGTTACATAGATTTTGTGATCCAATGGGAAGGGGAGCTGCTGGAGGCATCCACTTGAGTGCTACCTCTTCTTTCTAATGAGGACATTGAACTTTTCAAGGGGGAAGAATGTTACATGAGAACAACTCATAAGGTGCAAGTAATAAGCAACATAAAGGATAGAAGTAGGACATATGACAAAGTAGTATAAGATGACATAAGTATGATGACAGCTATGCACAATGTGACCAACACAAGTAATGCAATCAATGCACACAACACGACTGAGATACATGATGTTCACTTGTCATTGTGTTGAAATGCATATTATCTAGTAATATTGATAACTAAGACTTAATAAAATATTAGTATAGAAGTAAGTCTTAGGTCGAACACAAGGAGATTGATTAATTCATTGTGAAAACTAATTTAGCTTATATATAAAGTGATTTTAATATTTTATCAATATTTAATTAAAATAATAAAATAAAAGGGTAAGGTGAGAATAATAAAAGAAAGGAAAGAAGAAAAGAGAGAGAAGAAATCTCTCATGAAAGAGAGAGACACAAAGAAGAGTAGAGAAAAAGATCTCACAAGGGAGAGCGGGAGAGAGAAGGAGAGAGAGAGAGAGAGAGATCAATAGAGAGAAAGAGAGAGAGATTGATTGATGGAGAGAGAGATTTAATGAGAGACGGAGAGAGAAGAAGTAATCTCATGAGAGAGGGAGAGAGAAGAAGTAATCTCACGAGAGAGAGAGAGAGAGAAGAAGCAATCTCACGAGAGAGAGAGAGAGAAAAATAAGATAATAATAAAGCAAGAGAGAAATATAGTCAACCCGTTTTCATGGTGACCATTATTCTCAAATGAATGTGCTTCACACACATGACATGAGGTCAGTCGTGAATGTCTTCATATTGTTTTAATTGTTGAACAATCATTAAGCAACCTTTAATCTTGCTAATTTTGTGTTCAAAAATAAAAAAATATTTGTTATTAGCAGAATGTCAAGAACATGAATACGTCAAGATTCAACTATGAAAATTAATTGCATAAGTTGAAAATAATCTTTGCTTAATCTCAGACAAGTTTTGGAAGATTCAAAAGAAGAATGAAGATTATTCATCAAGTTTTGAATTAATTATATTCATTTAAATTGAAACATGCATGAAATAGAAATAACTTGTTGTAAAATGTAAATAAATGACAAAGTATGTAAGTAAATGTTAAAAGTAAGAAATAAATCATTGTCTAAGTTTAGTCTACTTTCTAGACAACTAGAGACACTAGTATGGTGGTTTGGTTTCGTCCAAATGTACCACACCAAGCTAGAAGTCACAAAAATATCATCTAGAAGTATTGCACTGCTTGCTGCAAAGATTCACCAAAAGGGGGTTCAACCATGCTGTCACCATCATCTGGAGGAAGAAGGGAAGAGCTAACCACTTGTAGGAGGCCTTGAGTGTAGTCAAGGAAGGAAGGAATGAACTTGCTGATCACCGGGGGCATTGACTGTGCAAAAGAAGGGAGGAACAAATTGTCATATTCAAGGCTGTCATCAGAATTTTAAAGATAATCGATAATATGTTTTACTAGATAATAATTAATTATTAGATTTTTATCCCTAATGGTGATATGTTTGAGAACTTAAGTTCCTAGTATTGTGATGCTTCACAAGCCACTAAATCAAATGTTCTTGGTCACATGATGCATTGATTGATACAAGATCTACCCACCACAAACCATTGTCAACTAAGAACTTAAGTCTCTTACCATGGCACTTCTTTAGCCATCAAATCATCATTTAAGGCCATGTGCATATTGAGCAACATCAAATTCATAAACCATCAATGGATTACTTTATGTATCTAGTATCATGGTAGCTCACCCATCACACAATCTAACTTATCTGATCACATGGCTCGCTAAATACCATTGGATCATATTGCGCTCTAGTGACTCGCTTGAGACACACAAAAATATTTAATCCCACATTAGAAATATTTCAGCATATGAGGTGAATATAAATCAAAACTACTGTCTCTCATCAAAGATCCCTTCTCTTGAAATAAAATAATGCTCAGGACCATCTTAGGAGAAGGTAAAAAAGCAATCTACCCTCATGCACATGTGTGTGTACAATGCTCTTTGGTCCACAACTAGTTGGCCATTGGGATGTGGTAGGAGAGTGACACACACATTGATAGAATGAGTCCTTCATCAGTCAAGCCCAACTATGTAGCTCCCCTTGTGTAGGTTTACCTACTCGATTGCAACACCCCTTTGGGTCAAATATTGAGTGCTGGCTTGCTAGCGGGTGGAATATTAATATATTATTTTATTTTTATTTTTTAAAATAATTAAAAATTATGTTAAGTATTTTAACTATTTTTTATATATATTTAAATAATCAAAAATTATGTTAAGTATTTTAACTTTAGACTTCTAAAATTAATCATATATCCTATATTTATTCTACAAATTAACAAAATAAAATAAAATAATAAAACTAATTAAAACACAAAAATCTAGTTTTAACAATGCACCACTTGATGGGTGAGTATGTGCAAAAACTCATGCAATGACACGAGTGAAAGTGTGTGGGTGTGCTCATAAGGCTCTTGCATGAGGCCACCCACACCAGACCAACATGCACAACATCCGACATCTAACATGCAAGTGCACATAAACACTCTTGTGCATAGTGGGAAAGCAAATCAAGATGCCAACTAAGCATAATGGGACACAAAATTAACAATGTGGCTCATGAGGCAACCCTAGCACTCAAGATCAATCCTCAATGGGCCTTAGAAAGGGATGCTGACCCATTGTAACCTCAATCTTGACAATAGAGTGTTCCCCTCCACGTAGGAGGTTTGTGGTATCCTTGGCACCCCCATCACCTAGAGTGAGTAAGAGAGAAGAAGAAAGACAAAGGCTAGTTGAGAACACTAGAGGAAGTGACTTAATGCTGAGACATTGTGTTACCAATGTGACACTATGGCCTAGACTAGGCCAACCCCAATCCAAAGAACATTATTCTATTACCTCTAAGGCTGGGTGTGGTAGGGCTCAATGGTCTATAAAACTTGTACTTCATTTATTGGTTCTATCAATTCTCTCTCTCTCTCTCTCTCTCTCTCTCTCTCTCTCTCTCTCTCTCTCTCTCTCTCTCTCTCTAGTTGATCAAATAGCATATTCATTCTCCTTGGGATTGTTAGATTAGGCTTTGGCAGCCTAATTATCATTGAGCATAAATAAATTCAATAAATCTAAATTGCCCATTCATTTCATGAACGGGAACATCTCTATTTACTCATCCAAAGGAGCCTAATAAACTTACCTGAAATAAATAAACTATCTACCATCCCAAAATACGTGGGGATAATAATACATTGGAATGGGTCCCATACTTTTGTTAACCCAGATTAAGCATTTACATTGAGGACCAAGGACTGAGCTAAATCAAGACTCTCCAAGCACATATTTTCTCTCAAGGCTTGATTTTGAGGGAAAGGAAGTTTACTCTTGGAATTTATCGTATAAAACGTGTAGGAACGTAGATTGGTCACACATGATTCTCGGTGAGATCTCTTCGCCGTCTTTCTGCCGACAACGGAGCTTGTGCCCCACCATGGACGGAGCTTCTGCGTCGTCTAATGGCACACGGCACATGGCGGAGCCCAGCCCACGAATGGTACTGCCGGGCCCGCATGCATGGCTCCCCTCTTCACCCCCCACCGCCTTCGGTAAGCCGCCTTTCTTTCCTCCGATAAGGCTCGGCCCGTTGACCAATGGCGCAGGGGAGGAGTGTGGTACTAGTCACCTTCGCCGATGAGAACGGCGAGCGAGGGGGCCCTCCTATGGCGGCGTGCGGAAAAGAGGGACCTCTCTATGGGACCCATTCTTGTGATCCGCGTGGGCACGCTCCTCACCACAGCCACACCCCAGGCTCCCCTTCCTCGCATGGCGTGCACGTTTCTACCTCCCCTGTCCCTCACCAAATCCTTACCTCCTGGTTGATTCGTTTACTTCCGCGGAGGTGGGACGAACTGGTGATCACTGGGAGCGCTGGTATTCCCCAGACCGACTTGTCCCCGCACCGCCCCTCTTCGCCGCCTCTTCGCCGCAGGGAAGAGGGGAGAGGAGATCGGAGAGGGGGAGTGGCCTACTAGCTCTTCGCCTACGGGCCGAGGATTCCCCGTCGACTGCTCGGCTCGGTAAGAATGCTTCGATTTCCTCCGCTTGCCGTGGAATCGGGCCGTTTTCTTCTCGATCTGTAGATTTTCCTGAGGCAGATGATTTGGGAGGAGGAGGTCCCCGCAGATGCTAGTGCGGGGGAAGAGAGAATCAATCTTTCCGTCCTCCCTCCCTCCCTCTCGACGAACCTCAACAGGCTACTCTGCTATTTCTGCCGGATTCCATTCTCTCCTCCTCTTCATCGCTGCCCTCTTGGTTCCATTTATAAATGATTTACATGGTTTATTTCCTTCTCTCGGGGGGTTTCTTCGCGGACTATTTCTGTTTACTCGGGTTAATTGACGGGGCGGAATCCTTTTTTCCCTTCTTTTGCAGACGATGGAATTGCTCTCGTGTTCTTCCTCTCTACCATCTCATTCCTCGCACATCAGCTTTGGCTGGAAACTCGTGGGCAAGAAAGGGAGACATCTCAAGCCATTCTTCCATCACAACCAAGACGGAATTCCATCTGCTGGGCTGAAGTCCAGATGGATCTCGGGGATTTCCTGGAGGGATGGATACAGATCCAAGGCTTCATCTTGGGGTTATCAGAAGGGGACAGGATTCAAGAGGCCAGAGAAGATTTTCAACTGTTCTGTGGCGGAAGGAGACATGATCCTTGGAGATGTCTCAAGGAAGGTCGACTCTGCCTCAAAGGTTTCGATTCCCAGTCTGCCTGAGGAACTCCATGGCACGAGCAGCTCGCCAGTCAGCAGCTACATGTGGCAATGGAAGCCGAAACTCAACGTCCACTATGAGAGAGCAGGAGCAGAGAATGTTCATGCCCCAGCTGTCTTGTTCCTTCCGGGCTTTGGAGTTGGATCGTTCCACTACGAGAAGCAGCTGAGGGATCTGGGAAGAGAGTATAGAGTTTGGGCTTTGGATTTTGTTGGGCAGGGGAGGTCATTACCCTTCGAAGATCCTGCTCCGCTGGGGAAATCAAGAAGCACCATTTTCGGAGAGGGAGATATCTGGGGGTTTGGGGAGGAACCTGAGCCCTGGGCCAAGGAGCTGGTTTACTCTATCGATCTGTGGCAAGAGCAAGTGTCCCATTTCATAGATCAGGTATGGTAAAACCGTGTCTGTGTTTCAGTGTTTCAGCTTCTCAATCATCATTTCATTGATTCTCAATGAAAATATTCTATCTTTGATTCTCAAATGTCGTGCCTTTTCCTGTTTTTCTTGAAGAATTTCAGGTTCAGGTAAAACTTATGGTGAATATCCTGGCTTACGGTTTCCGGAAGATCAGTTTTTTCTCCGTGTACATTTCAGATCGATACTATTTTGTGATTTGACATAAATTCTTGGGTCAATTAAAATACCTTTCCCATTCATATTGTCCATCATATTATCTCGGTTGTCCTAGTCTACAAGACCGTTCTGACATGGCTTATTTAATGGAAAGCTGCTTGTTTTCCTATACAATCGTGGTTCCTTTTTTTGTTGGCTTACATGAAAGCTCTGCTTTCATCTCTGTTTGTGTCCATGAAATAACATGTGTAGATTACTCTTTTCATGTTGCAGGTCATTGGCGAGCCGGTTTATGTGGTGGGCAACTCCCTGGGCGGCTTTGTAGCTCTATACCTAGCAGCTTGCGATCCACAGATGGCAAAGGGGGTCACGCTGCTTAATGCAACACCGTTCTGGGGACTACTCCCCAACCCCGTAACATCACCTCGGCTAGCTAAGCTTTTCCCTTGGGCTGGGACATTTCCACTGCCGCCTACTGTGAAAAGGCTCACTGAAATTGTGTAAGTTCATAGCCTGGAAGTTAATAACGGTGAAAGCTTCCTTTTTCTTAATCTTTAATTAAGATATAAAATGGGCGTGATCAGTAGAATTTTGATAAATACTTCCATAAGAAGGAAAGGGTTTTAAAGGGTTCTCCTTTCAGTTATCTGGCAATGACTTGCCTGTGTTCTTCCTTGGAGTCAATGTGATTCTCTTCCTGAGTACAAAAAATCGTCCTTTGTTTGGCTTTCAGATGGCAGAAGATAAGTGATCCTAGGAGCATACGTGATGTGCTCAAGCAAGTGTATGCTGATCACTCAACAAACATTGACAAAGTATTCTCCACCATAGTGGAGGTGACACAGCACCCTGCTGCACCAGCATCCTTTGCCTCCATTATGTTTGCTCCTAGGGCGCAGCTGTCTTTCCATGAGGCATTGGTCAGGTACTGATATGATTCATCCAGCTAGCCGACTTTACTACCCTGGTCTTTTAAATTATGTATGACATCATATGGGAAAAGACCATTTAGAATGTGGAGGCCAGCCTGTATTAGGTCTTAAGGTGTGGGCAAGCCAAAATATTCCTGTTTCTATTCCAGCACGGTATCAGAGGCTAGCGTTATGGTTTCCTAGAGCAGAATATAACGAGGTAGGCTCAGTAGGCCCATCTTTTTTGTTCATGGGCAGCATGTCTGAATTTTATGCGTGGTTACATGGACAGCATAAATGGGGTGCACGGTCCTGCAGCTCCAATTAGAAACCCTAATATTCCAATTTCCATTCTTGTTAGAAGATTTGCATCTTTTTTTTTCATCATTTCTAACTTTGATTCTGATTTGTTTGGCAGGTGCCAAGAGCAGGATGTGCCAATTTGTCTGATGTATGGGAAGGAAGACCCCTGGGTGACCCCAATGTGGGGCCTCAAGGTGAAACGGCAAGTGCCTGAAGCCCCTTATTATGAAATCAGCCCAGCGGGTCATTGCCCTCATGATGAAGTCCCTGAGGTATCTGCTCAGATTCTGAACATTTATCTGCCATTAGGTTTTTAGTCCACTTGTTAGTGTTTTTTTTTTCTCATCTCTAATAATTACAGCATGAAATATATACACCTTTGATAATTTATTGAGGAAGTAAGGGCTATGCCAGTGCAGCAGCCTTATTCCTGTAGATTTTGTTCTATCTATGGCATCTCTCATCAAGGTACAGGAAGCAAAGCAATCATATCATGAAATAGAATCTAAGCCTTTTGCGGATCATCATCTTAATCTTACTGGTCATCAACTGAGAACCACGTTAACCAAAAGTATATATCTTGGTGTAGAATGTAACCCTTTTGCGGATCATCATCTTAAACGAGTAATTTTCCCTGTTCAATCCCCTGAAAATCGAATGTAACTCAGTGGCGCTTCAATCTAGGACCAGTTCTTGTTTAAGACTAATTCAGCTGTAATCCACTTGGTAATATGAACTCCTCATTAGGGTATTCTGATTCGGAGCATTAAAATCATTCTGTGGGATTACTTCTTTTCTGCTTCGTTTAATCTCTGTCATCTTTTCATGGAGCAGGTTGTGAATTACCTGTTGCGCGGGTGGATAAAGAACGTGGAGTCTCAAGGCCTGGTTTCTCTACCCCTCCTTGAAGGCTTGGAGCCCATCGAGTATGGCCTCTCGAGGGAGCTGGAGTTCATCAAAGATGGGTCTCACAAGTCGATAAAAGTCAACGTCAGAGGGTCAAAACTTTCCCTTTGGAAGCCAATAAGCTCCTTTGTCAACTCCCGCCTCTTGAGCTCCGGGATCACCTCACTATAATCGTACTGCTCTAGACTTCTCCTCCATAGGCTCTGTAGATGCTCTTAAAAGTTTTATTCTTTAATTTATTGTGTATAAAAAGTAAATCAGAATCCATCCACATGCTCTGATAATTCAGTGCTGTAGCTTGTAAATGTAGCATGAAGTTCCATATGGGTTGAATCTATGATAATTTGGTCTATAAAGGAGGCTTTTTTCTCCTGCCAAGGTCTCTCCAAGGTGGGAGGTAAGGATCCCCAGACACTGATTGAAGAACACATTTTCTAGGAACCCTATACAAGCAAAAACCCTAATTGTGGGAAGCCTTATGGTGAGTTGTCCATGAAGATTGTTGCTTCTTTTGCTAAGATTTGAGGTTTCGAAAAAAAATTGCTCTGAATTATTATTAGTTGTTAGTATTATTACCTGGTTCGAATCATTAATCAACAATCTAAAGTTGCTAATATTATCTCATAATGTTAGTTTTTATCCAAAAGGGCTGCAATTAGTTATGATTAGTTGATGATCCTCTTTGTACGCACATGAAACAGTGTGAGTTGGTCTTTGATCCATCATTTCGCTTCTTCTTCGTCTATCTATATGGGGCTGGCTCATTCTGTGCTGGAGCACTGCATATCGCAGCTCCTAGAGAGGACTATGATATTTTACCTAAATAAGAATGTGGATGAACAATTCCTATCACTAACCCAATAAAAACAAAGAAAACTTATGATTAATTATTAACCCAATAAAAATATTAACTATCGTCACAAACTCTACTTGATCTCCTCAAGGCTCTAAACTCAATGCAGCAATAAACAGAGAAGAGGAAATACGAAATCAAGCTAAACTCTAATATTTCATTCTCAAGTTCAAATGATAATGTAGGACTTATTTATTTATACCAGTCTTGAATGATACAATTATATTGGACCCATTTTAAACTAAATCAGTCCAGTTCATATAAGAGAGGAAAGAAATTTAAGTACACCCAAACAATATGAACTTAAATACAAAAAAAAGAAGTATTCATAGAGTTGTTGGCTCGTGAAATAGGAGAGAGAAAGAAAATGGCATAATTAAAATTATGTCAAAAAAATGTTCAAGTACACATTTATATAGGCCCAATATGAGCGTATCAGATCCCATTGGCATAAGTGAAACCAATTGAGCAGATCCGATCTACTTGTGAACAAGGGGGTCCAAGTATTAGACTAATATGACTTATTTACAAATAATATTACAGTTTTCATATAACTATAATTTCATTCTTAAACATTCCCCATCAAGTTGGTGAATGTATATCATACAATCCCAGCTTGGATATGAATCTTTGGAAGATTGGTCCACTTAATCCTTAGGTGAGAATATCAGCAAGTTGTTCATATATGGAGATATAAGGTGTGCAAATGTCACCACTACCTATTTTTTCTTTGATGAAGTGCCAGTCAATCTCAATGTGTTTAGATCAATCATGTTGCACTGAATTGTGAGCAATATTAATAGTTGATTTGTTGTCACACTATAGTTATCAATCTTGAGATCTTCTAAGATGCCCTTTACTCATAATACTTCACATATGTCTTGTGACATAGCTCTAAATTCAGAGTCTCCACTTGACCATGCAACTACTTGTTATTTTTTTACTACTCCAATTGATAAAATTGTCTCCAAAATATGTGCAATAACTTGAGGTAGATCTTCAATCAATAATTGAACCTACATAATCAACGTCAATATAAAGTTCTAAATCCATATGATTATTTTTCTTAAATAAAATACTTCTACCATGGGTCCCTTTTAAATATTGTAAAACTCCATCCACAGCTAATAAATGAACTTATTTAGGGTTATAGATAAATTGACTAAGGATACCCACTGAGTATGCTATGTTTGGTCTAGTATGGAATATGTAAATTAATTTTCCTACAAGACGTTTGTATCTTAATACATCTATAGGTTTGCTCTATTTTGCTTCTCCAAGCTTATGGTTTGAGTCTATAGGAGTAGTTGGTTTACCTCCCAACTTCTCAACTTCTTTAAGAAGGCTAATGATGTATTTTTGTTGGGATACAAAAATATCCCTTGTTTCGAGTGAGCAACTTCAATGCCAAAGAAATATTTGAGTTTTCCTAGCATCTTAATATTAAATTCTTTTAATAAACACTTAGTCGTGTTCTTTTTATTTCTGGTCATTTCTTATCACTATTATGTAATCAACATAAACCAAGAAGATTGTCCTTCCCCCTAAAGGTGAATGTTTAATAAACAATGTATCATCTCCACTACTAGGTTTATATCCAATTTCTCTCATCACCTTTGAGAGTTTGTCAAACCATATTCTTAGTGATTATTTAAGCCCATAAAGAACCTTTTTCAATCTATATACAACATCCTTATTAAGTTAAATATTATATCTTTGGGGAACATCCATATAGATCTCTTCGTCAAGTTATTTATGAACAAAATCATCTTTCACATCAAATTGTTGTATGTCCCAATCATAATTAGCAGCTAAAGAAAGAAGAATTCTAATTGTATCCATTTTTACAACTAAAACAAGGGTTTCTAAATAATTTATACCATAGGTTTGGGTGTATCCTTTGACAACTAATCTACCCTTATATCTCTCTATGGTTCCATCAGCCTTATATTTGATGACATACCCCCATTTACACTCAACTGATTTTTTTCCTTGTGGTAACTTAACTAACTCTCAGGTTTTATTCTTTTCTAATGCTTCCACCTCTTCATCCATTGCTTTATTCTATTCTTTATGAGATAATGCCTCAGTGGCATTTGATAGAATGATTACTGAATTGAGAGAGGTGATAAATTTTCTATAAGATGAAGATAGATGCCTAAATGACATGAATTGAGAAATAGGATATTAGGATTTCTAGAACATTTTCTTGTCCCTTTTCTAAGAGATATAGGTAGATCTTCTTGGTTGTTTTCTAATATTGAAGGTTCATCTATGTCTTATTAGATCTTTTCTTGAGTCACTATAGGTGTAGTGTCTTCCAACATTAGAATGGTTGAAGTCTCATCAAGAGTTGGTAATGGTAATAGAAAGTTTCCAACTTTTTGATCTCCATCAACATCCTTAGATATAACATCCTTTCAAGAAAAATATGTTTAGTGCTAAAAAATGATTCATACTCATTGAAGGTTACATCAATTGAAATAAAATATTTCTTTGATGAAGGATGATAACATTATGTCATTTCTTAGTGTTTGAATATCTGACAAAAACACATTTCAATGCTCTGGGGTCAAGCTTTCCTTTAGCTTGATCTTGATTGTGGACATATGCCACACATCCAAAACCCCTAGAAATTAAATTTGTTCTTAATTTAACATGTGAGTAATAGGACAAAAGAACATCTAATGGGCCTTTAAATTCTAAGACTCTTGTTGGTAACCGATTGATGAGATGGACGGCAGTTAATATCACTTCTCTCCAAAAGATTTTTAGTACCCCATTTTGGAATAAAAGTGTTCTAGCTACTTCTAATAAGTGTAGATTCTTTCTTTCAGCCACATCATTTTGTTGTGAGTGTTGACATAGAAAGATTCTTGAATAATTCCTTCTCTTTAAAAGAATTCATTTTTAGTGTGATTAAAGTAATCTTGAGTGTTATTTGATCTAAATGTTTTGATTGTTGTCTCAAATTGATTATTAATCAGTGAACAAAATTATTGTAATACTTTTATCACTTCTAATTTGTCATTTAGTAGATAAACCCATGTAGTTCTTGAATAATCATCTATAAATGTCACAAACCATTGTGCTCATAAAATATTAGGAGGAGATGAGGGTCCCCACACATCACTATGGATGAGTGAGAATGGAAAGGAACTACATGAGTTGCTCATGGGAAAAAATGTTCTTCTATGTTTTGCAAATTCATACACATCACATTTAAATCCATCAACATTAAACCTTGAAAATAATTTTAGAAATAAAAGTTTTAATATCTCAAAGGAAGGATGACTAAGACGATGATGATATAACAAAACCTCCTTAGGTGCAATATGTTCCTCATCTCTACGTCTTGATGGAAATTACAAGTGTGTCATGTAAGCTTGCCTTAAGGTCATAAGGCGACAGAGGCCGCCACACTCTTCAGCACATGCAATCCTCTTGTTCATCACCTTGTCATTTACATCACTATCAGTAGTCACCCTACAATTTATATCATCTATTAATTTCTTAACATATATTAGATTTGTATAAAACTTAAGGACCTGAAATACATTTTTTATGATATTGAAAGAATCAATTTCACATTACCTATGCCCACTACAAAAATCAAAGATCCATCAGTTGTGGCCACTTTCCTACTACTTGGACAAGGATTATAAGTAAAAATAAATTCCAATATTAACCTCCAAAGTTGATGCAAGCCTATCAATCTCAGCATTTAGTCCTGCCAGCACTCCAAAAGAGTTAGTCTCCAAAGTTGCCACTCCATCTAAAGTCGACATAGTGGCAAGATGAACTTGACCTCTTGATTAAGGTTGCCCATGAAGTCAGTAGCATCTTTCATGAATGTGTTGTTTCCACTTGCAGTAGGTGCATCATAGGTTATCTTTTTGCTACTCCTAAACTTGGTTGTTATTTTTGGCCTCTTCCTTCTTTGTGCTTAACCATAAATGCAGAGTTATTCATAGTTTTGACTCTACCATAAGACTCCTACTTTTCTCATTTCTCACTAATGCAATGACTTCTTTGAGATGTGAATTTTTTTCTCTTCTTAACATTTGTGCACAAATTTGAACATACTCAAGATTAAGATCATTGAAAAATTTGTAAATCTGATCAATCTTAATATATTTTTTGAAAAAAATTGCATCCAACGGATCTCTAGTAATAATTGGTCTATATCGATCAATTTTAAGCCATAAAGACTATAATTTATTTGCATATTCTCTCACTAATTTCATGCCTTGCTTTAGACTCATAGCACTAGACATAAGTTGAAAAACTTGGGCTCCATCATGTTCTTTTAAAAAAACCTTGTTAGCTTTCTCCAAAATGTCTCTTGCAGTTGGAAGAAATAGATAATGTGTATCGATCTCTAGGGTCATTGTGTTTCAAAGCCATAACTTGATTATAGCATCCTTTTTCTTCCATACCCTTAATTCAAGATCACTTGATTCATGTGCTAGATATAAGAGGTGATCTAATTTATCTTTTCCTATAAGAATCACCTTAATTAATTGATACCATTGGAGTAATCTCCGACCATTCAATTTGAATTCATTTGGAATGTTTGACAGCTCTAATGCATAATTGGATATATTAACTATTTTTGTTGCTGAGGACGTCATATTTATGATCTTAGACATAGTAAAAAAAACACCCTGTCCTCAGCCAGCTGATGTTGTGCTCTTATTCTCCATGAAGAAGTATAAGGCCAAATAGAGGAAAATAGGGGTCGTGTAATAACAAAGCCCTCTCTTTAGATGAATATCTATATGTTCTCTTACCTCCAAATAGGGAAGGATAGACTAGAAAGCAAGGGTGGTCTTTTGTAACAGTGAAAGATGCCACAAGACACTAACAAAAATAATCACAACTAAGGGAGTTCTTGTAAAGGAATAAGGGTAAACTAGTGATTCCCCTTGTTTAGAGCAAGCCAACCACATAATACATCTTCAGATGATTAGAGGTGGAGCAAGTTTACCTAGAGTGCTCTAATATTGATAAAATGAAATCAAGGGTCGTTGAAAAGTGTCAAAATCATAATCAAAAATATTGAGAATTATGAATTAATCAAATTAAAATATTAAAATAGGTAAGTATTGTGATAAGTTTGAGGTTGATCCACAAGGAATGAGGATTAGGTGTTAATTAGTTAATATTCTATTTAATTGATAGATTTAAATTAAATGAACTCAAATGAGAAGCAATGGCAAGTAAGAAAGATTTTCACTATCTGAAAAAGGGAAGTAGAAATTCGGTGGATGATGAGAGAGAGGTGAAACACATAGAGAAGACATAGTACGAAATCGAAATTGTAAATCTATCTATTTCAAACCTACAAATACCTAAGTGATTGGTCACATGTAGAACATATTGAACTTAGATAAACTTACCTCAAACGTCTATATGTCACCAAGGCTAGGTAGTTTTCTCTTCGAATAACTTTTCCAAGGATCTACATTGTGAATCCACACTTGAACAACCAAAATGCACCCAAACCCTCATTGAGGTTTCATGTGAGCCGACTAAATGTTGGGCCATTTAAAGTTAGGTTTTTTGTCCTTAAATGGTCGCTTAAATGTGTAAAGGTTTATACAAGAGTATGAGAGTACATGTGGTAGGGTTGATTCTGCCTTCTCGTGAGTTGGTTCATCTGAGATCATCTAATCTAAGGTTCTGATTAAATAAAGATATTTATACCTTTTTGGCGACAATAAGATCAGACAAGAGTTGATTTCCTCTCGAGTTGATATGAAGTGTTGGATTTGGGGGTCTTGTTGTAGTCGTAGGATCTTTTTAATGTTGAGATCTGTTGCACCCTCGATAAGTATGCTCCATCTGCCATTGATTATGTAGACATTCTCAATGACTTTCAATCTCCTCATTTAATGATGCCACATGTCAGCACCTTAGCCCTTGGTTCCGTCACCTCATCTTCACAAATCAAATCTTGGCCATTGAAGCATATATCGGCTTCCTAAAAACCATAAAAAGATATAAAAAAAATTAAATTCTTTCATATTAATAAAAATCATTATGATTGTAAAACTTAAAAAAAATATAAAAAAAATCTCTAAAATATTAAATTTTATGAAATATTCAAATAAATAATAAATATTTATTTTTTAATATGATAACATGCTAGATTGTAAGATTTAAGCTCTTGAATAAAATAATTCATACGCCTTTTGTGTGTTAATCAGCATGTTATCAAATACCATGTTAGAACCTCTTTGATCAAAACTTACAAGAAAAAGACATTGCTAGTGAGGAGAGAGTCGTTGGCTTGTGAAATAAGAAAGTGAGAGAGAAAGAAAATGACGGAATTAAAATTAGGTGAAAAAAAGGTTCAAGTACACATTTATATCAACCCAATATGAGTGTATCAAATTCAATTTTGGCATAAGTGAAACCAATCAAGTGGATCCGATCTACTTGAGAATAAGGGGGTCCAAGTATTAGACAAATAAGACCTATTTACAAATAATATTATAGTTTTGGTATAATTGTGATTTCATCACTTAATAAGAACACTAGTTTTTAGTAAGTTAATAAGAAATGTTTTATGAGTAAATGATAACTAGTCATATGACAAGTAAAGTGGGAGGAGATGCAAAGATTTTTTTGTACATTCTCTAGTTCCTTTCCTAATAGCAATAGGTATATCTTCTCTGCGGCTCTCCTCATCACTATCATGACTTTGACTTCCAAAGGTATAAGATCAAACAAAGAGGAATTTTTCATCTCATTTGGATGAAATTTTTGATCATGTGTATCTAGGTTTGATTCATGGACACGTGGGGTTTGCAACATCAGACCTTGTCCATGTATATACTTTACTAGACAATATATCATATAAAGAGGAGTCAATAGGGGTGGAATTGTGTACAATTGGAGATGATAGATTTGGTGTAGATGTGGAGTTCACATGTTGTTTTAGAATGAAATTGGGAGTGACATCTTTCCCAAAAATAGGTATAGAAATTTTTTCTTTCTCATTTTCCCCTTGTGTATAAGAGGAAGGAAATAAGACTCATATTCATTAAAATTCATATCAATCAAAATATAAATTCATCTTGATGGTGGATGATAGCATTTGCAACCTTTTTTTGGGTTTGAGAGTACCAATAAATATATATTTTAATACTCTTAGATTTAATTTATCACTATTTTGGTTGTGCACATGAATAAATACTACACATCTAAAAATCTCAGGAGTGAGTTTTATTTTGAGTGTTACATTTGGATAAAAGGATAATAATGTATCTATGGGACTATTAGATGGTAAGTTATTAATCACATGAGTGTACATTAATATTGACTCTCCTCAAAAATATTTAATGATGTGATTTTGAAAAAAAATATTAATTTACGATAAGAAGATAATAATTCTTACTTTCAGCTAATTATGTTCTATTGGAAGTATTTACATAGGATGATTCATGTATGATTCCTTCTTTCTGAAAGTGTGAGCTAATTATTAGGTCAAAATAATCTCTAACATTATTAGACCTAAATATTTTAGTAATAACATTGAAATGGTTTTTGATCATAAAAAATATTAGGAAGAACACTAATAACATCATATATTTATTTTTAAGTAAAAAATTCAAGTGACTTTGTGTACAATCATCAATAAGGGTTATAAACCATCATGCTCCATAAATATTTGAAATAATAGAGGTACCTCTAACGTGACTTAGTCATTGTATAGTAAATCACAAAAATTTAAAATTTATAAAACTAAAAAATACTAATTTTTCAATAATTAAAAGTATTTCTAAATATATATATATCAATTAAAATTGAATAAAAGTATTATGCCTACTATGGTTATTCATGAGTTGTCAGCAGCTCCCATCTTTCTATCACTTGGGAAATAGAATTATGGAAAATAAAAGAGGTGAGTTGGTCAAGAATCTGGTGGCTCTAGTATCCATGATTCAAACACTTGTAAGAGTAGAGGAGTAACTTAGGTATATGGTACTAGGTTCAACAATAAGTGATAACTCACTTGTAGTAGCATGTTGCAGTGGTAGCTCAACCTTGTTGACTTCCTCCACATGGAGAGGCTTCTCTATTTGGTTTGGGTGTCTTGTAGTATCATGTTGAGGTGGTTCAACAACCTCATAAATATGATTACTGACATTAAACTATGAGCGGTGATACAAAGGTCTACATTATAGTTTCTAACACCTCTCACGAGTGTGACATGATTTTCTATAATATGTACTCTACGAATTATTTTTGATATTTCTAAAATTGTGTGATTTGGGTTGAAACTTGTTCCTTTCTAAATTTTTTCCTTTGGCTATGAATATAATATTTCACTACCTATTGTGTTTCACATCAGACTTCTACTTTCTTCTCCTTTAGTGAATGATATTATATTATTTAGAGGTAGAATAATTTCTCAACCTAGGATTTGAACTCATACATGATCAAATTATGGATTGAAACCCACTAATTGATCATATGGTATCATTTTTTCCACCACATTTATGTGTACAGCTTGTTCCACTAAATCATTAAAATGTGTCATCATATATTGGTCAAATTCTCGTCATACTATCATCAATCATTTATATAATTTTTCATTGTTCGTTTTTCTTGTCTTAGATTAAACATTTTCAACTTTAATTCGAATAATCTTGTTTTATCTCTATCTCTAGAGTATGGTACATATTATCCTATATATTTTTTTTTGTAGATAAATATAGATAAGTTCTCCTAATGTTAACAGTAATGGCTGTCCACATATAGGCCATAATTTTTTAATCTATCTAGTCCCATATTGCAAAAGAGGGATCATTGATTAGTAGATTGTTTTTCAGCAAATGATTCATCGATTATTTTCTTTTTAAAACCACTTTTACTTGTTGTGGCCATCCAAGATAGTTTCAGTCATCTAAATGATCTTCTTGTGGTATCACAAGCAGATATGAGTGTAGTAGGTGTTGATTCATTGTTGGATCATTAGGGTTTCCTAAGGGCCTCTCTGAGGGTAAACTAACCTATGAGATATTAAAGAATACTAAAAATAGAAAGTATATGAGTCTGAAAAAGAGTAGGGGTTGAGCCTCATATCATATAACTAAGTCCAAAGTAAGGTACAATTGACCCTAAGATGTTTTCCACCTTTAGGATGTTGAAGGAAATTGATAAATAATTTGTAAACTGGTTTATCCATGGATAAAACTTTCTTGATCTTTGTTGTCAGTGAAACATAGTTGAGAAGATCCAACATAGAATAAATGAGAGATCAAGATAAGAGAGATCACACCTGAAATTTTGATACCACGTCACAAACTCTACTTGATCTCCTCAAGACTTTGAGGTTGCTAAAATAATAAATAGAGAATAGGAAATACAAAATCAAGCTAAACCCTAATATTTCATTCTTAAGTTCAAATGATGTGGGACTAATATATTTATGTTTGTCCCAAATGATATAATTGGACTATACCCATATTGAACCTAGCTAGTCTGATTTATACAAGAGAAGAATGAAACGTAAGTATGCCCAAATAATATGAACCTAAATACAAAAAAAAAAAGTATTCAAGGAAATAGTATGTTCAAAAGTGTTGACATTACTTGAAAATTATTAATCACTACTTAATAAAATCATGAACAAACACAATAGACTGCATTGTAAATTAGATCTGTATGGTTGGATTTTAATAGATTATGGTGTTGTTTGTTTCAACTATTTGATCTAGTTATTGAGTTTATTGGGATCTTATCTCAAAGTACAACAAAAAGGTCATATCTTTCTTGTAAATTTTTGCAACAAAGATTATACTCATGAAATAAAGTTCTCCAACTAATTGAGTGACACTAATAACCCCTTTTTACATATTAAAATCATAGCCTTCAGCTCCTTCATTCTCATTGATGAATCCCTTTTTTATATATTTATAAAAAAAATATTTTGGGCTCAAGCTGAATCAAAGGCTGATCTTAGTAAGACCCCAACTCAACTTGACTCATTGTTGGCTCATAATGATATACAGATATATATATATATATATACCTTAATAAATCGTAAATGATATATGATGAGTTTTTGACACAAAATTAAGGGTACTGTTTTTTATTTAAGCACACTATAAACAAGGATAAGGATTTTTTTTTGTCTTTGGTACTCTCAAGCTACTTAAATTAATGGTGATAAATTAGACCTGAGGGTTCTTAAAAATTAATATACTTTAATTTATAAATATATTGTTTTTTTACTTATCGTTTCATCTGCAAAGATTAATTACTCTCTCTCCCTCTCTCCCTCTCTCTCTCTCTTATTGTCCAGAGGGAGTCCTTCCCCAATGGGGTTGACTGGGGGTCTATAGTGTGGGTGACATCAGAACACAGTTTCTCCGCATAAGACACGGACCAGCCCTCATCCTTCTTCTGGGACACATGATTGATATGTATGTGGCTCATAGATCCCATATATGTACGGCGCATAGTCTTCATCACAGACTCTTTTAGGTCACACCTCATAACACTTATGAGGATCACCGTTCGTCTCCTCCGTCTTCTTCCCTCCTCCACCAAGAACTCCTCGTTGGCGGCCAGCGCCGCCGCCTCTTCTCCGACCGCGGCGGCGGCTTCCACCGGCGGCCTCGCCCCGCCGTGAAGACCGCCAGTTCTTTACGGTGAGCCCTCCCTCCCGCCGGCGTCTCCGGTTCCCTTCATCTTCGTTTTTGCTTTCCCTCGACTGCATCAGTACTTCACTGTTCCTTGTATATTACCTGGCGAGAATCGCTTTGCTCTTGGCTGCATATTTGGGGATGATGGGAGGTAGAAGTAGAGAAGTGTTTGGTTTGGTAGACGTGGGAGTAGCCAGCGTTACTGATCTCAATGTTGGGCGAGAGAGACGAGCGTAGGCTGTATAGAAGCCCTCTGTGGACATTTAATGCTCGACCTATGTTTGGAAGATTATTAGCCATCTATTTGTTGGACGTGTACGAGGATGGCGAGTTCATTGGGACGAGGGATTCAGAACCAATCCCGTATTTCTCCAACAATCTGTTCGCCATTTCGTATACGCAGAGCCTGCGAATCGGAGTATTACGGACCAAGAGGAAAGATCTACATGTCTGCTCTTGCTGTGTGTATTGGGATGACAGTGGTCGCCTTTCTCTCTGGTTCTTCTTGACCACGGTAAGCCATTACAAAATGGGAAGATGATGCTGATCACTTTTCTGAAAGAAAAATGTGCTTTCTAAGTGCTCAATTGTTAGCGGTAGGGCGCCTGTGATGAAGAACTAGCGAAGGGCCTTATCCGACCCAAAGAACCGTCACTGTGGATACAATTCTTCGGAATGTATGGTATAGATCTGCATTTTGAAGAAGCGATGCCTCCCCCGCATACATCTGAGGAAGCCCTTTAAATTTCTCATTCTCGTGCCAAATTGCCGGACGTTGTTTTGTACTGACCAATGATAATGTATAATTTCATTTTATTTGTTATTAATGTTTGTAAAGTAGTGTGATGTGCGTAGCATAGTTGTAGTAGAGGAATGCTTCCTGTTCTTCTGAGAGGAAGTGTGCCCGGGAAATTCATTTGATTCCCCTTTTTGAGAAGAAATTTAAGACTTGGGATTCATCATTCATTGGAGATTTTGGAGGGATGCGAAAAGATGGATGGATGGATAGATAGATACATAGATACATTGATAAATAGAGAGAGAGAGAGAGAGAGAGAGAGAGGTAAGAGTCATAAACTGTCTCCAATTTGAGTCCACTGTTGCTATAATTGTGGTACATGCATTTCCAAACTATCTGAGGCACATTCAGGGACTAGGAGAAACACTTGGAGTTACCTTTCATAAACTGTGGATCATAGAAAGTCTATTACTATGGAGGAGAAGAGATGTGCAGGAAAAAACCCCTGAATTTGATGTGGTGCGTGGGATATGCCATTTATTGATGTTGTTCTTCAAGCATCCAGCGTGTAATCATTGACCATCTCTTCATGCAATGTAGTTGACGAGTTTGTCGAATTAATCACTGATTTATTTCTGGAATAATTCTTGCCGCAATGTAATGATAAATAGAACTAGTTGGTTGCAACTTGTAGAACCCTCATTGCATTTCAGAAATCCTTGTCGCCATTGAATCCTTCCAACCTTTGCAGGAAATGGACGACGAGAAAGTGCAAGAACAAGAGCATTTCTCCAATGATCCCATAGTTGTCGATGCCAATGAGGAAATTGACGAGAACGATCTATCAGAGAGCTCCGAAGAAGTGGGTTTCAGTGAGGGCCCAGATAGAGTTCCCGATCCAAACACCGTGAACGCCCTCACCCCCAAGGTGGGGATGACCTTCAAGACTGTCGATGAGGCCTACCAGTTCTACAGCTACTATGCTTACCGAATTGGCTTTGGCATAGCAAAAACCTGCTCGAGGAGGAAGGATGGCGTCCAGCACGAGTACACCTTCTCCTGTGAGAAGTGTGGGAAGCCGAAAGACAAGAAGGGGCTCACCCCCAAGAGGACGAGGATCTCGAAGAAGACAGGCTGCCAGGCCAAGTTCAGAGTGAGGCTCAACGAGGATGGGCTGTGGCATCTGGCCTTCCTCGTCCTCCACCACAATCACTACTGCTCTCCAAATGAGTCACACCGCTACAGATCTCACAAGATGACCCCTTTCCATGCCATGCCCTATGATGGCCAGAGGTTATCAGAGGGCTATACCCCGGCAGAGGCTGCTGCTTTGAGTGTTGCTCAGCTGGATTCATTAACCGGGGACGGACATGCTGTGGATTTAGCTGATGGAGCATGCCGATTCAGGCTCAGGGAAGGAGACGCTCAAGCCATTGCTGAATATCTTGCCCGGATGCAGAAGGAGAGCCCACTCTTCTTTCATCTGATGGATTTGGATGGGGAGGGCCGATTACAGAACATCTTCTGGGCTGACACGAGGTCGAGGATGTCTTACCCATACTTCAACGATGTCATCCTCTTAGACACTTCCTGCCTCTCCAGTAAGAATGGCAGCATTCCTTTTGCATCGTTCACCGGAGTCAACCATCATGGGTCTGCTGTGTTCTTCGGGGGAGCATTGCTCTGCAACGACAGTCCCGAGACCTATGCATGGCTGTTCCAGGCGTGGCTGGCTTCAATGGGTGGTCTCCCTCCAAGGGCGATCATAACCGACAAGTCTAAGTCAATTGATTCGGCTGTTCTTGGGATATTTCCCAACACCCTCCACCGTCTATGCATCGGGCAGATCATGAAGAGGATCCCGGAGGCATTGGCAGGAAGATCCAACCAGAAGGCTGCCAAGGAGAGGCTCCACAACATAGTTTTTGATTCACTGAAGCCCGATGAATTTGAAGAAAACTGGGCGGCTATGATCAATGAGTTCAAGCTCGGAGACAGTGAGTGGCTTCTCTCCCTCTACAAAGAACGGAGACGATGGGTGCCCACCTTTGTGAAGGACACATTTTGGGCCGGCATGTCAGGCATCCAGAGATCAGACATCAGGGCTCCCTACTTTGACAGGTTTGTGACATCCAAGAGCAGCCTCAAGCAGTTTCTTCCAGCATTTGAGGCTGCCCTCCTAGCCAGTTACAACAAGGAGTTCCAGGAGGAGCATGGCGGCGAATTCCAGGCCCCCCCGCCGCCGCTCATATCCCGGCTGAGCATGGAGGAGGACTTCTCCAAGGCTTACACCCTGAACATGTTCCAGAGGTTCCAGCAGGAGCTGCAAAAGTGCGTTGACTGCACCTGCATCCTAATAAGGAAAGACGGCGCCATCTCCACGTACCAGGTCAAGGAGAGGGTGAAGCAGAGGACCTACTCCTATGAGGTCCTCTTCAACGAAGACCAAGTGGAGGTGCAGTGCCTCTGCAGGGGCTTCGAGTTTGGCGGCATCCTCTGCTCCCACGCCATCGTTGTCCTCAAGGAGAAGGACGTCCAGAGGGCTCCACCAAGGTTCTTCTAGCTGTATATATAAATGGGTTTTGCCCATCTTTGGAATTAAATGCTTGAATCCTGTGAATTACCCAGTTGGGTAACTATTTACTATTTTTGATAGGTACATCTGCCGCCGGTGGAGGAAGAACTTCAAGGAGTCTCGGCCCTGTTGCCCATTGACCCCGTCCGATGGTCTTGGGCACCAGCCGGGCAGGCGCTTTGAGAGGCTTCTTGCCCAATGCCTGCCGAATTTGTCAAAGCTGGCAGAGATCGGGGCCTCGCTTGACCGCCAGCCCGAGCAGCTGCTGAGGCTCCTGACCAAGGTGGAGAAGAAGCTTGCTGATGCAGGCAGAACCCAGAAAGGAAAGGTGCTAGCTTTTTCTCGGTTTTCACCACCCACAATTGGTTGACTTTTTGTTCTTTTTACTGATTCCTGAGGCATTCCTCATGCTGGTTGGCTCTTTGGGGCAGGAGGGGGCCCACCATGGGGGCTCATCCTTCAGGTCAACGGCAAGTGGGGGGCTCTCTGCCCGAGGGAGTGCCCTTCAAGGCAATGGCTTAGTCAACTTGCCAGGGAGTGTTCAGCTGGTCAACGACGCCGCCAGTAGTCAAGGGCTTGTGCCCTACTATCTTGTTCCTCTTGGTGAGCAACCTGGTTCTGCCGTTACTGCTGCCGCCACCAGCATCCTGCCCTCCATCTCAAGTTCCCCAAATGTGGGAGATTTTTGGGGTCAGAAGGACACCATCTTCCCGAACATCACTCAGTTGAGAAATCAGTAGAATGGAGTTGACTCCTTTGGTCAAAATCTCTGGGTCTTCCCCGTTCCTTGCATCAGCACCAGACCCAACGGCATACTGCAAAGTTCAAATTAAGCAGAGAGAGAGAGAGAGAGAGTGCGTGTATGATGCTTGAATAATCTAGTTTGCCTGCCTACAATAATGTGAGTCGCAAGGTAGGCCAACGTGGACTCTTAGTCCACGTGGACAAAGAAGAGTGGCCACGTCATATAGAAAACAAGCTCCATACGACTGAATGAGCCACGTGAATTTGACTTACTATAAAGTCTTCTCTCTCTCTATTTGCCCTGTACTTGGCAACTCCTCCCCCTCTACAGGCCCAGCCCAATAAAATCGTTAGCACAACGAAGGCGTAGTAGTTCGTATTGGCGCCTAATGGGCCCACAATTGAGCCTGTGTGAGAGCAAATGGGTCAAAATGGGTGCATAAATAACCGCCCGGGCCTACATCTTCTTCCTTTCGCTCTCTCTCTACGTCACGGGCCGACTTTCATTTCTGTGGGGCCCGCCACCGCCCTATCATCAGCAGGTGGATGGGCCTAGAAAGGAGAAAAAAAAAATCAGCCGTATGATTAGCGGCAGGTCATCGGAAGTTGGCGGCGGGTCAACAAAGGCGCATCAGGGCCTCTACACCGTAAGATCCCCATCGGATGGTTCAAAAGTTCCAGCGACGATTAGACCGGCGACCGCTCATTTAACAGCAGGAGGTCGGCGTTCTCCGCGTAGACCCAGGCTGAGGCTCGGGAGTCCGAGGCTCCAGGTAGGCTCGGGAATCCGAACCTCATCTCGGTCTATAAATATCGGCGACCTCTCGGAGCGACCTTTCGTCTTCGGTGTTTACTCGTTAGAGAGGTGGAGGAGAGACATTTTTTGCAGATACAGAGGAGAGGTACAGAATCGTCGTCAGATTGAGCGAATTCTTATGTGGATGGATATTTTGCGTTATTTCTTTCCTCGATTGGATAGAAAGCTAGTTCCATTTTGCGTCGAATCATGAGGAATTTGTGTGGCAATTTTACGTGTTGGACCCTTCCGAACGGATCCGTGGGAGGCTGGGATGATCCGATCATGATGAGTAGTGCTTGTATTCTTTCCGATAGCATAATGAGCAACGGGGGCTATTGGATGTCCCCTTTCCTTTGATTTGGAGAGCTTTTCCTATCGCCCTTTCTCTGTTGTTGATCTGAGAGATGTATGCATGGTGTATTTCCCTGGTCTCCGCTGCCTTCTTTTGTATTTTCTCTCTCAGATCTGTTTTGTAGATGTCTGAGTTGGGTTTGCTCTAAAGAGGAACCCACCCTAGAGGACTTTTTGGGCAGATTAGCCCGTCCAGCAATTTCATTCTCCGGTTTTCTGATCTGCTTGGAATAGATCTATGGACGCTAAACCTTTATTCTTCCGAGAAAGTTGTTCTGCGTAGTCGATCCCGGGATAAGCTCGAGGGTTTAGCAATAGTTAATTTCGTGTAAGGGTGCATATTTATAATTTATTAGATGTATGTATTCACACACGTCTGTTGAAGTATATATCTGACCATGAGCTACAGAAGCGGCGTTGATGTGGCGCAGATGAGTTGATGGGGACTCACGATATGGAATTTTTAGTAGCACCTTTCTCTCTTTCTTTATTTTATCAGTATTAAAAAGGTTATTTCATTTCTTTTGTCGCGGACAAGTGACTTTGATCAGACTTGTCTCTTTGCGGAAAGTTGTTACCCCGTCACATCTGCTGCAGTGAATAGTAATATTTTTTTATTTTAAACTCATCCTTTCTCGTTTAATGTTCTGCGGTTTGCGGTTTGCGGTTTGGCCCTGTCAGGTTTTCTTCGTCTTTATCCGCTCTCGCGCTCTGAGAGAGGGGTATTCTGAAAGTTAGCTTGTCGTAAGACAGAATAAGGTTTCTGAAATTTGATTGAATTCGTGGATATCCAATCACGCAGACTCTGGGTTATCTCTTGATCTCAGGTTCTTTCTTTCCAATCATAGCACTAATTTGGCTGTTTCTTTCCTTTATTGAGTGCACTCTGGAACCTTCTGGATGCTATGCTCGCCATTCAGTTTACTGGATTTAATTCACGTTCGATTTTTCTTTATTCCGTTGGTTTCAGTGATTTATCCTTCTCTGTGTCTGGTCTTAGTTTCTTCATCTGTGAGACGGCTTCTTCGTTACCAGCCTGCCCTGTTCATCATTCTGCAGCATTTGTGTGGCCTCTTTCAAAAGATACAGCTTAGAGAACTTCTCTGTCGATTCTTCCCCGGTTGACTTCCTCTTTCCTGTTTCACAGTCTAGAAAGAACTGGTGCAGGCCATGGCCGTGGCTTCCGGATCGATCAAGTCTACTCTGAACCCGAACGCGCCCCTCTTCGTGCCCGCTGCATTCCAGCAGGTGGAGGACTTCTCCCCGGAATGGTGGGAGCTGGTGAAGACGACCACATGGTTCCGCGACTACTGGTTCCACGAGCACCAGGAGCAAGAGACGTTCAACGGCTACTACGATGAGGACGATGACATAGCGAATTTGCTGCCCGAGTCCTTCGATCTCGGCATTGTCGACGACTTCTTGGACTCACACCCACACCCGGATGAAGAAGAACGGTTCCACCAGCAATCCGAAGCTGACCGACGAGCGACTGCCATGAGCGACGACCACAAGCTCCTCAAATCTGGTAAGAGCCATGAGCGACATCCGGCAACCCAAAAATAGAACAGAACAGAACAACGAATAAATGAATGCTCTTTGGGAGTTTTCCTATTGTTTGACCTGGTTTGGTCGTCACTCTGGAATCAGGTCTGGAATCAGAGGCCGAGAGATTGATCAGGAACCTGAGCTTGAAATCTCCCAAGAACACCAGCTTTGGACACACCAAGCAGTGGGAGAGGCCCGCCCAGGCCTTCAGCCCCCGGTCTGGCCCCCGCCGGATAATTCAGCAGCCCCGGTGAAGAAGATGAAGAAGAAGGAGCTTCCTCCTGTCACTGTAACACTTAGGGTAACCTTCATTGCACCGTCTTCCACTGAAGAAGAAGAAGAAGAAGAAGAAGAAAAGGAAGCCCAGTCTTCCTTGTAGATTTTCCTTTTCCCTCTTTCTGTATCTATTTTCCAATGTAGAAATCGTGAAATCCACCTAAGCCATGAAGAAGGCTCTTATCCTCGTTGACCCAAGCCACTCTCAGGTCAACCCCCTCCTCATTATGGGAGGGGAATTGCTCCGTAATTGGGATCGAATCTAAGAAAAAGTCATCGCATTTTTCCTTTCCTTTCCTTTTTTAGGGTATTCCTTGACCTCAATCTCGCCCATGTCTCATTTGGGCCGGTTCCCTGGTCCTAGGGGGATGAGAGTAGCTGCTGACCAACAGTGTCAAGTGTTAGTCAACCCAGTTAGAGCTAACATTCTCAGGTGTAGTAAGTCCCCAAGGAGGAAAAGGTCAACTTTGGGGACAAGAGGCATGCTAATTGCGGGTGTATTTTGATTATTATATAAAAGTGTGGTGATCCTGAAAAGAAAAACGACCTCTTTAAATCCACCAATGCTCTGAAGAACGTTCTTATCCTCGTTGACCCTGAAAAATCAGGTCAACCTCCCTAATGAAGGGAGGGGGGGGAATTGTGTCGTCATTTTGATCGAATCTAAAAAAAAAAGTCAGCGCATCGAGGGAAAGACATCATCTTCAACGTAGATTATTTCCTGGCCCTTTTTAGGGGATTCTCTTGACCTTAATTGACATTCTCAAGAGTTAACTCCATTAGTCAACCCAAGCTAGAGCTGACATTCTTAGGTGTAGTAAGTCTTCATAGCAGAAAAGGTCAACTATTCGAACAGGGGAGATGCAATTTATAGTTATACAAAGGTGATGTGATCCTGAAGAAAGAGGCCTCTTTCTAATAAGAGGAACTCAGGACGCTAAGGGAACCCCCAGGGTCTTGGTGATAAGTACTTCCTTACCCCTAAAAGTAGTATAAATGGCTTCATTTAGGGGTATTTTTCAAATTTTTGAGGAATGGTTTATACTTTGAAAATTATTTGAATTTAGTGCGTGGCAGCAGGAGACTAGCCGTTGGGAACCCAGTGCCCCAACGGCCGGAAATATTTTTGAATTCATGCACGAGTTGAGGAAGATGCCATAAAGAAGTGGAGAGAGAGATCCCCCGGTATATATATTCTATACAGAGAGAGAGACAAACTCTACGCCCCTTTCTTCCTCCCCCGAGTTGCAGACGAGGAGTTGAAACACCCAGAAACTCTCTCTCTCTGCTCTCTCTCTTGCTCGCTCGATCGTTCGATCCTTCTCCTCTGTTGCTCTGTATTGTCGTTGTCGTTGATCGGCAGAGAGAAGAGAGGTGAGGATGTCTCGGAGGGAGAACCAGGACGTCCAGGACAACATCCCCAACCGTCCCGCCTCTGCCCCCGCGGGGGCGGCCAAGCAGGCCCTTCCGGCGGCCAAGAGCATCGACGGCCAGTCCGTTCTCAAGAGGTCAGCGTCCCCTTGATTTCATCGCAGCACGACGGATCCCTGGTTTTAGATCCGCTTTGCTTCTCTTCTCTCTCTCTCTCCCATCCAGCGCACGCTCGTGTTCGATCCACGGTTAGGTTTTAGATCTTGATCGATTTACTCAGAAATATGATGATAAGGTAGGATCGTTTATCCTTGGGATTGAGCAGCGTCTCGTATTATTGTTTACCAATCGGTTTCACTTTCAATGTCGGTTTCAGAGTTGGGTTTTTAATCATGCATCCTCGTCATTCGTCTCTAAAACTCGTTCATCTCATCTCCCGTTCACGAATGTGTTCGATCAAGGGTTAGGTTTAAATCTTGATCGATTTACTAAGAAATATGTTGACGAGGAAGGATCAGATCTCCTTGGGATTGAGCAGCGTCTCGTATTATTGTTTCCCAATTGGTTTCACTTTCACTGTTGGCTCCAGGCTGGGGTTTTAATCATGCATCCTCATGATTCATCCCTAAAACTCATCATCTTCTTTCTTTTCTTTTTCTTTACAACGCAGGCTGCAGTCCGAGCTGATGGCGCTCATGGTACGACGAAACAATCCTCCCTCTCCCGGAAATCGAAATCATTCATTCAAATCTTTCATAAGATTATATCAGACTTCGATGGTCTGATCTTTCCATGTCTTGTGGAGCGCAGATGTGCGGAGATCCAGGGATTTCGGCTTTCCCTGAAGGGGACAACATCTTCTGTTGGAAGGGAACCATCTCAGGGAGCAAGGAAACCGTGTATGATGGAATGGTGTACAAGCTCTCCCTCTCCTTCCCCAACGACTACCCCTTCAAGCCTCCAAAAGTGAAGTTCGACAACCCCTGCTTCCATCCCAACGTCGACGTCTACGGCAACATCTGCCTCGACATCCTTCAGGTAGTTTCCATTGTTAATTGCTCCATTTTTCTCGCGGATTCCTCCACAATTTCTGTCGATTTTTAGCTGATCTTTATCGGCTATCATGTCGACGGATAGATCCGACTGTTTTTGTTCGTCACAGATCTCCGGTCGATCTTTGTTTGAATTCTTCAATCATTTATGTTGAGAACAAGATCAAACAACTGTTCCATCAATTTTCTCGTCTAAATTTTTTTATCGTGGAGTTTTCTATGCCGATTCCACCTGGATCTGCCTTGATTTTGATCCTGATTATATCAATCGCGATGGGGTTTCAGGACAAATGGTCGTCCGCCTACGACGTGAGAACCATACTGATCTCCATTCAGAGTCTCCTTGGCGGTAATAAACAAACCCCCAATCCATCAATTCCGCCATTAAAATCCCTCTGCTCCCTCATCTGATCTTGATTTGATTCCTTCTTGCAGAGCCGAACAATGACTCCCCGCTGAACAATCAAGCCGCGGCCCTCTGGAGCAATCAAACAGGTACGAGCGATCGATCGATCGATAGATAGATAGATTGGATCGATAGAGAGAGATTCTGATGAGCGTATTGTTCATTTCCTTGGATCTCGAGCGCTGCAGAGTTCAGGAAGATGGTGGAGAAGCTCTACAAACCTTCCGCATGAGTTCTGGGGAAGATCGATCAAGGACTGTAACTATGAAAGCCGGCTGCGCCCTGATTTAATCTCAGTTCCATTCAAAGGAGCCGCCTGCGTGTTCTTGTGTTTAGTTCCATTCAAGATCTCTTCTTCCGAGGATGTTTCCCTTGGTGGAGGAGAGCTCCATCCTCATTAATTTAATAACTTCTTGGAGGAGTCTCTTGATTATTCTTCTCTTTATGATCGTATTTCCTTGACGATATTAATATAATAATAAATATACTGATCGATTAATTTCTTCCTGGTACCGTGCTCAATATTTCCCAAATTATTAAATTTTAATTTACTTTTTTTCATGCCAACATCTATTATATAATTATTACTCTTATTATTTTTTATAAATTTGGCCAAGAAAATGTTATTATACAGCTACATTGTCTGGGGTTTTAAAATGTTCTTACTATCAATACATATGATAATCAGAAATAATATTAGCAACAAATGTTTGTGGATGAGAAAATAATGGTAATAATAATAATAATAAATAATAATAATAATAATTTCTCGCTATTTTCAAGACAATATTTATTATTTATTACTCTTATTATTTTATCAATGTTTGGTCACGAAACTGTTGTTATACATCTTCATTATCGTAGTGATGTAGCAATATAAAAATAATCAGAAATAATATTAGTAACAATATTACGTGACATTAAAAAAAAAGTGAGATATATCATAATAAGAAATAAAATAATGACGATTGTGGATGTGAGAAAAAGGGTGGGACCTTAGAGTAATATTTGAAATGAAATTATTATAACTGACCTCTTTTTATGTGTTTAATGATCTCCGATCACATGTATTTCCGATATATAATAATAATAATAATAATAATGATTAATAATAAATGGAAAGTATTAAGTAATAATAAGGGTGTGACGTTAAAACAAAATTATTGTAGGATATGAGTGAATGTAATTGAAGATTGCTGTACAAGGAAAAAAAAGAGAGGCGGAACATTGTGGCCTCACGAGCAGCAACAGTTTGTTTTATTTCTCACTGGTCAGTGAGAGGTGCGGGAGGAGTGATCGGAGGAGGAGGCCGTGAAGCTCATCCTCCTCCCTTCTCGGAATCTGAGAGGCATGGCGGCGGCGAGCGGACGGACGGAGCTCAATAGGTATGCGTACTGTGCTCTTGTCCTTGCTCCTTCTCCGCGTGCATGTAGGTAGACATGGAGTGATTGACGCTCATGGCTTTAGCATTGGTCGCTGTTCCTTGCGGAGATCGGCTCCGGCCACGGTGGCGGGGAAGCCAGCGGCGGAAGGGGATGGCTGGTTGCCTGGTGCGACGGCTCGGGACCTGGCGGGCGTCGTCGGGTGAAGAGGTGGAAGATCGCCGCAGCACCAAGCAACCAGCTATCCCCTTCCGCCGCTGGCTTCGCCGCCTGCGGCAGTGGCGGAGCTTTCGCGAGGGCGTTAGGCCAGCTTGTTCTAGCCGATTGGCGGTGTTGGTGCGTGCGCCAGGCGAAGGCTCTCCTGCCGGATCAGGACGGATGCTGGCATGGAGCTCGCACTGGTCCCGCCAGGCAATGGGGTAGGGCCTATTGTCGGAGCGAGCACAATGGACTCTGACCGGACAGGCGCAGATCCCGGCCAGGCCACGGGCCGTGGTTCAGTGGTGCTGTGGTCCAGACCCGGACCAGACCATATCTCCGAGTTTCAGATCCTGGCTCATGGGCTCTGATCAGCTAGATTCTGATTCTGATCTGGATCAGGTGGGATTGAGGATTAGTTGAATAGTGGGCTTGACCCAGAAACTTTGGGTCCCATAAGAATCTAATGGGCCAACCTTGTGGACCTTCCTGATTAGGTTCCTCAATAATGAATAAATTACCCGGTGTATCATCATTAAGAAATTGCCGACACATGTTCATGGGGGGGAGGGGGGGGGCGTATTTATCGTGTTTACGGTTATTGATACTGTTTTACTAGAGTGCATTGTTCTAGAATAATGTTGAGAAAGCTTTAAGTATGCCCATACTCTCCCTTACTGTGTCTGTAATGCATTGGATCGCTGTTAGATGCTGATGTTGTTAATGAAGGCATGTGTGGTGCATCCGTGGTATTTCATTGACTTCTATTAACTTCAACTTCATGAAAATCATTGTAATTTACATTTTGTTCTTCTTTAGGTCATCAGTCTTAGCGACTGTGGTTTCAGGTGAAATGGGAGGCAATGGATTTAATCATGGACACTCACCAGAGCTTGGTGCTGATTCATATGAAAAATGCATGGAAGCCCTTTCTTCTCTCATCACTTCTCACAAACGTGGGGATGGTTCAAACAGGGAGGCAAAATTTGCCTTGATGTTCAAGTATATGAAGGTAACTATGATTGTATTCTGAAGACTGCAATCTATGATGGCTAATTTTTTTTATAATCTTATATTGGGTTTTATGTTATTGTAGCTCTTGTCATTTTTATTTTCTACGTGCCTTGCCTTTTTTAATTTCTTCTTAAATTGTATTTCAATCTTGAGGAATAAAATAATGTTCTTTAATGTTATCTTTGGAGTTTTGATACCTGAGAAATTGCATGTTGCATCTGCAGTTCTTAGGCTTTGAGGAGCGTATAAATGGGCTCAATATTATTCATGTTGCTGGTACGAAGGGGAAGGTGGGTAAATTGTTTTCCATAAGCAACACAGGCATATTTCTTCCAACAATTTCAGGCTTTCTTTTCCTTTTCCATAAAAATGATATTTTCCATAAATATCATTTGGACTAAAATTGAATTGTTTTCTTTTCCTTTCTCCTCTTTCCCTTAAAACTTTTGATCTTACATCGTATTTTCCTTTTCTGTTCTTTTTTCTTTCTTCTGAAAACTCTGATTTTATGATATCCTATTTGACAAAAATGGTTTTGGAGGAGACACAAGGGTGTAGATGGGCAGTATTCTCTTTCTCCAATTTGCGCCAAATTTCATTTTAAAGTGCGTTGTTGTTATCTAAGTTTGACATAGGTGGCCATTTTGGGAGCATTCCTTCTGTTACATAAGAGTGGTTGTGTATTGCTTGAATACTGAATACTTGCTGTATGTTTCTGGAAATGATTTTGCTGATTCTGTTTTGTTCAATGAGTTTTGGTTGTTATTTATTGCCTTTTCTGAAACCTGAACTTTCTAGGTACCGGAAACTTGATTTTTCTATAGGAAGTGTTAGAATAGTCTCACATGGATGAGTACAGATCAAATTTGTGGTTAAATTCGAGCCTATTTTTCCGATTAGTTTGAGTTGGGCAGCTTGATTGTTTCGCATAACATGAGAGCGACTAGTCCTCACTGGAATTGTATGCATTCTCTGTTATGACCGCACAGTATAACATGCAGAAATCAACTTTCATGTAAGACCGCATGTAAAGTGTTCTCACAATGATGGAGAGAAGTTGATCTTTTGGTTGAAGTGCAGGAGGTTCCTCTCATAGCTAATCAGTTTTGATTTTGAAGGCCTGCTTATTTCAGCGGATGTTTTATTTTTCTTGCATAATCAGGATAAATTTTATGTCAGTATGCATAGTTTTCAACATCTCACCTAAGGAAGAAGGTGTTGTAAAAGGGCAAGATGCTGGGTGCCAAGGTGAACACGTCTAAAAGGGACTCAAACTTGAAACCTTGGTGCCTTGCTGGGTATCTTCTTCCAGAAACATTAACAAAATATTATTATTACATTATCGATTCTTGAAATGTGTTATTATCCGATAACAATTGTGAATAAAGCAGAGGAACGTGATAACAAATGTGACTGACTCTTTAAGTCTGCTTTGTTAACTTCGAAGAGCTTGTCTGCACTAGTTACACCAGAAACATTTTATGAACCCTTAAAAACGATTATCTTAGAATGATAACCCTTGAACAATGATCTAATCTTGGTTCGGAGGACTATTTTATCCATCATTGTGATTATTTAAAGGTCCTTTATTAAGAGAAATTTTTTTCATTTCAATTTAATACAAATTGTGAATTTTTCATGAATATAAATCAGTATAATTTTAAAAGAAAATTACCCTGATCAACCGTAGATATGCATAAACTATAACTTTCTCTGAACTTCTAAGTGATATTTGGCTTCACCTTGGCGCACTGTGTTTTGTCTCCTAAGTAGAAAGGTTGGAGGCAGGTGTCTTGCTTGTCCTAGTACTGTAAGAGTATTCTACTGAAGCTCATGGTTCGCACAGAAAAGTTGAACCCTTGTGGAAGACTAGTAAATTATCAATAATTAAGGAAATTAGCTGTATGGTTTTTATCAATATTGGTGATCTTGAAAAGTAATCCAGACAGCATATAGCAGAGCACATACTTTTCACAAGGATATGAAATCTTTATAGTACACTTGCAGACCATGGATGGTTAGTGTTGGAAATGAAGAAAAAACTTCGTCATGAAGGACAGAGGGGAGAACGGCGGAAACCATCTTAAGATTCATTCAACTCTACCTCCCATTATATAGGGAGTAATAATACACAACTTTTGCCAAAACACCCTCAACTAATTACACTATTTCCCTACGACCTAGAACCTCCAACAATTAGGAAACTCAACTACATTTTTTAAAGATCAATATTACGGGGTGTAAAACAATTATCCAAACATCCTTTTCTTCTATTGGATTAAAATGCATTAATGGAAACATGAATATTTCTTAGGATCCTTTAAACACTGTAGTTTTTATAAAATGGGATATTTTTTATCTTTTATCCTTTTTTTTTCACTCCTCGAATACTATCCCTTATTTCTTTAATATCAACTTTTCAGGGTTCAACATGTACGTTTTGTGAATCAGTTTTACGGGAATGTGGATTTCGAACAGGCCTCTTTACATCCCCTCACCTTGTGGATGTAAGAGAAAGATATCGTATCGAGGGGTTAGTTTCTTATTCCTGATTTTTAAATCATGATCTTGTTCCATCATTTGGTCCTCTTATGTACCGATATCATTTTTCACGCGTTTTTTTTATCTCTCTTCACGAATTTGCAGCTGTTGTGTGTTATCCCAAGTGACGGGATTCAAAGTAGGTTAATATAACTTATGGATAGAGGAAATCTATAGTTTAAATAATAAGCACTAGAGATCTTTAGAACATGAACATTTTTATTAAAATATACTATAAAATGCTGCCAAATTTTTAGTAGATAAGGATTTTCATTTACTCATTTCGCACTGGTCTGCAAACAAGAACTGGCAAATATTATATTGATCCCACCAAAATGCTGCTTCATGGTATTTGACAGCATAAAATTGAATGAAGAAACCAAACCTCTCAGCAGTTCTCGTGTGTGCTGTGCTTTGGTTTGCGTACTATTGATAATATCTAATGAAACTGACATACATTTAAAATTTGTGGATATTTTTTAATATTCTTATTATAATCATCATACTATGTGGTTTCCCCCAAGAAACGAATATGAATAAGGCTGAGAAGCATGTAAATGTCCCTACTCCTACAATTTCTCACCCTTGAATATCATGAACTATCTGTCATACCATTGCGATCTTACGTTGTGTTCCTTAGATAATTTTCATGTTTTCAAAAAGCTGTGAAAACTTGTAATTTTTTGCTTAGTAGCAGTTCACCCCGCATACTGTCTCACAGTACGTAATATTTGCTTGTACAGAAAAAAATAATTATTGTCTACTTAGGATTATTCTCTGCCTTTGGTACAGAGATTCCGTTATTCTTAATATTTATTGCCATACTTTCGTATCTGTACTGAAACCCGCCCAGCTCATAGAATTCAGATGATTTTTCTGGGCAGTTTTCTTCTTTATATCGCTTCCGGATTAAAGGTGTAGAAATTTGAGTTGACACATTTGTTCAGGCGTTGACATTTATTTTTCAGAGCAGACTGAATTTGATCAGGTTTCAATATTAATTTACCAATATGCTATTCTGGAAATCACATTACTAGAGGAATATCTTCTTCTAATTAAGGGTTTTACCACAAATCAAGTTGCTTACCCGTGATTTTTCTAATTTGTTTACTGCTTCTTCAAACGCACCTATGCTTCTCCTTCACCCTTTCTCTTACTATATTCTTCTTTCTATTTTTCTATGTTTTTAGATTTAGATCGGTTCAATACCTCTGTCAGTAGCATGCACTACCAAAACCTACGAATTTACAGTATCATCAACAACCAATAATATAGTCTGCTATCAAGCTGTAGAATCCTAAAATGAGGTTTTGTCTATCAAAAAGGTCGGTTTTTCCTGGAAATACCCAGTGGTTCTCTGTTTTATCTTTTTCTCAAATACTGCACTTTGCTTTATGATTCCCTTTCAACTTACTTTCGGAGGGACTTCTTTTAAACTGTACTTTGACTGATCTTGCAGCTTAGACATCTCAGAAGAAAAATTTTTGCGGTACTTTTGGGATTGTTGGAACCAACTAAAGGTTTTAGCCTTTTTACCCTATTTTCCGTGATAAACATTTCTTTTTTTTTTTTCCCATGTATGAAGGAGAATGTTTCTTAGTTTGTTTACTGCCTTGTTGTGAATGACATTGCCATGATTATCTGTTCTTTCGTGGATAGGGCCACAGTATAGAATTTAGATGCTTCGATATGAGATTCTTCTTGAATGTGCAGACCTTAGAGTATATAGTCTACAAGATATCTATCACCCTTGTTGTAAGTACCCCCCATAACTTCTCAGTGCACATGTAGATGCTCATTTATACCATAAGACGAAACTTAGTTTTTATGGAAAAATTTTGGGGAAAAATTACTCTTTAGAGTCATTCCAACCCTTTTTCAATTTATTCCGGGTGTCACATGGCCAGACAATTCTTGGGCTGAGATAACAGCCCTGAAAACTGGGTGGGGGCGTAGGGGAGATACTGCCAGTGGGAAGTAGGCATTCCTCTCAGTAACCTTGGGAATTGATACCCATAGTATATTTTCTTCTGCTTTGAATTACTCTAGGTTGATAGTTGCTGTTGAAAACTGTACAGTGGCGCAAACCCTAGGAGGGGATATACAATGGGAAAAATCTCTGCTTATTCTTCACATCATAGATGACTGCTTGTTTCTCACACTCCTCAAGCAGGTGAATAGTTATTTTCCATTCCCAATGGATACAATACTCCCTTAGTTAGCCATGTGTAAACCCGTAAGATGTACAAATCAATCCGCAAGTTGGCCATTTGTTTTCATGACCTACCATGGTTCTATTTGTCCAGTCCTTTAAAATGTTGTTTTTTCGTTCTCTCTAGATTGTCGTTTTATTTGTGTTCCTGATATATATCATGCTTCTCAAGAGTATCGATTGCTTCCATGACAAATACATTTAAGTCTTTGTTTCAAACCGTTTTTGGACTGAAGTTTAAAAATCCAAGTTGTTGGAAAATCTATTTAGAATTTCGAAGTTTCTTTGAATGCATGTAATGCAAAAAATTATTTACGTTATGTATTTTTTGCTTTTGCTACTGCTCTCTAAACTGCAAGATATTCTTTTTGAGTGGCTATGGAGAGTTGAACCATTCGATTTATGTCTCTTATCCTAATGTTGGAATATTGAATAATGCTAACTTATTATTTTCTAAATTTCAGGAGAAACTATGTGATAATATGCAAATGCCACCTCTATTTCAGTTCTTGACTCTATTGGCATTTAAGATTTTCATATCAGAGGAGGTAAAATTATATTTTATGTTGTCTGCTCTGAGTTGTCATTTAAAATAAGGATGCTTGAAAAGGTTACGAGCCTTGTATACTCAATTTCAGGCTGAAGGGGGGTTTCTTTATGTAATAGGGCCGTTTCTAACTCTCATAGAACCACTAAAATCATAACTGATGCCAGTACCCCAGACTTTAGAGTCATTTATAGATTTCTGATCATGGAGCCCATATATGAGAAGCAGAGTCAAATCATACTGTGTGCATTATCTTCTCATTCCATGCCTTGACCGCCTTCTTCCTTTGCACACTGCAACCTCTAAAATCCTCTCAGTGAATTTTGAACGCCCAGCATCTTACTGATGCTTTCAAAGCACACTTGGTTAGTGCAAGACATGAAAGAGTGGAAGGATCTTGAAGTTTATTCATCAGAAAAATTTAAGAGTACGAGTCTCATTCTAAAATGAATCACATATTATAAGATCTGAGGTGGGTTCTTGTCCATCAAGTATGTTTTTATTTTGTGGATTTGGCTTTGTTGAAGATCTACAAATCATGTTCCTACTCTGTTAAAATAAGCAGTAATATTACCGAGTTCTTAACAGGGGATCCTAGATAACAATGATACTTTGTAAATGGCCTTCATTGGAGAGAGCGCTTGTGCAAGTGTTATAATTTCTGCATTCTTAATCCTGCTCAATTATTAAAAAGTGTCTACTAGTTTCCGACACATTAAATGAATTTTATTCTTGTAGGTTAGTGCTTGATAATGTGGTGATGTTCTCATATAACCTAACCTTTATTCTGCCTCCTGTGGCTGTTAACTTATTTGAGAGTGCATTTGGATGAACTTCAGTTCAATTTTGGATGCCAAGATGGAAGATGGGCTAGTGATGTCAGGATGCATCTGGTTGCTAGTGATTCAGGCGCCTTAGTTTTTCTATTTCAATGGATATGTTAAATTAAATTTCTTGGTTCACACCTGCATCTGGTTGCAAGTCAGTGAGTAATCTATGCTATTTCCTTGCATAAAATTTACTTTGAGAAAGGTAGAAAATTGCTAAATTTATTTTTAAACATATGTGTAAAGGAAAAAAAATATCTATGTTGCGGGTACGTATGTTTCATATGCGCACCATGTTTTTCAGTTGGGTTTTAATGTTGAAAGATTTATATCTTGAAGGTTGATGTTGCAATTATTGAAGTTGGTCTTGGAGGAAAGTGGGACTCTACAAATGTGGTACTCACTTATACTGATAAAAAATCTTGGTGATCACAAAGAGTTTCTTTAGTACTGTCAGTATGTAAATAAACTCACATTTGCCACAGTGAAAAGAGAGAAACATGAATTTATATTTGTTGGTTTCCTCGCTTTCAGGTCAAAGAACCTGTTGTTTGTGGTATAACTTCACTTGGTATGGATCACATGGAGATACTAGGTACTGCATTATGTGAAATACGTCTTTGCTGATATACTTTAGGTATTCATCATATGTCAGTATGGCATGCATCTGTAACTCTGAGGATGGCTTATTACAATTCCTTGCGTTTGTGTTCCTGATTGTATGTGTTAGAGCATCCGGTCCTAATATTAAATAAGAGGAAAAAAGGCAACTTGTAGACTTGTATTGATTTGTTATCGCTTCTTGTTGGGTTAAGGATGGAACAGATGAAGCAACACGGAGCTGAAAATGGTATTCTATTATTAATTTTCAGTTGGAAAATATGTGTAATAACGGTTCTGAGTGTTAGTCATGATTGGCTTAGGAAATTATGAATAAATTATTATTGATTATTTTTTTATCGTTGTTTATTATATCACTTGATGTAGAATCTCTATTTTGTAAAATGATTTGAATCAAGTAATGAAATATTTGCATAGGAAATACCCTTGGGAAAATTGCTTCAGAAAAAGCTGGAATTTTTAAGGTAATAATTACTCTCCTGAATAGTTCAAATTGGCAACATTTGTCGTGTGATGTTATAATATAGCCTTGGGGTCTTCTTTTTTTTTTTTTTCTGAACTACGTTAAAATGCTCTCTACTCACGAAGCCAAGAGTTCCTGCATTTACTGTTCCTCAACTTTCAGAAGCGATGAATGTCCTCAAAAAAAGAGCAGAAGAATTGATGGTAACTTCTTCTTCCATGTGATAGCTTGTGATAGAGTGTTCACGCCTTTTCACTCCAGGTCAAAGTAATGCCTAGATTGGTTGTTCTCTACTTCATTGCAGATTCCATTGACGATTGTCTCGCCACTTTATTTAGAACAGCTGGAAGGAGGGCGGCTTGGTTTGGCAGGGGACCATCAGCTTATTAATGCTGGTCTTGCTGTTTCATTATGCAGACACTGGCTCCATATCAAAGGACACCTGAAGGTCGCTTTTCAATCTTAGACAATTCTTTCTTCCTTTTGTTCCGACTCTTTTTAAATTGTGTCAGATGGGGGAGCCTTGCTTAAAAACCAAACACTTTTTCTCAAGCTGATTTTCAAATGGACTAGTTGATCACCTCGTGAGTCTTTGCGGTTACTTCTTGACTTATTTGCTTTAACGGATTTTTTTTTTTTCACTTCACTCTTTATTATTCTTGCGTTCTCCCAACAAGGCACATACCACTTTAAATTTTTCCATTATTGTTTTCCATTTTATCATTTTTTATTTTCATGAACTTTCTCATGGACGTAACTTATGCATGGATTTATTCAACTGAAAGTTTTTAACAGTCCAATTAGAAAACATGTGGAATTTTTGTCCTCAATATTCTATAGCAATGCTAACCTTATCTTTATTTTTTCTATTTACTGTTTACTTCGGTGATGGTAAATATTTACCTATTGCAATGATTATAGAGTTTCACGTGATGATATTAATTTCAAACAGGAAAAGCTAGATACAGTCTTGCCTCAAGCATTTCTCAGGGGTCTTTCTACTGCAAGTCTAGCTGGGAGGGCCCAGATTGTGCAGGACAAACTGGGAAATTCTTGCGAGCCTTCAGAAGGAGAAGAAAAGTCATGCGGTGATCTGATTTTCTATTTAGATGGGGCTCATACTTCTGAAAGCATGGAAGTTTGCGTGGATTGGTTTTCCAATGCCGTAATGGATGGTTCTCATGATTACAATGCTAGACAAAGTGGAGCGCTTGGTAAAAATCATGGCACTCATTATAAAGGATCAAAAAAAAATTCTATACAGGTGCGAAATTAGTGTTGTGTAGTGCGCTGGCATTTCTTAGTTATACTTGGGACTAATGGATGGTAGTGCGCTTGTTTATGCAGATTCTTTTGTTTAATTGCATGGAAGCGAGAGATCCTGAGCTTTTGCTTCCAAAACTTACAAGTATATGCCCTTCTATACTGATTTTCTCGAAATTCAGTCATTTTTGTATATGTACTCTATTATGCTAGTTTTCGAGATGAAAGCCTATCTTCTATCTGTAATATTGGTTTTGCATTCATTTCATGTCACACCTTTTGATTTGAGATATGAGGGCTATTGTCCAATTTGTCGTAATTTGTGTAAAAAGTGTTGGTGTACACTTTGAAATATTTGGATATAAATTTTTTTAATAAATTATGCAAAATAAGGGCTTAACAGGTATCCTCCGATTGTATCCTTGAATGCTTTGCTTCCTCTCCTTTTCTAAAGATAGTATTGGGTGGCCGAGGAGCACGAGTGTTCAGTGTGTGTTCACTTGGAAGTTTTGTCATTCTTTGTTACTGTTTTTATTCTTTCACCTATCAAGAGTAGGATAACCTGACGTTTACTTTTAAGAAAGTGTGTTCACTTGGCCTCTTGTACTCTGCCAGATCGGTTACCAGTTTTGTGCCTTATTTCGGTATAAAATAAGTACATCTCAGCCTGTTTACTGAGTGTATCTATTTCCAGTTCCTGGCGGTAACTTATTGCTGCTTAATTAGCTGGATGTTGTGTACCATTTCGATTTGTGTTCAACTGGTGTGGAGCTTTTTTCTTAGTAGGCAGTGTGGATTTTTGGAAACATTTGTATGGATCATCTTAGGCCTCTGATCTCAGTTCAGAAATGTTATAATGTAGAAATATGTATGTTTATCGAATATCCTATTTCTATGGACCATTAATCACTTCCATTTTTTTTATAGCTAGAGCTTAATGAACCCCCTGCGCTTTCTTAAGGACAACATGGCCTTCTGGCTTCAATTTTTTCTCTCAGGTTTGAGCTTTTCTATGGCTCTGTTCGTCCCAAGCATGTCACGCTATCACTTGGTCACTTCTGTGTCATCAGCAGTGCGAACAGATCTTTCCGTGGATACCTCATGGCAATCTTCTCTTCAAAGAACATGGGAAAGGTTGATCCATGGAAAAGGTTATACTTTTGTCAAAGAAATTCACTTTAATTTTAGTATGTCAGATACAAAGAAATGTTATTTTTCTTAAGATGCTAAGATGGAAATTCCAGGAGTTTTGTCGGAAAATTATTTTTACTCTATGCTATTTATTATTTTCCTTATGGCTCGGTGCGCCATGATATTCGAAGGTCCTATAAAGGACAAGAAGCACTCCTCTGACGTTTGGTTTTATATTATGATGTTTCAGATGGCATCCTTGTGAATGAGAGTAATCCAGAACATTCAACGAAGTTACCAGCTTACCAATTTCTGCATGGTGATTCGTCTAAGATCAATCCTACGGGTAAACAGCTTCATGGCAATGCAGTTGTTATGCCATCATTGCCGATTGCTTTAGACTGGCTAAGGGACTGTGCTAAAGAAAACCCAAATGTCCGTCTTCAGGTGAGAACATTGATGACAATGATCAATTTTTTCTATCCAATCAATTGTGTGCGTGATTTCTAAGAACTAGAAGTTTGACGTGCAGCCCACTGATATTATAGTATTCATGTCAATCAATTCTGATGAAACAATGTATTTCATAGAATATTGAAATTTGCTAATGTAGGGCATTGTGAAGCTCAAAATCTTAATAAATTAGATGTACTAGCCTAAGAAATAATAAGTAATACGACTGTTTAATCGGTATAACAATCACGACAGTAAAGAACTAGCCTTTTTTTACGCGTTCTATTTTTTATTGTTACATTCGAGCTAACCGGCCCTGATTGTTATCGTATCTATGTAGTATTTTGGTCATTTCATCAAGGTTTTAGTGGGGTCAATGAGATTCGCGTGCCTCCCAAGTTCGGTGTCCTTTGTTTTATCATCAGTGCAACTCTTGTTTTATTCTGGGTACTTCAATGCTCTTTGATTGAGGTTTGTTGTTTCTTTCGTATTTTTCAAAACTATCTCTTGCAAATGGCCCTAGCCACCTAGAGGATATGAGGATTGTGTGAAAAGGCAATTTTAGGAGAGATTCAACACACTTTGCTATAGTAGAAAAAATAACTAAGATAATGGTATTGGAGTGGAAAAGCATGATTTGGCTAGTGACAACTAACATCTGGGAAGAAAAGCAAGTGGAAGCTCGAACTTCTTAAATTCGACAGCCTACATGCATGATTTCAGAGATTGTCTGCTGATGATTGCGATATTCTTTCAAGTACAAGGATTCTCAAGAAAAAAAGGAAGGCGAATTAGTGGCTTACAGGTTAAACGGCAGTCGTCTGAGTTCTATCAGGTGGGTAAAAGCATGGGCCAGGTTATGAGAATCTAAGATGGGAACAGCTTAAGAAGAAACCAACTTGGGTGGGTCATGCGCTTGTTAGCCCATTACAACAAATGATTCTTATATGGGTTTGACTCCACCTTAATAATAACAATTAGCTACTATTCTAGAAATACCAAAATCATAGAATCTTGGGTAGGCTTGTACGGTCAAATTCAGTATGAAGCTCTCTTAATGGATAAGGTTTCTGAGTATTTGACATTGATTTTTACCAAGAAACTTTTCAGTGTTAGCTACTATATTTGACATTGATCTTAGGCTCTTCATGGACGGTGGACTCGGCAATACTTTTATTGGATGGAAATTTATTAGATTTCTTTTGTGTGATGTCAGAAAATGTAGATGAAAATGGGGCAAAGTCACGAGATGACCAGATGGTCAACCACACAAGTCATTGTATCTAGCTTGGGTATAACTTCTCGATATGCAGGACAACCGCAAACGGGTTTGTGCATTGGATTAGTGATGAACTTGAATATGAGCTCATGACATGTGGTTTGACTCATATGAAAGAAATCAGAAAGGGAAACTGTGCAGCTGACGGAACCATGATACGATTCTGTACAAATGACATAATAATATCATTTATGTTGACTTTTCTCCATTTATTTCTGATCTAGAAACAATTAGAGGTTCCTGATCTAGAACATGTATTTCACGTCTCCTTTGTTTTGGGATCTGCAGGTTCTTGTGACTGGGTCTCTGCATTTAGTTGGTGATCTCCTAAAGCTTCTGCGAAGATAAATCGAGCACCTGCTTCTTGCATCCTTTGGGTTCTCTTCTCTGAAAACTATGTTCTGTGAATTTCCCTTGAAGGTATTATTTTCTAATTTTCTTGGAGTACCGCATGTACACACCTTGACTTATATCCCATTATTACAGTTTAAATAAATGTCAAAACGATTCATTACCCTTTTTGGACTACATGAGCTATTTCAGATGTATGATTTCTGCTTGGTGCACTGATCATGTACAAACGGTATGCTTTTGTTCAATCTTTTGGTACCATATTTATCTTTGACTTTTATCCCATTATTGTAGTTTAAATAAATTTCAAAATGATTTATTACCCTCTTTGGACAATAAGCTATTTCAGATGTGATCACATGTACGATTTCTGCTTGACACACTAATCATATGCAACGGTATGATTTTGTTTAATCTTTTGATACCATAGAACTACTCAACCGGACTTTAATTCCGAGCAAATGTATAGCATAATTTCTAATCAGCAGTGTTTTACCTGGTATTTCTGGTCAACCATGGCATGAGTATTTAGGCATCCTTCGTTCATGCTCCAAACAGATATCTTTTAGTAAAAAAAAGGAGGTAAATGCAATCTGTAACTGGATAAAGAGGAGTTGACCGTGTTGTCATTTGGGGTCATTTCTGACTGAAGGATCTTTAAGTCAAGAACATGTGGGTCATAGAGTGAGCTTAAACGACTAGCATTGACTTTTATCCTTCTATCCTGTTCTTCAAGAGAAACCGTGGGCTCTTTTATTTTTTGCCTCCTTCACCAGCACCCTTATAATAAAAATTCAGAAAGCTCACAAGTTTCCGGAGAGATTGATAAATCTGAGTCCTTCACTGCATCTAAGCTTCAGCGTTGACTTATAATCTTCTGTCCATCTTAGAGAGAGAGAGAGGGAGAGAGGGAGAGAGGGGGATAATGGATATACATCATGTGGATTTCCGGCCTTCATATATACATTTCCTGCAACAATTCCACTGTAGAATTTTTTTTCCCACATCTGTAACCGACCGGGATAAGTGGAGAGTCAACCAAGCAAAACTCTTTTCATCATCTGATGGGTAGCAACGGCAACAACAGGATTTCCGCCAAAAACCACACAGACCCACCACCATATACATTATGCTACACTTGCTTGTAGAAGAGGATGTACGCCTGGTCGTGTAGGACCTTGTTCAGGTCAACGCATGTGACAGAGGCATCATCATATCGGAGCCACCGGCCACTGGAGCACTTGGCATCTGCAGTGTAGTGCCCCCTTGAGGGCTCCCTTCCATGGTGGGTTATAGTGGCCACAAGCTCGTACCTCCGACCCTGCGTTGACCGTACATAAGAGAGAGCTCCCCAATTAGAACCAGGAGGAAACTTGATCCAAATAGTAGGTGCAATGTTTAGGATTTTAAAAATAAATGAATTATGTGGGCATCAGCTGGGAGACCCAAGTCGGTATATAATCAAATGAGGGAGGGTTGACCACACTGAATCCACATTATGCTACGCTGTTCAGGGAAAATAGCAGGAGCAAACGTTCAAAGATTTGACTTTTTCATGCGGGCGCCAAGAGAAAAATACGAGATTTTTACTGAATTTGGCATGTAATGGAATGAAGGTGCTTTCTGAACACTAATTTTTTTGTTGGATGTCAAGCTGAAATAAACCAGAGAAAAGATAGAAATAGTAAACCTCTGTGGAGGGAGAAACGAGCAGCTCGCGGCGGAGGACGAGTTCTGGGAAGAAGTGAACGGGCTTGTGTAGCTTGGTGCTTCCTCTGGTTCCATAGCTGAATCTCATTAGATGCAGTATCAATACCTTGGAAAGAGTGTGTATTTTCACGGATTTACTTGCACTGACCTCACCAGCCTGCGCAACATAGAAAATGATAGAACTAGGGTTTAGGGTTTAAGGGTTTTCAGGCACTGCAACAAGTTATATCTGGTGTGATTATATGGTGCAGCGGGATACCTTTCCACCCAATGTCTTGTAGCCTTCTAGGGTTTCTGGTGCTGAAAAGAGGTGAAGTGCATCTTCAATGTTGCGGACAGAATCAGGGAAAATATCAAGGTGGAGCAAGAGGAAAGGTTCCACTGTAGCTGATGCCTTGTTACCTGCCAATAGAAAGCGACATACCACATGTCACCCACATACATCCGTCTCATGCAACGGATATATAACCCCAAAAAGTAACACAGGTGGCGTTATTTATTCTAGGTCAGGGTGGTCTCTTGATTTTTTTTTTCTAACTGATTAAATAAATTTATTTTCTAGTTATCTATCATACCAAGAATTTACTAAAAATGGAAGGGAGATAAGATAGGGTCATGTTCTCATCAAAGAGAAACAAGGTTAAACGAAGAGAGTAGAGTACCTCTTGACTTCACAACACTCCTGGTTTGTCCCCCAAAAATATCACTCAATTCTGATGGCAAGAAACTCTGAGTTCTAGTAATGGCAGACTTATTTTTCGGACCAACAGTCTCCCAACCGTCATCTTCTGCCGACGAGACCAGAGAAAATTCAGACCCACCATAATTAGATAAGAGGCCTTTCAGTTTGAGGAGCTCATCATGCATCCGATCCATGATAAAACTTAGAAATTCCTGTGCATCTTCTTGCCTGCAGAATGTGACATTCTTCAGAGGATAAATATAGACATGTATAAAAGGTTGGAACCCACCCAGCTGAATGCGAATAGCGAGAATGAATTAGTGACAAATCAATCAACTACATGAATGAATCCGAATAGCAAGAACGGATTTTTCTAGTCTTAAAGACCCAGTGGAGTTGGGCATAAACAGAAAACAGGCAAGGACTCAAGAATCCCAGTAAACAATGGCACACATGGCGTGCCCTTATCATCGTAGTAAACAAGTACAGCCGGTTCTTAGGGCTCAGAAGGCCACATTGGTACCCACTGAGTCCATTTACAACACTTGCCATTCGTGATTCATCCCTTTATGTGTTTGAAATAACTCAACACCTTCAGATCAGAAAGAAAATTTGACACAAAAGGATCCCAGGATGATGCAAACAAATTTAAGACTTATGAAATTAACTAGGCCAAAAAAATGGATTAAAAAGCTGATAATAAACTTCCATTAAGCAGAAGCAATCAAGCAGCTAATATCTACCATACACATTCAGAAAAAGCAGAAGGCTTAACACTCTTGCTGCCAATATTATCTTTACTTCACGAGCCGTTTTAACTTTCTTTCTTCTAGCAGCCTCTACCAAGCAATTTATATTTATCAGTGTTACTCTCCCTACAATTTTCAAATTAAATCGAATTATCTACATAGCCAGGTCATTGCCTCGAAACGAAAACGATTGCCAGAGAGTATACATGTCAGTCAACATTCTACAGAAAAACGATAAATTAAAAATGCCTTGGCCTCCCTCTGTCAGTCAACATTCAACTTTCTTCCTGAAGAATGCCTTAATGTCAAGCCCTAAAAAGGGATAATAAATTAAAAAAAAATAAACAAACCTTGGCCTCCCTCTGACGCTGCTGTTGTAGGCAGGAAGATCAGGGGTAAAATTCTTCAAAACACCATCAAACATTATAGGACTAAAAGACGGTCCAGTCCTTACAACACTAGCTTCATGCTTCTTTGGGCTTGAAACATCAGGTAAGTCGAAGTCCGTGATGAATTCGACAAATGCATTGAGAGTAGGATAACCAATCTAAAAGAGAAACATAAACCCATAAGATGCCAATAAACAAAGTGATAAAAACAGTGATTCCAGCAGAAATTCAAATAGTCTGAACCTTTGGAATGGTACGAGCTCTTAGGTCCTGAAGAAGCCGAACAAACGGTGTGCAGGAGAGAAGAGCCTGCAATGTTGCATTAAGAAAGCACAGATTTCCGGAGTTAATTAAGCCACGCGGCAGAACATCTTTTGACTCTGGTCCCCCATTTGATCTTTCGATAGTATTCACCCCAGAAGTTGAAACCGTAGTTGATTCAACAGAAATTTCACTGTCAAGTATTTTTCTTTCTAGGGTTGATGCTTCTGCATCTTCCGATTTATGGTGATTGATATGATGCATACCGGATCTTCCAAACTCTTTATGATCAAATTTATTTTCATCAGTTTTCGAAGTTTCAACAATCCGTTCCTCCCCAGTTGACCCTCCTAATTGAGGAGCATAACCAGCACTTCCATTTGACCGAACACTTGAAGTCATCTTTAGGTCATGATTCGTTGATGCGTTTCCATTCTCATATATTTTCTTTTCCACGACCTCCTTTGATGCATGCACACTTGAGCTCAGAGGAATCTCGAGCCTTTTTTTCTCAGCATTCAAACCCTTTGATATTGATATGGATGCCACATCCAAAGAACCAAATTGCAAATAAGTCATTTCTGGAGGCAATACAACTTTTTCAACGGCCTGCTTTTGAAATAATTTGGTTTCATCTTCCGAAAAGGAACCAAAGATGAAGAGCTGAACAAAAAACAAAATAAAAATCAAATTAATTAATGAGACTGATTAAACGCCAATATTGGAGTATAAAAAATAAGCTTAGCTTGCCTCAAAATGTGAGACATGAATCAAATATGATACACAACATGTAGAATACCCATCAAATGAAAAGTAATGCATTGATCCTGACAGAGGAATCCATTTTCTCCGACATATAAGAAGACATGATTGTAATTGAGGGCCGGGGGGGGAGGGGGGGAGGAATATGGTTTCACATGAAATATTTCCTTTGCTGACTGTTGAGCACGGATACCGAATAAAAAAAACCCATGCGAGAAACAGCTTTGTCCCGCTAAAAGTATTGTATACGCAGCCCAGGTTCGATGTATGACACAACTTGTTCGAGAAGAAACTGGGAGAAGTGTAGAAAAGTTCTTGGTCCAGAGTTTCATCAAAGGCTTAGTACTCTCACAAGCTTCACCCGCATGACAATCGTCTTGCAAAGAAAAAATCTTTAGCAGAAAAGTGTCCCTGACAAGCCCAGGTCTTCAAAGACGTACAGACTCTTTCCTAAAAGTTTTCATATAATCTATTATATAGCTGCTTTCTGAAAACGGTGAATAATTTCTATAGGACACCTATAACTAACAAGTAGATAGTGAGCAATCAGGTGAAAACTTCGTAGGGTTCTAAACTACGACGATAAATTCCCAGGATAACAAAAGGGATTTACCGCAAGATTACCAGTAAAAACAATGTGGGAAAAATGGACGACAGCCTTCGCCCCTCGTCAATGAACGGCAACTTAGCATGAAACAATGGAAGGATATCCAAATAGAGGATCCTTGTTAGGAAAACTGTTAGGCCCCTTCTATCAATGGGTTTAGAAAGATATGAGCTATTCTATTCACTCACGGGGTTACGAAGAGTAAGCGCAATAGATGGCCTTTTTTGTTTAAAACCTAGTAAAAAGCTCAGAATCATACTCCTTAAAAATGCCAAGGGATAGCCTAAGTGCACAGAAATGAATGAGCAAATTGCACTTATCCGAGACAGCCTAGACGTGAATTGAGCAATATTCTCTGTGTGACCAGTAAGATCTTAGGGAAAGCTTTTCTGCCTCATGCATTTCATGACAACCGAAGAGCATACAATCTATAAATAAATTTAGGGTTTCCTTGAACTTGAAGGAAATATTGAAAAGGCATACCTGATCGCTTTTACTCATCTTCCCCGCCGAGTCGAAGGTACCCGAGACTTAAGACGGCCTGTGGAAGATCTTCTGCAGGCGACCAGACGGCGGACGAGGCCGGCAGCCCAGAAAAGGAGAGGGCACAAGAACCGGAGGAAGACAACGAGAGAACTAACTCTTGTCAGCCAAAATGCCCGACGAGACCACACCGGAAGCGCATACGCAGGGAACACACGAGTTGGGCGAGACTTGGAAAGGAAGGATCAGAGAACGAGACCAATAACATCTAAGCACAGGAACTGCCTCCATCCCTCTCATGTCACCCTCCTGCTGCTGGTTCAGTTCTCCGACGGGGCCCGACCAAACATACATCGCCGCCGCCTGAGCAAAGAAGCATCAGCAGGGCAAATCCTGCGAGTCCCCACGAGACCTAGCGAGAGAGAGAGAAAGAAAGAGGAGCGAGGGTTCCAAGTTCTCAGGTTATATTAAATAGGCAGGCATCTGGCGGCGCCAACCTTGGGGATGGCGAAAATATTACATCGGCCCTTCACAATGAATGTATTTCTATTGTGCCCTTTACATCAGCCATCTCCTACAGGAGTTGCTTTGATTACTGAAATGTATTATCACATTTTTTTCAAACTCAAGAATGTTTATTAATCTACAGATTTACCAAGGACTGATACGAAATTTTGAGAACGGTAGGTCCTAGGAAAAATATTACGTCAGCCCTTTACATGAGCTATCTCTTACAGGAGTTGCTTTGATCACCGATATGTATTTTCGCATTTTTCTCATACTCAAGGATTTTTTATTAATCTACTGCTTTTCCAAGGACCAATATAAAATTTTGAGAACTATGGATTGTAGGAAACAACGATATTTAGCCGGTAAAGAAATAAAATATAATCCAGGGTTGGATAGCTACTTCTCCCTAAAATAGGGACCGAAATGACATATGTCGAATGTTCGCCCAGTGTCCCATCGTTTTCAATGGATCTGACTTAAATGGGCCCATTGGGTGTATTTGGGCCGTCAGCACCATAATTGGCCCAAAACGGGTTTCGGATCCTACCCCATGGGACCCACAGTTCCCACAACCTGACACGTCACCTATGATCTAACGGATAACGGTATTGGTTTCAGGTTCCCGACCGGGGAGCTGGCGGGAACTATGATGTGGGACCTACTCCAACCGCTGGCAAATGACCGAGAAGCCCAAACAGAGATTGACCAGGTGTTCTGGGCCGTATGTATTTATGAGGAACTTTGTGATCTTATGGGAAACGGAAAAGGAAACGCAGAAACCTAAGACATCGGCAGTTAATATACGAATTAAACACTATATATACTGATTCTTCCCCGTGCCTAAGCTCGCATTTCCTGACAGAGAGGGATTTTAGCGCCAGAAGCTGCCGGAAGAGGGGGAAGAGCTCGCCGCCGGCAAGGGATTTTCCACCGCCGCCGTCGCCGGCGGCACCGCCCGTTCCCTTCCTCCCTCTTCCTCGGGGCCGGCAGGGAGAGGAGTTGTAGGGGCCGCTTGTGTTGCGGCTCAGTTTTAGGTTTTCGCGGAGAAGGGGGGGGTGGGGGAGGAGGTGGGAGGAGTTGCAGGTGATGTGAAATTCTTCCCCCGATTTTGATTTTGTTGGAGATTGGTGATGAAGGATTCGAGGAGAGTGGGTGATTGGGGGGGCGAGGTGGGAAAGCAGAGAGGAGGAGGGGAGAGTGGGTGGTGGAAGCCCCCTGCTGGCTCCAGTCGATCGTTCTCTTCTAAGCACGGAAAGCCGCCCCCGGGGCCAAGTATGTTTTCTGGGAGGAAGATCCTGTAAGGATGTTTATCGGTTTGATTTTCTCCGCGTTTTGGTGACCTGCCTGACGAATATGTTCATTCGTAGTCGTTTTGATCCTCGTGCCGATCGACGTTGATCCGCTATAATCGGTCGATTATCTCGGGTTTATATTGACGTCGCTTGACCTAACTTCGTCGTTGATTGGCATCTTGAATGCATCTATCCGTTTCATTCACGCATCCTCTCTCGTAATCGTTCCAGGATGTTTGATTTCTGCTGCTCCTCGCGGAGCCGACTGTTGATTCCGTGACTGACTGTGTTTGGTCCATCGGGACCGGAACTATTGCGAGGAAGATCAAAAGATGGCATGAAGAACTCGACGTCGCTCTCCTCTGATCCACGCATAGTTTTCTTCTTTTTTTGTCATCTTCTTTTTTTTAATCCTTCGCCCTCGAGTATTTAACGTTCGTATAATTATTGGTCTGCGATGATTGAATCATGTTGCGTGATATCCATCCACTCTTCGCGCTGTTCTTCAGGATCTTGGGTGCCGACTGTGCCCGCATGGGAGAAGAGATTCTGCACCGCCGTCTGCGGGATTCCGTGGAAGAAGATCTGCGAGACCAAGAGAGTGATGTCCTTCTACTCGAATGTGGTTGACTGGGACGATTCAGCTGGGAAGGAAGCCTTTGAGAAAGCCAAATCTCGGTTCTACGCGGAGATCAATGGCCTCCCCTGCCAAATCGCCCTTCCAGGCCCAGATCTCTTCATCGATGAAGTCAACTGGAACGCCGAAATCGACCCACAGCTGGTGCTGGAGCTGGAGAAAGATCTTATTCCCAGAGAAGTTGACCAAACAGCCCAGAGAAGCGGCGTTCTGAGCCTTGGCTGGGATCGGCCGATCCCCTGCTCCGGCTGGGAAGACGCTGAAGGCGGTGGCGCCACTGCCCTCGCCGGCGGAAACGGCGGTGCTGTCAGGGGATGGGAAAGCAGCGAAGAACGGGGAGGAGGCGGCGCCGCCGGAGGATGGGATCACCAGAAGAACAGTAACTGGGACGGCTACAACTCCGGCTGGGGAGCTGCAAAAGCTCAGGAGTCATGGTGGCTACAGGATTCTGTGAGGAACGATCTTCCCGGCCATTACTCGGAGCTCAAGAGCGAGCCCAAGATGCGGGAAGGTGTTGGGCAGTACTACCTGAGCTCCGCCACCTTCCACCACCGGAGAGACGACCCCCACCAGCCGGCCAAAGCTCACCGGAGGAGCAGCCGCCGCTGGAAGGCCCCCCCCCAGTGACCATCTTCTTCTTCAGTATATTTGGGCCCTGTCACAGAACAAGCCGACCGGCGACTGCTCTTCTCGCCGCCGTCGTCATGATCCTCTACTGGTAGAGCATCTGCTGTCTCTGTGGATTATACCCCCGAACTTGGCAAGAACTGTGGAAGATGTCTGGGAAGTAGGGCAAACGGGCATCACTCAGAGTTTAGTTATGGGGATCGAACGGCTACTATTTCAGGGGTGGGGAGGAGCATGGCAGGAATGTCTAGCCCCCTTGAATCTATCTCTTCATAGGTTTTCACGGTACATCCGAAATGGAGCAGCTAGAATCTGCACGTGGCTTTTAGAGATACATCCAAAGTGGGTAAAAAAAAAAAGAAAAGTCCACGTACTTAGGTCAATGCCATGTCCGAAATGGGTTGCTAGAATTTTTGTACAGATTTTGAATAACGTATCAAAAAATCTGCCTAGGGAGTGGATTTTGTTTTGGATGTGTCATCCATTGAGAGTGCATTTGACCAATGTTGGATGATTCAACCAAAATTAATGAATGCATGTAAAAAATTGGACCCAAAATGGGAAAATGTCTGAATGGCGCTCTTCCCCTGCCCACGATCAGTTGGTCAACACAAAATATTGATCTTATTGAAAAAGGAACGGCTTTTAAAAGGGAAGAATGGTAGTATCACTTATGGTTAACTTGCCAACATTGATGAGATATTTGTCAAGGAAATAAAGTATAATATGAAGGCAAAATATGGTTGTATGTGTCTCTAGCTATCTATATGGCTTATAGTGACATTGATTGAGTGGGGCAAATAGTGAGAATATTCCAACTAATGAATATAATGTTATCAATAATTATTTTTTTTTGTAAAAATGAATAAGCTGGTTGCATCCTCTCTATCCCATATTATTTGTGATAATCTCTATTAGTTTCAACTAAAAATCTTATTAAAAAAATCATTAGACAGTCATAAATTTCTTTAGACTGATATAGATGACCTTACAGACCAATTAGAACATGAAAAAATTGTGAAAAGTTATTATCTAATATGGTATTTATTCCACCACTTCCATCTTTACTCCATATGTTTCTTTTCATCTCTCTCTCTCTCTCTCTCTCACACACACACACACACTCTTCCTTCTCTCTCCATCTTTCTACATGATCTTATTACATTGGCACCCTTTATTTGTTAAATATTCTATAACTATATTGCTGCACAATTAATCTTTCATTCTCAAGCAATGTACTTTGAAAGGGTCAATGCAATTTACCAACAGCAATCTACAGCATGATTAAATCTTATGTTTAATTACTCAAATGAGACAAGATCTGCAAGAATAATATCAAAGTGGTGTAATATAGACAAACATTATCATAATAATATTTTTTTTATTTTAACTATGCACTTGTATGAGTCATTGATATTTGGCTTACCATTTAGTCAACTATTTTGGTTGGTAACTCACTTACTCTATTGTGGGCACTTTGGGAATAAGCAACTTATATAGTACTAGAATCTAGGGGTAAGTTGTGAGCATTACATTCATTTATGACTACATACTACGTTAGCATGGTAGATGATATCAACTCAAGAATTGAAAATGAAAACCTGGCTGGTAACTTCATGGTTGTGTAAAGTTGTCTTTGAGTTTTGTGTGGGTCATCTAAGATTTCTCATTGTGAGGGTAAATCATGAAGAAAAATTATTGCAAATAAATGTGGACTATGAGACAATTAATTGACATCAACTGAAATATTCTAGTCTCAAAATTCAAAAGTGTACACATGTGTGTGAATTACTAACATACTTTTTCTTTACTTAACTAAACTTAATCATTCCATGCTTAATTAAACTCTAATCATTCTATGACTATCTTGTTTCTCATGATAACACAAAGTTTCTCTAATTTATCTTTTCATGAAATGACTAGTTATTTGTACAACACTAAATGATGAATTCATTCGATTCCATGACTCCCCAAGAAGTAAAAGAAAGAAGAGAGTTCGAATAAGATAAATTGGGTAGGAAAAAGTAAAAAACTAACACATAAGATATGAAGGTAGATTTTGGTTGAATGAAAGAATAACTTAGTGGTAGTATAAAGGCAATAAGAGATTATGATCCTTAGCATTCGTCTAGACCTACTTGTGCTCTTTTTATAGCCCATACTAAAAAAGTAATGAGTAATGCCTCGTGAAAACAATAGCTTTTAGCCAAGATAAGACATGTTGAAACAAAATAGCATAGCATGATATATAATCACATCGATGGTGGTGTTACGGGGCACACTAGGCCAACTAACATCAGAAAGGAGCGTAGCAAGCCTATCTTACATATAAGCCTTGAGAAACTATAAATCAGGTCCTTGGAAAAATATGGGTGAAAAATATTTCTGAAATCATTAGTGTGGCTAAAATATAGATTTTAATTACAACAAAGTGAATAGAAAGCTAATTAATCCCCTATTATAGATAGAAAGCTTACTCACAATAACTTGGTATTAAGGCTATGTCAAAGTAATGACGAAAATCATCAAGATTATACTTAACAGTGTGTCAAATCCTTAAACCAAGTCATCTTCTTAAAATTTGTAAAATTCTATGGGAAGAAAAAATCGTACTAATTGATAAAAAATAATAGGTGGCATGCCTAGTCTCTATTAAGTTTAACATTACCATTATTGTAACAATGTTGACTTTATAATTACCTTAATTAGCATTGCCACTATTTACACTAATATTTAGGAATATAAAGCTCTAGTGATTCAATATAATAATTCTGTTAAGGTTTGTTGTTATCTACTTCAGGTTAGATAGGAGAGAACATCCCCATAAAATATTATTTAATTTCTCCTTTACTAGACGTTGCTTTTATTTGTTTGTCATCCAACAAGAAATTTCAAAACTTATAATTTATTTTTACAACTATTTTAAAGAAATCTTTTAGAAAGGAAAAGGTAGTTCAAATTTTTTCTTTCATAAAGTATAAAAATAATACAAATTTTGGTCAAATTCTTCAAAACATCTTATCTATTATCAATTGTCAGCATATCTATGTTAGGTTTTGGCATGCACTAGGGGGGTTGAATTGATCTTAATTTTTATTTTTATTATATCTTTTATTATGATGTTCTACCATTATAACTGTAGGAAGATAAACTTTCTTGTTCACCTTCAAAATTTCATCTTTTTATAGTAATTTGATATATTATCTATGTCTATTATCCCAGAATAAACATATTTTTTAGTTCAATTATCATTTTACATCCATTAACCATGGTTGATTAATGAGATAAGGTCCATTAGATATTCACTAGAATCTCCTTTCTATGATCATGACTCTAGGAGGCCACACTACTATTTCAGCATGATAATTTATTATAATTTATTTATAAAATTTTCTTCTAGATTCACAATTTCAAGAAGCTATACCGCTATTTTTTAGGTCAATTTCCACTTATAGTAAATGAAAATTTAAGATCAGATATAAACCACAACAAATAATGAAAGTTATCACTGTGCATTTCCTTTAGAGATTGAGATTGACTTTATGATTTGTCTAAAGTAATGAAGATAGTTGCAACTTTGAATGCACTTGATTTCTTAGCATAAGGTAGCTACTTGTCAATGAAATTTGCATTAGAAGACAAAATGCTTGAAAGACCCTATGAAGGCTTGACATTAAATGTTGGAATTGATGCTTTTTCAAGCTCCAACAGCCTCTTCACATCTCACTAATTTCTCACAGGTATTTCATTGCGGGTACTAAACTCAAGGGCTTGGTATCATAATAAGAAGATAGATATTTTTGCTAATGATCATTACTCATTCAAAACCTCTATATTTGAAATGAATCATCTTAGAAAATCTTCTACATCTCTGATATCTTCAATATCTCTTATTCTTGGAATAATCACATATTCAAATGGTTCAACAGCCTGATGATAATCTATCATTTTAGTCATTTCGGATATCCTTGCACGAAATGATTACTCTATATTGTTAAATAACAATGTTCATATGTGTTTCATGAGACTTTAAAATAGTTCAATAAGGATCCGTAAATTGAATGCAGAACTAGTGACATATATTTATTTCAATCATGTTTTTATTAATCTGTTCAGTATGTGTTTCACTCTAAAGTGAATATCTTAAATTAAGAGTTTGATATGTGTAGTGACAATCTTTGATAATCTAAAGTATATAAAATGATTTTTAAAAATATATACTTTGATATCTAAAAAATCCTATTCGACAAAATATGCAGAGTCTTAATTCAAATGATCATTTCAATATTAAAACTATATAAAAGTAATGATCTAATATCATTAGCACATAATAAACTTTGTTTTTAAAACCATCCAAAAGTAATGGGATCTACTATCATTAGCCCATGTTTTATTTAATGTAGTCATTGACTGTGCTGATCATTACTTTCTCTTAGTGACGTATTCTATAAATATTGACACTTTTCATTGTAACATAATAATTCTAGTATAATAAAAACAATAAGTTACATTTATTTAATATTATCATTCAAATATAAATTTTTAATTCCAAACATTCAATAATTCTATGTCAACATGAGTATTAATATCTTTATATTTATTCTCATATTATGTAGGTTTAGAGGAATATATAATTTGATCCATAAACTTTTTATTTGATTTATCAGCATCAAAACATTCTTCATGTAATGCTCTAACAATCTTGACTTAAGAGAACCCAGGTTCTCAATTGAAGGAAAGAGGGGCTTTCAATGATGCAAAATGCTTACATTTTAAAAAAATAAAATTATATCCATCCTCTCATGGCGACAGATTTTTCCCTATTCCCTTATTAATCCTTCTCTCTTAAGAGAGAAATTAGTGATGCTCTCCAATGGTAAATAGAATTACATTAATTTACACAAGGGAAAAAGTCACACAAGGCTTCTCTTACCAGTGGAGCCCAAAATTCCCATAAAACACTGATATAAGAAAGCAGCACTCTTCATCCTACTCTCTCCGGTTTTCCCCAGACTTGCAACAACACAAACTCCAATTCTCAAATCAAAGATCAAAATATTTCCATTTCTAGGAAAATTAGACGAAAAAAATGGAGATTTTAGCACCTGCCTATTGAAGAATACAAGACTAGAACTCGGGTTGAATGGAGGAGTTGGAGGGTAATGGGGTAGCGTGTGTAGATAGAGATCCCTATGAAACCGATAGAGATATGGCTGCTGAACGAAGCTTGACACCATCTTCTTCCCATCTCGAGTGCGGAGCAGCTGCCCCGGCTATGACGGCCTGACGGCATGATGAAATAAAGGATCATTAACATTCCAACAAAATTACCATCTGAACCATAATGGTTACATCAAATGATAATCAGACTAATAGTTCCAAAGTTTAAACATATCAGAAGAGAAAATCAGACTAATGGTTTTCAGTTTTTCCATTGGGTGGAATCGATATATGATTCTTACAGGGAGGGAAGAAGCAAGAGACTAAGAGATGGCGAAGATTGGGTAAGCACATTACCTTCCCACTGTTAATGGCAGCAACCAGGGCAAGATGCTGGTCGTTGACACCAAACTCGTAGAAGTAGTAACTCCTGAAAGCATGGTCTACCAGGGTAAATAAAAGGAGAAAAAGGCTTCTTGAGACAGATGAAGAGGATGGGTGGGTGGGTTTTTCTTTCCTAGATAACAAAAAAGATTATCAAATCGTGATTTTTCAGTACTGAAGAATTGAAAGTTGGGTTCATCTGCAGGACTTCAATTCGTGAATTTGAGAAGTTAGAAAAAAAAAAAATCAGATTAGGGCACGAAGTTTGATGAGATATGTCCATCCGATTGGTAGCCTTGAATAGATGTCACTCTACCTCAATCCTTCATCCTCCTTGATCTTTATAGCCCGAGCTGAGTACAATTTTGCTCCACCTATGCCAGCACGAACATTGATGAAATCAGAGGCCAGATAGATTATAGAAAGATCAAAAATAGAAATATAAAGTAACAAAGTCTTCATTAAATTCGATGTATTTCATCAGTTGAGGTATTTACACTGGATAAATACCACAACAGATGTGACGAGGAAAGTATGCGGATGGAGATACGATCTAACCACTACCCAAAACCTTAAGAAGAGATGCATTTCCTCTTTAATTATCTTTAAATAAATTAATTTTTTTTTCACATAAACTAAAATTGGAGTTAAAAAATTATTTCTGTATTTTAACTAGCCCATGTGATTTCAAAATGAAAAGCCGTGGCAGGTGACATCAGACAACATTCTAGTTAGTAAAAATTCACATATTGACATATCATTCTACTGGGTATGTCCGCTAGACAAACAAAAAAAATGATTTGTATAGTTACCGGGAACAAAAATTTTGGATGCTTCCTTGAGCGTACCCAAATCTGTAATATCCTTGGCCTGTCAAAGACATCAAGAAACATGTGAATTACAAAGCAACTATGACAACAAATTACGAGCAAGACAAACATCTCCTCGATTAAAAGGAAAAAATAAAAATTGATGGTCTAATTTGAGATGATTTATGATGGGCTTATATTTTTTTGATTTACATAATAGAGGTTTTAAGCAGTAATTTTTCACAGCGTAGTTGACTCAAGATCCAGAAAAAAGTGTAGAGTCAAAAGTGATACATGTGTGTAACATCATTTTAAGATTTGATAAGAACAGAAGAAAAAATGGTGTCATCAATATCTGAAGGTGATACAATCAACATACTGTGTAGACAATAACTCAGTTCCCCCCAAAAGTGTAACAGAAGCATATCAGAGAATTAAAAAGTTAAACTGCGGGTAGAGAGAAAAGAAGAGCTTTGACTTGACATTTGACACTCCAAATACTGCAGGAGAAGATGACAAATATATGTGTCCAGAGGCAAAGTTAAAAAGATGATTAATACATGGGATGAGGTAATTTTAATCCTCAGTCTTATGAGGGCATCACCATTTCAAGCAAGGCCTTGAATAAAAAGGAATGAGGTCTATGTGTTAGAATATGGGATCTTCTTCATGGCCATGATCACCAAGAGGAATATTGAAAATGTAATCCCATTTGTTGTTTAGAACTACCCAATAATTTACGCAATCTACTCGTAATTGTAAATAACATCATCAATAAGGATTGGTCTTGATGCCAAGATCCATTTAGGCCAAAGCAACGACCTCCAGATATATTCCATCAATTGTTGGCCCAAACCAAACAACAAAATAATTCGTGAAATGCATAAAATTACAGCGTAAATGCCAAACAAGGAAAATAGGATTCTCATAACGGTATTCAATCTCCTTTCCAGTCAAGGGCTTAAGCCTTAATTAATAATTTTCTCATATAAACGTATAAAAGATATAAACGTACCAGCTAGCAACATGAATTTTGATACTTATAACTTGGTGAATCCTATGACTTAGAAAGTTCGTATGGTGGCATTTCCAAAGGATCATTGACTTTATTTCGACATTTTGGAGTTACACTTGCAGATAACATCACAGGACATTATTTATTGGAGGAAAAAGTTAACCATAAATTCGAACTAACCTCTAGGAAAGTGATCTTAAGTTGATTGGATGGGCGAACAACCACACTCACAACTTCTGATCTGCATAAAAGCTAACATTAAAAAATTGGCAAGAATACACCAAAAACAGACAAAAATTCTTCTTCAAGTACTCGTATGTTTCCTTTCAAGTGCGAAAATAAAGTTTTGGGAGAGGATCCGAAAAGGACATCAGATCAACCATGCACTGGTCAAGATCTACACTGAAAATAATTATGCGACTGGACTTGGAGAATACCAAGTTTAACTTTAACCCTTTTGGCCATTTCAAGAAGTATTTGAGTTAAAGACTATAGGGTTTCCCAACCGTTTTTAAATACGTTTTAGGAGCATATAAGGCCAAAATTCCAGCCCATTAGTTATGGGAGCCGTTGGGATTTCTAAGCCGGATCTAACAGCGCACCTTCAAAAGCCTCGTGTTTCTCCTATAAATAGAGGCTGAACTTGATGTCAAGAAAAAATAAAATTGAATGAAAATTTTGGCCATATCTCTTTCTCCGAGAGGGTCGCTAAGGTCCTTTTCGCATGTGAAATTGAGGTCTCAAGGCGTGAATCTGTGGGTCAGTTCATCGTTGTTTGGTCCCTAGCACCCATTGAGTAGTGTGGGACCTCTGCACCTCCTATCCACTATTCTACAAGTACAAGACTCATGGGATCAAGGTATAGTCATTCTCAATCTTATTCTGAACCTATCATCTAGTGTCCTAACAAACATCTTTTATTGCTGATGATACTTGTCTCGTAAGTCAAAACTGTTCCTACCTCCTTATCCTCCATTCTAGTCCACCTTCCACACATTATAAACAATTACCTTAGACAGAGAATTTCCATACTTCCTACGGTTTAAGTTTGATTTTGAAAGTAAGGCGCCCTGCCAGTAACCCTAGCTTAGACCATAACCCAACCATGATTACTCAAAGAAAAAAAAAATTGGTTGGCTATCCTTCATTTAAACGGAAATTTACTGTTTTCTCTTAAAAACAGTCACACATGATTTGTCCGGCATCAGGATCTAGCGCCTCCTCTCCAAAACTCATCATTTAAAGCTCATCTCGATTGAAGTTAGTTGACTTCGACATCTGGGATCTATGTCATGTTCAACCCAATTTTATTATTAGTATTGCATCAGCTTTGTGAATGATTTTTATCACATCACTTAACTCAATCCACTAGAAGAGCGAAATCCCTCATCTATTTGAATGCTTCTATATAGAGTAGTGACTTGATATTCCACGTATTGATGTGATTCGTATAAATAAAGCTTTAAAATATTTGAGAAAATGCATCCACTTTATTGTATATTTTATGGAATTGTTCAGCAAACTTCATTTGCACCAAATCCTAACAAAATGGTTTTTCTGAATGTAAAAATTACATCTTTTAAATGTTATTTTTACGAGACAAGTAAGCATACTGACCGGGACAACCATTATCAGGGAGGAAGTGATGAATAAGTTCTATACTTCTTACATTAAGTCTTGACTAACTTATTGAATTGTTTACAAAGCCATTGAGTAGCTTTTCTTTTCAGACGAGGTTGGCCTATGTGTCATATGCTCTAGTTTTAGAGGGGGGGTACTTAAAAATTTTTAGTTTCCTCATCGTATTTGGGGTTATAAGTTTTAAGTGATCCAGAAAAAAAATTATATAACATCTTCTCTCTCTCTGTTACTTGCCATGCTCTCTCTCTCTCTCTCTCTTGAAAGAATGATAAATTTCTAATGTAAGAAAAAAAATGTTAAAGAATGAGAGGGAAGACCATAAAAATGTATATAAAACTGATATTAAAAAAATAAAGACGAAATTCGATTTTGTTATACCTATCAGGTGATGCAAATTGAGCAGCAAACATCTTAGGCTTTACTTTGTCTCCATACAGCGAAAGCCCAGCATTATAGTCCTAGGGGAAACACTATCAAACATATAAGAAGACATCTGATACCGATGAGAAATAGATATTTAAACCAATACTAAATTCTATTTTAGTATCCCTGGCTTAACATAATTTAGCACACTATGCTACGTACATGTGATCTTCAACCTAAAGGATGTTTGAAATGTTGAAGCAACATAGTATCAAAAATGTAATGTATGCATGAGAACTACATAATCTAACAACATTACAAAAACCGCTGAAATCCACAAATAGATGAAAAATGTAAAAGGATAAGAACAACAGCCAGGATGTTGTCACAAAGTTTCTCAAAATATTGTAACATACGAAATACCCATTGGATAAGACGGCCTTTTACTTTAACCAGTGGTTTTCGGGCATACATATCGCAGATTTACAGTTCAACCTGCTCAAAATAATTGAATTGAGAAAAATACTGAAGATTTGCAGTTTTTCTAGCTCAGTAATAACGGGATCCGTAACTGTTCATCCTCTTCTAATGAACCCTTATTTTTTTCCCCATTCTAGTGGTTGACTCAACATATATAAACAATTTAAATTCGTACAGGAGCAAGTGCTCTAGTGTTTTTGGGGAGCTAAATACCATTTTTTTTGTGAGATATGAAACTTAATTATCGGATGGAAACAAAGAGTGCTTAAAATTCATATTTTTCACCAATATCAATAGGATTGAGTAATGTAAACCTGATGACCAAAAAATAAAAATAAATATTACTGTCTGGTTTAGGCTGCCCCAGTCTATGAATATTGAGGGGATAATTAAAGGTTTCAGACGGAAGGAACTTCTTATACAAGCAAATTAAAATGTCGAACTAAGGCCATGATAAAAAATATGCAACCCCTGGCAGGTTTCTCACTTTGTTAATTATGTTTCCTTCATCTTGTGTACAAAATTTCAGGATCTTGTAGTTAATGACGAAGCGAACCACTGTCTCTGGCATCAAAGTACTGAGACTAATATCTCCAATGATTAATAGTGAAACTAATAAACAAAGAATATGTACTGTGGTGAGGATTAGAGTATTGGTTGACATGATGAAAAAAGTGTGTCGTCCTTAAAGATCAAGTTCTCACTCTTGAGTTTGATTGCACTGGCAACGATGGATCTATGATACTGGTAATCCTTGCATTCTAGTCCTGATGCATATCTGCAATATTATCGTACAGATAATATCCCATGTTCTTTCTCATAAGCCACGAAGACATTATTATTCACCATAAACCATTTCAGAATGTGATGCTGGTTAGTTTGCATCAATATCCAAGACAGAAAAGGGGATCAGTAAAAACGCTTACAACTAAGAAAGATTAAATGTTAATGAATCACGGATACAACAATTTTGATTCACCATCTGAAGGTGAATTTTATTGAAGGATCATTCTACCTATCGCAATAAAGGATAGTGTTATCCAGTTTCAAAAGATCTATTCAAGTCAAAATTACTAAAACTAAATTAGAAAGACGTCGAGAAGAAAAATATGAACACATGCGTCTGATCAAGAAATAAAATAGTTTCTGCTTTTAAGCAGTAATTAAAGTGGAAGAACACACTGAAATTTACACAAGGGTAGAGTACCTCAATTCCTGGGCAACGGAGAAAAAGCAGCGAATCGAAGCTAGATTATTCCTACCTCCGGCTCAGTGACGTCTTCAAACGTCGGGGGTACGCGAATGGAGAATCCATCTCCGATGTGCAGGAACCATGACTTGGTGCTGGCAATGCCCGGCAGGAGGGGCTTGCGTGGAGGGGGCGGAGCTGGAGGAGAAGCAACATCGTCTAACGCAGGGCTAGAAGGAGGCGCCTCGTGGGTTTCAGCCAGTGTAGCTGGCGCGAAGGAAGAACCAAGGGTGAACACCACCGATAATGCAGAGAAGGCCGCTGTCTTCAGGAAGGCCTCCCTCCTTGTGGCACAGCACAGATGACTGCGGCAGCAGACAACAGGGGAAGAAGAAGATGAAGAAGAAAGAAAAGTTCTACGCTTTGGGTTCGGTGGGGTTCCGGTCGAGGAAGGGAGGAGGAGCAGCTCCATCGCCATGGGAGCCGCGGCGATGGATTCCCCCACCAAGGACCAGCAGTGGATGGGGTGGGGCCATATCTGCCATGTCGGCGATCGACGGTTTTCCTTGCAAATTGAGACGTTGGGCATTTCCCCGGGCCCCACCTCGCCCCCCAGATTCAGTTCCCGCCGCCCGATCAAGATTCCCCGACTACCAGGCCCAGAAAACGTGGCTCCGAGCTGAAATTATGCGCAGCGGAAAAGGGAAAAATGATTTTCGGTGAATTTAAATAATTGGCGACCCAATATTTGGACTGGGTCGACCAAAAGTCAATCTTGGTTGACCAATCAACCAGCGCATCACGACGCCAGTAAGAGTTATTTGGGTAGACACCGAATTTCATGGTCTCCCCTCCATGAATTTCATTATAAAGAAAAAAAATATAAACTTTCTGGAACTGTGAGCTTCCCTTTTGACAACCTGACATTGATTTTTGGATCGACCAAAAGTCAATCTTGGTTGACCAATCAGCCGACCCATCACTAGGCCAGTAAGGGTTTTCTGGGCATACACTGAATTTCATCCTCTCGCCTCCATGAATTTCACTAGAATGAAAAAAATATAACTTTTCTGGGACTGTGGACTCCCCCTACGACAACCTGAACATGGTTTCTTTCTTACAAATGAATTCACACATTTTTAGCCTGGTGGGTTTTTCTTGGGTTTATATTTTTTTTCACAAAGTTGGTTGATCCAAGATCAACCAAAAGTCAATCCTGGTTGACCCACCTGACAAGAGAGGGTTTTGGGGGTGGCGCAGAAGCTGAACTCCACAGTCTCACCTCCGTGTCCCCAAAATAGCAATTCTCTGCAAATGTGGACTCCCCTCCGACATACCAAACACGGTTTCAGACATCATCAAGATCTCAACCGAGATCGAGGCATCTGATTCAGGTGCATCCTCATCAGGGCACATCGGCGGACCAGATGCCTGCTGGCACATGCGATGCTGTTGAAGAGCTCATGCCTTGCCACAGGCCTCAGCAGCTTCAACTCCTCCATGGAGCTCTCTGTGGGAGCGGCAGAGAGGATCTGCCTGGCCGGATGAACATGCTTCCACCAAAAGTCAGCCAAGGCGGTCTTCAGCAGGCACCAGTACTCCTGATCCCTGGGAACCCTAAATAAGCTGCTCCCATTGGGTGTCCAGCAGTAGAGGTCCAGCCAGTCCCTGTTCAAGATCTCCATCAGACCCTGAGCTTGGGGCATGTAAAAGACTGGAACTTGAGCCCACGGCAAGGCACCCACCATGTTTCCATTGAAGAAGGGGCACTTGATCTCCAAAACCCCCTCAGAGGACACGGAGCCGTCGGCAACCATGCCATATGGAGAGGCGGCGAGCCAGTCATCACCATGGCTGCCCTCTTTGTACACCTTGAAATCAAGGAGCCGGATGTTGTTATGGGTGATGATCATGTACTGCTTGAGGGCAAGCTCAGATTTGAGCTTCTTCCACTGGGTTGCAGCGTTTCCAGAAAAGGGTTCTGTGATGCCAAGCTTCTCTAGCCATAGCTGAGCCCTCCGCCCGTGCCACATCCCAATGGCCGACCCGAAGGTGCTTGCCGTCAGCTTATGCTTCCTCAGCTCCTGCCAGGCCTCACTCTCATCCTCAAGGCTCCTGGGTCTGGAGTGATTCACAGAACTGGGACTGAGAACTAGTGGGAAATGAGGGGGAAGACGGCCATCTCTGTGGGCGCTTGCTCTGCACTCTCCCTCCACCTGGCAATTGAGACTTACACCCTCGTAGCTTCTGGAGCGGACTCTGGCAACTCCATAGAAATGGTGATCATTCTCCGTGGCCCGGTTCTGAGGAGCATTGCAGTCAATCAGATATCTCTCAGTCTCTGTTGAGTACAGGAGATGACGGGTGCCAGCATTGGGTGACCCTGCTGGTTGTGGAAGCTTTGAGAAGGACCCTCTGCTCCCAACCCCGCAAGCTGGGGACTGAGAAGACAGAGGCTTCCATAACTTTGCATCATAAAGGCAACGGGGAAGCCTGCAGGCCAGAGGAAGACAGTGGAGATTGCAGATTTGTTAGACAAGACGGGCTCAAGTGGAGGACATGGCAAATAACTCTACTGTTAACAGCGGGGCCCGTCAAGTGGAGAAGAAGCTTTCAGAGATTGACCAATCTGGTCAACCTCCTGCTTTGTCCTCCACCTAGTACGATAACAAGAACTACCTCTCATCATCCTCATGACAGTGCCTTATGCTTTACAAGCTCTCCAGTCCCTTATATCCATCCAACATCATTTGATATAAGTTACAGTATCATCATACAGAAAATGATATTTTTGCGGCATTATTAGCGAGAATTAAACCCTTTTTATGATTTTTCATAACTTTGGATCTAAAAATTATGCAACAGAAATCGGTGTAAAACATATTGCCTCCATATTTTGATCCAAATTATGAAGAAAAACTGTTGCAAAGTATGTTCGCCCAATATAATTTATTTTCTCAAAGTGGAAGGTACCCACATAAGCATTCAATATTAAGCGCCGAGAGCAACAGACGGGCATACGATCGATGAGCTACCAACATATTGAATGCTTATGAACAAAATAAACAACATTTCCACAGTTTGCACCAACACGATGTGGGCAACACTAAGATCGATCTCAAGCCCTTCAAAGCCCATTCACTCACCCTAGAATGTGTTTGTGATTACTAGATCCTCCCTGACGAAGTACTTACAAAGGAATTGATGCCAACGAAGCTTGAATCTCTGGTGAGGAAATAGATTGTGGGTTCTATGAAATCTTATAAATCTGAATCAAGAACGGCCTACTCCTCAGACGAAATGACAAGAAAAGGAAAGGACTGGTGCCTCATGAAGTCATTCAACCTCTGCATGACTACGTGATTACAACTATGGGCAGCCTGTAGGATACTAGCGCACAAGCTGATTATATGGATTCGGGAGAATTTTCATCGTCTACTTGTAGCCATGGGAATATTCAAAGATCGCTCGATTTCATGTTGGCAGACCTTGCGACCTGCAAGCTTATCTTCTGATTATAACCTTATCTGAATGCGTGTTCGTCCAGAGAGAGTTTCATATGTATATATGACTCACAGAGGAAGGAATGATAGACCGGCGGCATCCCCGGGGAAGGAGGGGTGCACAGTCGGATGCCGCTCCAAGGTTGCAGGAAAACAAGGGAAAATGTCGAGCAAAACGTGGGGACGATGGTTTGTGTGTCGAATATCAGAGGAGGAGAGAAACTGGAGGAGGAGGAGGAGAAGGAGAACTGACCTGTGAAAAAGGGGGGCTACTGCTGCCAGCTGGGGCGGCTAAAGACAGAGAAACCGCTGCGTCAGCGATGGGCGAGCTCAAGTTCGAACGGGGCAGCCGCAGACGGCACGCGGCCGGACGGCGGCGGCGGCGGGCGAGTGGCTGACGCGGCGCATGACAGCCAGAGAGCGGGCCTGTAAGAACTGTGTGGCACGAAACAAGGGGAGAGAGAGAGAGAGAGAGAGGGAGGGAGGGAGGGAGGGAGGGAGACCACCGACTGCGGGGTAAGAAAGGGGTTTAGCACCAGTGATAGAGAGAGGGAGAGAGGAAGAGGGCGGACACGGAGAGCTTCCTTTCTGGGGTTTTAGCCCCAACGTGTTAACGGGCCGGCCGCCTTTCATGACGCCCAGTGAAGAGAGAGAGAGGTGCTGAGTTGAGGGGAACCCACGCCTCCTGTTGAAGTGCAGTGCCTAGCCACCCTTCCTGTCTGCTTGCTTCGAGCATCATCTCTCTCCCAACGACCATATCCACACCGCAGTTGCATTGATCTCCATAGAGATCGACTGATAATCCACCAATTCTTCAGTTGCTATTTTCGATAATCCACACCGCATCTTCACTCGTTGGTGATTTACTAATTAATTTTTGTCCCCATCATACATAATATGTCCAAAAGTAGTCAAGCAAAGAGCGATTCTTCCATGGACTGTTCTCATGTAGCTGCTTAGAGCTAATACTTGGTCAATTATGCTGGTTGCTACCATAGCATGTTCATCACTGTGAGCTTCTCACGTATTCGCCTTTGATTTGATACATCTGGCATAACCCGAATTTATTCGCTAGTAGTTGGCTCACCTCATTTGTGCACTTGAACAATGTTGTATCTACTATTAGGGTTGACTTTGCCACTCACAAGTCAACCACTTCTGGATTTGACCCTACCTTGCTCTTTTCACCATATTGTGTGAGATCACCTCCCCCTTCGTCACCAGCTACATGCCCTCAAGCTATTCCTCCATAGTTTGATCAAGGTAGGGTGTGCCCTCTTTTAAATGGGAGGATACTAGTCCTCAAGTCAACGAATGCCGAATCTTCCTCACACTAACTCTCTCTCTCTCTCTCTCTCTCTCTCTCTCTCTCTCTCTCTCTCTCTCTCTCAAGTCTTCATGATCTGCGAAGAGAAAAGCTCGACAAACGGAATAAGCAATTATATCTGAGAGCAATAGTGATGAAAAGAACAAGGTAGGGTATGTCCTCTTTTAAATGGGAGGATACTAGTCCTCAAGTCAACGGTTGCCGAATCTTCCTGACACTAACTCTCTCTCTTTCTCTCTCTCTTAAAGTCTTCATGATCTGAGAAGAGAAGAGGTCGACAAACGGAATAAGCAGTTAATCTGAGAGAGAAAGAGATATATTGATGCCTTCCTCTTCTCAGAATGGATGGAATTTAAGAGAGAGAGAGAGAGAAAGAGAGAGAGAGAGGAGATATTTACAGATCCGAGTTGGCAGCGGCCATGGACGACCAGGCGCTGTACCACACGACCACTTCCAGAAGAAGAGCCGATGTGAGCAAAAAAATCAAAGGGCGGGAGGAGGCTCGGGGGGAGATTTACTCTGTTCTAGTCTCCACACTCTCCTCCTCCTCGAAGAAGAGGAAGATGAAGATGATGACGGAGAAGTCTGGAGCCTCCTGGGTCTGGGGTTCTCCATAATGGCGTCGAGCTCAGATTCGTGCAGGGAGAATCTATCCATGATGAAGGCGTCCAAGTCAAAGTCGCTCGTGGGTGGGCCCGACCCATCTCCGCCCTCCATGGTGCCGCCGCCGTTACCCCTCGGGGCGGCGGATTGGTCAACGAGTTCTTCAACGGAGGCGTTTTCCAGGTACTTTACGTTCCTCGCGGCGTTCTGGACCCTGGCAGCGGGATTCTGGTCAAAGTTCAGCAGCCGTCGGATGCTGTCGATCGCCGGGTCAATGATGTCGGAGAAGCCCATGACCCAGGAAGCGTCGTCCACGACTTCTGTGCGCTGTTGGTACAATGGGTCAGAAAGTCAAACACTCCCCGGAAACACACACGCACAGACAGTCCGGTGGTCAACGCATGTGGAGACATGATCATGCAGAGACGTTGACTTCTCTCTATCTTTTTTCTTTCTTTCTTTCCCCGTAGGTTGACCAGTGTGATGTAAGTAAAGAAAGTTAAAATGAGGATGAGATCCAGTGAGTGATTGATGATCACCTGCTGGAGATAAAGATTGCGAATTTCCTCGGCACGAATGGGATTCCCTTGTTCCTCCTCTAAAGATGCCCACGTCATCCATGTCACGTAGCTCTGGGAGTTTATGTTCAATGAGGATCTGAAGAGCCTTCTTGCGGCAGTAAGATTACCCAGCCTCTGCTCCAATACACCCCAAGCCTGCAACACAGGAGGTGTCAATTTTACGAAATGGACAAGTATCAGCTATATCCAAAAGTTCATCAGAGAACAGAGAAAAAAAGATAATTTCTTAGGAGTTTTTCTCCACTATCCTAAGGCAAGATCAGGGTAATAACCCAGCTCTGCAGAACGCAGATGATCGATGATAATCCCAGCTGTATCTAATAAATTGAAGTTCATCAGAGAACACAGAGAAAAGATAACGTTTTTAGAAGTTTTTCTCCATTTTCCTTGGGCAATATTAGGGTAGTAACCCAGCTTTGTAAAGCCGCAGATGATTGATGATAATCCCAGCTGCGTCTAATAAATTGAAGTTCATCAGAGAACAGAGAACACAGAAAAAATATAATGTTTTGAGAAGTTTTTCTCCATTTTCATTGAGCAAGATTAGGGTAATAAGATAATGTTTTAGGAGTTTAGATCATTGATGATAATCCCAGCTGTATCTAATGAACATAGAACAGACATTATGTTTTCCTTTCTCTTCAAGATTAGGGTAGTTCTTCTCCAAGAACATAATGTCTGTTCTATGTTCATTAGATACAGCTGGGATTAGGGTAGTTCTATGTTCATTAGGAAAATGGAGAAGAACATAATGAACATAATGTTTCAAGATTAGACTAGTTCTTCTCCATTTTCCTTTCTCTTCAAGATTAGGGTAATAACCCTGATCTTCAAAATGCAGGGACGACCGATGACAATCCCATCCCACACAATTCCTGGACCTGAATGCATCTCGCGTCTGAAGATCAGGTTTCGCCAAGTAAATCAGACAGCAATCTGTGTTTTCACAACCGAGGAAGAAGCGACTTTTAAAAAAAAATGTACTCTTGATGACGACTGCTTGAGATCGGAACATATTAGCTGATCCCCCAAGGCCCCTCCGATTAAGAGGAAGATGAGCCATGAATCAGTGATCTCCACTACATCAGTTTTCATTACGTAGGGCATAAAGAAGGGGGATTTCTCCAGCTCTGTGATATCAGGAGGAAGAGGGGGAGGGGGCTCACCTGGAGGCAACGCGCTGCGCTTTCAGTTGCAGAATCGATGGACAGGGCCCTCTGATATAAATCTCTGGCCGTAGAGATGTTGCCCTCCTTCCATTCCATCCAACCCCAGGCCTGCATATATTCTACATTAGCGTCAGATGTGTCCGAAATGAAATAATGATTTGGTGAGACTGATGGGGAAATCTTTGGCATGCTCGTTAAAGAAAACAGCTATCTGCAAGAACACAATCTATCTCATGTCCCTGAAACTGCTATCTAAAGAATTCGGGAATCTGAGAAAACCTAATAAAAGCATCCATCTTAACTACTTAAGTCGTCAAGAAGCTTTCCTTCTCTTCAATCGATGTGAGCAAATTCATTCACTGCAGGAATTTTATGAAGAAAATTCCTGCAGTGAATGTTGAAGTACCCCTCTTGTCTAGGGACTCTCATAAATTGTCAGATAAGCATCAAATCGCAAAAATGTTTTGGTCTCTATAGCTCATTAGATAACTTGATCAAACGCAATCATTGATTTACAGGCCACTCACCAAGGAAACTCTCCCTTTGCCACAAGTGTATTGAAATAAAATTCTATATGAAGAAATATTTAGTTTTTTTTCCCATTACTGGTGGCGTCCAAGTATTACTCTGAAATCGCTAGTTCACAGATTAAATAATATATATTTTTAAGGGGTTGTTGTACGCATATTACTGGTCCTAATTTTTTTCATCTTGTGTTTCAGGCATAAATTACGATGAACAAACATTTGAAGAAGCAAGTTTTTCTTGAAAAAAATTTGGAAAAAGAAATATAAAAGAGATACTTACAATCCACACTGGTTGATGCTTTGAGTCCACCTCAGACGCTCTCCTGAACAAAACCCGAGCCAGATTTGCCGACGAATGCTTATACTCTAGCAAAGCAAGAGACTGAAGGATAACAGGATCCCTTGGATTAAGGGCGTGCCCTATCTTAAGAAGTTTTCTTCCCTTATCAATGTCACCATCCTTGTACTCAAATAATGCCCAGACTTGCCATGCAAATCTATTCTTAGGGCTCGCTTGAACAGCTTTCTGCATGGACACGACCAATCTTTAAAGAACTAAAAGTTAAAATAACATGGGGCGAAATATAATGCATCAGCCTGATGGTATAAATTAAGAGCACAGAAAAAATAATTCTGTCTCACTTTAGTATCTCCGCATCCACAGAGTATTCTCTTATTAACCATTTCAAGAAAAATACAAACATGAATTTTCTTTATCATTAGCATTTATCGTTGGAATTTCAGTTTTATTATGCATAACGGAAATTATAGCTAGACTTTTATTACACAAAAATAAAGTATGAAGAGACCATAACAAGTAGGACAGGTCTGAGTCTGATTCATGTTTAAATGATCAACAAGGCAACAAGGGACTGAGGGTGCCCCCCAGGTGGTTTTTCCCGTGATGTCCATCCTTGTACTCAAGAATCTTCCATCTACTAAACTTTATTCGCTCCAACTTTTGAAATAAAACATGACAATTGTCACAAGCATTGTCCCATATTTATCCAATCAGCAGATAATGACGTTTCCTTTGTGGAGCAGGAAGTTGCTTTGGCTATAAATAAATGCAAAACAGAAACTATCATGTGTTTTCGTTTGGAGGTTTTCATAAGTCTTTAACATAAAAGACGAGGATAATTAGATCCATATAGAATACTTACCGGTTCAATTTCATACGATATAACTGTCACTTGAAAGCCTAAAATGTTGCTCCTAGTGAGAGTTATGATATAAGTAAAAAGGAATAAAGAATGGAGATAAAAGTTATCTAAGAGTATGAAATTTAATTCATATAACCTCAAATAGTTTCCTAGCTGCACGATTGTTTTCTAGCCGCATCTCCACTTGTGCCCAAGCCTGTGCCATCATTACAACAGCTCAATCAGAGTCGACCCTAATGAGTAAAGACTTCATTATTCTTTCTATGCGACTGCTTTAGAAATATAATTACTCACAAGCCAACTGGCGCAACTTTTTGGATTACAAAGAGTTGCCTGCTGAAAGAAGTACCGGGCCTGTTCAAATCTATTAGCTTTGGCTTCGAGCAGAGCCAATGTTTGGTATATGTACTCATTAGAACCGCAAAATTTTAGCCCTTTTCCGAGAAGATTCCTGGCTTTCTTGATATTGCCTTCATCTATCTCCAAGACTGCCCATCCATGCCAAGCAGCGACATGCTTCTTATCAGCCACAGTTGCAGCATCAAACAATTCTCTAGCCCTCCTAACATTACCCATCTTTTTCTCAAGTACAGCCCAACACTGCATGGTCAAGTAAAAGGCTTTTAGTTCATTATTCCATCTGGTTAGATAATCAATGACAGGATAAAAGCAATATGCAACCTCCCTCCTGAACATAGGCAGTAAATATATCACATGCCTTCCTCTAACTGTACTTATGCACAGTGCCGGCACGTTCTTTCCCCAACATCGTATGAGACATATCCAAATGCTTAATAATTTTAAACAAGATCGGAGTGCTTCTCAACAGTTCAAATGCTCCTCAGAAATTCAAACTTTAAAAAGGTAAGAAAAGAATGTGAAGTAAAGCACGAGGTGAAGACTCCATGCAAGGAATTGAATTAGGTTCCAGTATCAGCTGCGCGCAATATAATCCAGTCAGGGAACTAGTCGGCTAATGAATCTTTGGAGGGAGATAACAGACTGGACTAATGAAGAAATGATGCTTCAATAAATATTAAGTACACATTCACGACTAAGAAACTTCCCCCTAATCTAAGCGGGACGAACCAATTTCATGTTGATCCTAGCTGGGTGAGCTGATTTTCAGCCAAAATCCGTCAATCAAGGATAATTATCTGGCCTTGATAGCAAGAAAACTTTAGTGGACGTCTCCCACAAAATTCTTTCCCCCGCTTACTTCAATATAGTTCACCCACTATAAATTAGAATTGGACAATTTTCAATCATGTCAGACTTTCCACGAAGTGTAAGCATATTCCAAAATGATTAGAATCAGTGAACTTACAAATATGTATATGACATTTGAGATTAGCCCATAAACATAGAAATATTTTAATGTTTCCGTCAAAAGAATTCATTTTAACAGGATCTCACAAAAACAAAAGACACCAGAAAGATTAACACACCAAGATGTTGCATGCAACACCAGAAAATAGATAATCAAAACAGCTCAAACAAAGAAAAATCAGGCTGGATTTATAAGACATTATATTTTTTTCCAACTTCTCCAATGTGATGATTCCCTGTTAAACTCAGTTTTTTTTTCTAAGTGAACAATATCAGAGCATACAGATGATCCCGGCATTTCTGCTCTTTTCTGTATATATGACTCACAAAGTAAGGAAGCCAAGATATTCACAGACATATGAACAAGATTTACACAAAAACATAGCTTAAATCATGTGCTGTAGTGAAGTAATCTCCTGTATTTTCTAGTGCTCCAGAGATTTTTAGCCAACTAACGTACTTTATATTACTTAAAAGACAGATTTTCAGTGTATACTGATGTTATCCATGAATACTCTGATGTGCTACTTCAGTCTGCCATTTACCGTAGAGATTTGGAGTTAATCATTTAAATAATATTTTAAAATATAATTTTTTGTCTAGATATCAACCCTTACACTTAGGATAATCATGGGGCTCATCAGTGGACAGCTCCTGTGGCCCAGAAAATCGATCAAATTGATTTTCGTGTAAAAAGAAGATGGACAGCGTTCCTAGAAGCAAAGTTGGCTCGTTCTCAGACAACCTAATACTAGACCCATCATAGAACTCCACATCATTTTGGGCTTTTAAAACTAACAACCAAGAAGCAATTAAGCTGCTTTGACGATTGGTTTTATTCTGTCAATTAAAGATGTCAGGAATACTTTTTACCCCACCGTGACTAGGATCATGTGTAATCACATCGAGGTTTAATCTCTGTAATTCAGGGATTCAGAGCTCTACGGAGAATGTCATGACATTGTTTGATGCTAAAAATATTTTTACCAAAGGAAACTTCCAAAGGATTGAGACCCAACGTAAATGTTGACGTCCAGTCAAAACTGAAGATAATTCTGAACATTATGTTGGATATGAGGGTTATACGATTTTAATAACCCAAGTTAGGTGCTAAGGGTCTTCCTTATTTATTTTTGGTCGTTTATGTCCCTCAGATTGAGGTAAGAGGGAGTACTTATGTACTTTTCCTAACTAGAGTTTCATCTTCTTAAATACTCAACAAAATGAAATGTTGGCAGACCCTATTCAAGGAAATAGATTGTGCAGTGTTTTCTCTCCATAATCCTTCATCAACCTCAAAAGTTCTGTAAATTTGTGTCTGATCTAGAAATATTTATAATCATGCATCTACGGTGCAAATGGTAGGCAGTGGCATACCCTATCATAACGACAAGGTCTTAGAATAAAATTGTATCAATGAAACAAAAAATAATATTTTTCGTTGAAGAACTAAGGTAAGTCAACCTGCCAAATGTAAGGATTTTCTCCTTGGGTAGCTTGGCTGCCTTTTTCATATACTGATCTCGCTTCAAAAAGTTTTGACTGCTTGCTGAAAAGCTTTCCTAGAGCCACATATGCTCGTCCATCTTCAGGCCAAAAGAATAAACACTGGAGAAAGAAACAAGAACCACAACAAAGATAACCAACAGATAAAGAATCAGACTCAGCTTCCTCTGCGAGAAGTTTTTAGCAAGCATTAACCACAAAAAATTAACACTAGAAAAAGTCATTCCCAGCATCTATTACATACAATAAAATTCATTCAAACATTCAAATATTAAGCACGCACACAATGGGTGCCGTCAGTTCGTCAATCATAATTAATCAGAGATTTTAGTCTTTCTCTTTTATAAGAAAGCTTTCATTGGAGTTCACATGACAATATCAGTGTCACATGACGCTTAAAGTCTCTTAAAAAGTAACTCACCACAAAATCTTAGCCATTGCAAAATCTAGATTAAAGTAAATCTTGCATCATGTTCTGAACGTTCTTTGCCTTTGCGTACTCCTTTGTCATAGTCTACTTGCAACGTCATTTGGACAACGATTACTGCTTCTTATAAAAGACAAAAACCACGGAACCTTCAAAGGATCATTTCTCCATTTGACCAATCTAAATCTGCTTTTTATATTCCGAAGCAAGCACATGCCTGAGCTCAACAGTTAGAAGTTTAATATTACTAGTAACTCGGATCCATCAGTTATCCTTTTGAGTATAAAAATATGTGCCCTCTAATGCAACAAATAAGACCATTAATACCTCGTATCTGACCATTATGTATGCAGTTTATAAGTCGTTGACAACTCTGATTAAAGAAGATTAGATATTTACACTTCTGCACTTCAAACTCAACAAGATGTACACATGCAATGCATCATATTTCAGAAAAAGACTAGTCATGTATTCAATAATGACAATATCGCACTCTTCGTGAACTAAAATTTTCTTTCAGGCGCTTCCTAATTTGCCAAAAAAAGGAAAATCCAAAAAGAGTTCATTTTGAAATGTAGTCCATCTGATCAAAATTTTCTTTGGCCAATGCAACTGGGAGAACAACTTTCTCCAAGTTAGAAGTAAGAAGAAGAGTCTGATGACAGTTAAATGCTAGAAGATTAATGAAAAAGAAGATGATTTTTTCTTACACTGGGAGAAAAGTTTCAGTCATAAATAATTAATTAGAAGTATTATGCATGCAGTTTCTTTTTTATAAAGACCCGTCATATCCTATGATATCTTCTTGCATTATGTGAAATTCTGCTCTTAATATGCTAAGCATCATCTGTTCCATCACTTTAACATTACACTAAATTCCGTCGTCAGGTACTTCCAACAACTCCTCCCCAATATCTACCAAGAAATTAACAGATAAAAGGTCGATTCATTCTCGAAAGTAAGGAAGTGAAAGGTCCGATTACCTTTTTTTTGTCCTAGGTATTTTTTTGGAAGTAAAGATGAGCGGACAAGTTTTGCACCCTGTCATTGATGTATCTTTTGGGAACATCTCATTTCGGACCACAACCAAACTTCTATAAAGCTTGCTACAGCGTTGTTTTTCAAGTTGGGTCAGCTATTTTCCTTGATTTTATATTCCCAAAGACATGTCATTCTTTGTGGAATTCTTATTTCAAAACTCCTACTCTAGTCAAAATTTTAATAATGGTGAAAATCATTAATAAATATATCAAAAGACTGAAATTCCGTAAAAAAATTGCTCTCTATGCAAAAGTTTAAAATTTCAATTCAGGTAATCACAAACAAAACATCAGAAGAAGAATGTGTAAAAGTGAAGAGTAGCAGACTGGCGTACCTTGCAGAGGATCTTCTCGGCATCATAAAACTGGAAGTTCCTAGTCAGCACTTTCGCCCGGTATAGCCACAGCTCGAGGTTCACGCTTAGTGGTCTCTGTTCCCGACCTGCTCCCACGCGCTCCAGTGGTTCGAAAATCGGCATCTTCTTGGCGAACTCGTTGAGACCAGAATCAATGGTGGATGCCGACGATGAAGGAAGCGCCTCCTCCTCCTCCTCCTCCTCCTCCTCCTCCTCCTCCTCCTCCTTTTCCTCCGCCTCATCTGATCCACACTCTCCGTCGCTCCCATCCTCTCCCTTATCCCGGACAAGATCCTTCGCAGGCCGGCGGACAGGAGGCAGATTCTCTTGTAAGCCCTCCTCCTGACCACCACGCGCTTCGGCCTCGCCCTCCTCCTCGGACTCTGAAATAGAGCGTCGAGTGTTCTCCTGAGTGAGCGTAGAGCCGGCGGAAAAGGAGGCGGAGGTGTCCCTGGTGGATCGAGGATGGAGGAACGGGCCTTGCAGAGCTATGGGCAGCCTCAGGAGGGAGCATCTGGAGGGGGATCTACCAGCGTTAGGAGGGCTTGAGCAAGGTGTGAACAGGCGATGGAGCTGGGGTTGCGGGGAGGAGTATATCTGCACCTGCATTGCTTCTCCCTCCTCCTCAAGGAGTTAGAGAGAGAGAGAGAGAGAGAGAGAGGGAGCAGCGGCAGCAGCTCCTCTGCTGCTTCCCCGTGAACCAGATAACCGTCGACGGAGACCAAGCGAGGCCTCGGCGAGAGGAGCAGGAAGAACACATAAAAGACTAATATACCCCTATTAGGACCTTATAAGTTCCCCCTGTGTCGGGCTTTTGGTCATTTCACGGAGAACCAAGTTCAAAACTAGATAGTAGTAGTACGCGACTGGTGTAGATAAGGCCACGTGGCCCACTAGGGGAGACGTCCGTGAGGATAGCGATTAGACACGTGGAGCTGCCATGTGCATCCACGTCCGAGCTGATGTGGCCTAGGGGAGCTCCCCAGCGTGTCTCGTTATCTTCCACATCCCTCCAGATTTAAGTGACCACGCTTGCCACCTAAGCGCTTCGAAAATCTCCCAGTTAAAACAGCATAATAATTAGATAAACCGACGAAAAATATAAATTATTTTTATTTTTAGTCAAATTACAAATAGAGCAACACTTGACTTATTACAGTCCCATTGACTCTCCTCCTCCCCAATTGACTTTGTGCTTTCCAAAAAGTCAAGATTCATCATGCCATTACTCGTACTTTTATATTTTTTCTGAAAAGCAATATAGTTATTAAGCCGGTGGCAACAAAACAGCATTCGACATTTAAGCTGAGTTGACTTTCAACAGCCAGCCCGTTATCTAATTATTATTCGATAAAAAGATAGATAGATAGAGAGAGAGAAGTTGAAGCTGTCAGCATATTTTTATACCAACTTTCGGTAACAGCTGAACTTGATAATGAAAAAATGTGGGCTTGAAGTCAGCTATAACTTTACTTGGTCGTATTTCCTATGTCAAGAGTTGACCTCTTACCTCATCGGGTCAATCCATAAGTTAAAATTACGGTTCTAAGCCCCACTAAGGGTTGACTTGCGCATTCATTGATCAAATCATTTCAATTTCCTTGTCACATAAGAGTCTACTTCTTAATAGCATGTGTTCGTAATTCCAGCAGTGGCCCTGGTTGACTATTTAGACTCCCGCTGACTATTTAAACATGCCCACTACTCAACCCTACTCATAGGTACCTATCAGTAAAGGGAAGCAGATTTATGCTATTATTTCCATCATTGGTAAAGATGTATTTAATGTCACAGTTTCTATGAAATCCACAAGTTAACGAGAATATCTCTGTGGGCCCTGTGGAGGTCAAAACTCCCTGATTTAGGACTGACTCCTTCAACCAAGCATTAAAAAGTCAATATAGAGATGCATGTCAAATAAAAGTCAAACATAGTTCTGTTTTATTCTACAGATTATCCGAAAATAAATCTAATGATCAAGAACAGACTGACCGCCCATCCCATTATGCAAAAAAATGACCTCTGAAAGGCATTCACGAGCATACTAATAATGCCCAAATAAAATAGCACATACTGTTCATATCTATATATATATATTAATTTCTTTTTCTTTTCCAACCTTCTAAAAAAATAATGATCCATAATTAGAATCCTCCCAAGAACATGACAGCACGAGGGATGTATCCCTTCTGATGATCATATGAACCAAGCTTGCTGATATAATTTTGCCAAAAATCCTGAGAAAACAAGAAGAAAAACCCATTTGACGCATTACATTCGTTCAATGCACAGCTAAAATAGATAGATCTAAGCAACATTTCCATTATGAGCAAAGATCATCTTCCCTAACTCGGCATGAATAATTTTTTGACCACTTCGATGAGAAAAAACCCCAAGATTCTTAATCTGATCAGAAAAGTCAGAGAGAAATCCTGTGACCCACAAGTGGGCATCTGATGATCCGTGCATAAATCAATTCAGAACACTAATTCGATCCAGAAGCATAAACCATGAGAGATTTCTTTATCTATCTATAGTAAGAACCTGTCTTCTGATTGTTCAGGAACCTCCCATCTCATGATTCGTCGAAGAATAAGCCCTACATCAAAGGGGTCAATCCACATCCAGAAAAAATGGAAACAAATGTGGTGCCCGAGTGATCAAAGTCAAAGCCTGGTCTTCCTCCCATCGTCGCTCATCACCCGAAAAAGAAGTCAACGTGAGGAAGAGAGAGAAAAGGGTGGGCCAAGCACCTTCATCCGAGTACTAATCTGTAATGGCCTCTGATGGGCCGCCTCGATCTTGCTCCAACCCTCGGGCCACCTCCTCCTTCATGGCCTTCTCGGCCCTCAGAATCGGTTCGTAGTAGTCGGCATGTTGTTCCATGCATGCCATGAGACGCCCCGTCACCTGGTAGCACTTCTCCACGAGATCCTCCTTCTTGCTCTCAGCCTCCTGCATGCAGAACTCCCATGCCACGAAGCTCTCCTTGCAGCCCCCACCCTTCATGAACAGGCAGAATCCGCACTCTTCTTCTTCTTCTTCCCCAGCTTCAGCTGCCGGCGGTGGGCCGCCTTCCTGCTCTGCTTCTGCTGCCACTCCCCCACTCTGATGCTCCTCAGATACCTGCAAACTACAGAGTTTACACAAGATTCAAGACAATCTAATCTAATTATGATGAAGATTTTTACTAGTTTTGTTCTTAGAACAAAAAGACATGGGAAAGGGAAGGAACAATTCTGAAAGGAGATGGGGTTCTTTATCCAGCTTCGGCTATGGCGAAGAACAGTTGCTCAGAATAGCTAAAGAGTTGCCAAATTGGGCAGGGAATTCACCAAATCAGTCTGAGGGGGGCCATGAAAGCCCACAGGAGATATTCTGGACCACACGAGCAGCACTCTGAAAGCTCCCAAGTAAGAACAGGGCCTGCGAACGTGCTTCTGCTCTAAAACCGTTCTCCCAGGCCGATTTCACACAGTTGAGAGGAACAACAATGGAAGAATTCGATTCGCTCTGATGTGATTTCTCAGAAGCAGCAGAACTCCAGAGGATTGAACGGAAGAAGAAATAATTTCTCCCAGGGAAACAAAAGAGACGACGAATCACAGAGCGAGAAACCCCAATGCGCGACGAGAAGGACAGGAGAAAAACCTCACGAGTGAGAAGGGGATCACCGACCTAGGGGATGGCGATGGCGATGGCGATGGTGGAGGTGTCGGAGGCGGAGGCCTTGCGTCGGCCGGTTTCAGTCCGTACTCGTCGGCGAGGGATCGCAGTTCCCGCCGCGCCATCCCGCCGCCGCCGCCGCCGCAGGAAAGGAGGAGCTTCGACGGCAGAAGCGGCGGCGATAAATCCCTCCGCCGTCTTAAACCCCTGCAGCTTACTGGGCTTGCAGAGAAGCGGAGCAGGGCCGACTGTAAAACTATAAAAGCCCACCAAGCTTGAACCACCACCCAATGGAAGAAGCAAAGTCGTCGTCGTACCAGGGAATCCAAAGCTCTGTGAATTAGGGCAACAAACTCCAGAGATTTACTGCTCTCAGAGGGTCGACGACGAGGATTATTGAGGAACAATCAGGCGTGCTCCATGGGAATAATTTTTTTTTTCTTTTTTTACAAAAAAGAATCAATGGGTTCCAGGAGAAGAACCCTAAAACCAGAGCCCTGATCTATGGGTTCCAAAACTTTCTGCTCCGAAGAACTTGGAGTTCGCGAATGCTGGATACTGATGCTGCGAGGAGGAGTAGAATTAATGGGGGGTATTTTTTTGATAATTAAATCCCCCACAAACAAGGTTTTATTAATTAGTTAATTAATTATCATTTTAATTAACCACATAAAATTAGTGCGATATAGGCATTTTTTAATTTCACGCAAAAATGGGTATATTTCCTGTAGTAGACTCGCAGCGAAAACAGGCACGTGTCTAGGAGCACGAAGGCAAGAAGGCCTCTCACGTGCATGTTATGTATAATGACCAAAATACCCCCCTTCTTATGATCTCTGTGTTTCTCACGCATCAACTCTCATCTCCCTCCGTACCTCTCCACTACATCTGTCTCCAGTTCTCTCTCTCTCTCTCTCTCTCTCTCTCTCTATCAATTTGTCGAAGTCTCAAGCTTCAACAATCGTTTCTCTCTGCACTTTCTAATATCGCTAACTTTAACGATTGTTCTCTCTCTCTTTCTCTCTCTCTTTACTTCTGCTGATCTCTCTCCACCTCTCTCTCTCTCTCTCTCGAACTCGCACGTGAGAGGAGGGCTATTGATCGATCCCATCGTGGCCGCCGTTGAACCGTTGGCCACTGGTTCATCCTACACGTCAGCACCGAAAAGCCCTCCTAATTAGTTGTACTCCCGCGTCGTACGTAAGTGCTACGACTGTACACGTGGCGTGCTCTTTGCGACCGGCGACCAGTGGGCGTGTACTTGCATGAGTACGACGTGGATCGCAGTCATGTAGTACCCCCTCGAGGGTGTATTTGCACATATACTCCTCTTTAAAATGTTTTTTAATAAATGATACTAATAGAAACATAAACGTAATTGTAACCTTTTTAGTTTATAATTCCCCTCCAAGGAGCTGTCGACGCCGCAATTGTTCGTAAAGTAGGGTTATTCTCATATTTTTGGGGAAGGAAGTGTCGGCGAGCTTCAGATAAGAGACAGGTCTAAATGAAATTAAAATTATTTGATGGTTTGATTACATGAAATATTATTTTGTAGGGCCTATCATAAAATCACCTTCTCCCGGCGCGTCTTCTTCTTCCCGGGGAGTAGTATATATGTAGATGTAGATCTCCCCGCAGGAGAAAGTGGCAATCCGAGAGCACGAGCAGCTGGGGCGGCGGCGGTGGCGGTGGCGATGGTGGTGGTAGTGGCGGTGGCGGTGGTGGTGGTGGTGGTGGTGGTGGTGGCGGTGGTGACGGCGGTGGCGACGGCGGAGACAGCGGCGTCACCGTCTGGTAGCTTCTGTTCAAGGTGAGGAAGGAGGCGCCGTAGCCAGGGAAGCGGCAGAGCATGGGAAGGGTTCACCAGCAACGCGTGGTTGCTGCTGTTCTTCCCCTGCACTGCCTCTTCCCTGGCTCCTCACAAACCCTAACTCCATCTTTGCTGTCTGTCCCATGGATGATTCATCGCCGTGGATCAGATCCTCTTCCTCCGATTTGATTTGTCCTACGTCCGGCTCCAATGGATACGATAGCTTTTTATCATTCGCGATCTGATGACGTAGGAAGGGATGAGGAGATTTCTCGTCTCCTTCTCGTTTTCTTCTTCCCTATCAGCGATCGTTCCGTTCTCCGGGATCGGCGAGAGATTTGGAGCTCAATGGTCTGATTCATCTGTCCTGCCGGTCTCCCATTTCTTCCCTCGTTGATCTCTCTGACCTAATTCCAAAAGTTTGCCGGTAAGTGGCGTCCTTGCGAGAACAGGGGATGACCTCCGGAAGGAGGCTGCCGTAGCGGAGAGGAGGCTCACCGGAATATGCAGGATCTTCCTTCTCCCTCTTGCACCGTTCTTGAGGATGACGACGATGCAATTCTGAAACAATAACTGCATTCTCTGCATTCAATGACCAGAGAGAGTTTTAGAGAGAGAATAGTGTCTAGAGAGAGGTTCTAGAGAGTTCGAATGCAATGACAAGCAGGATTATTATCAACAAGTTCTATCGCTCCTTCATCAACATCTTCTATGATTAATCTCTCTGTTCATAAGAAAAACTAATCTTTTCAAGAGTCTCGACGACTTCATCTCAGAGCCTGTTCTTGAGAGTTTAGCCGGAGCGCCTCAGATTCATCAGTTGACTTCGACTAATACTCATGCAAGAATCCACTGATTTCAACCAAGATGGTATCTTTATTATTGGGTTATTAAACGATAATCGAATACAAGCGCAGGTATTGCTGGAAGCATTGGGTCAACTAGAACGGGAGAAAGTTACCCGTTGACTTGTTCAGTGGCCGTCAGCATTCTACTAGAAAACGATGAGTTGACATCACGAGATCCATTAGGCGGTGTGGATGGTGGGACTCTTGATCATGCACGTAGTAATTAATTTATCTCGAACACATTTAATTAATACTAAAAATGCCCATCGAAGAAAAAAAAAGAGAAAATTGGGCAGTTCTTCGGGGCTGAACAAGACGAGGAATGACGTCATAAGTCTTCGCCTTATGGGACGTGAAAGAATTATACCATATCAGGGCTGGACCCATTCTTAGGTGATGAAGCCTGATAATATATATATATATATAATTTTTCTGTAATTAATAAGCGCATTATCGCCGAGCACTTTGAAGGGGGTGTTCGTAAGAATTCACTTTCTTAGAGTTCTGTAATTTCCCACGATTATCCGTCTCCTTTGGTTTATATGACGCCTTCTTTAGAGCAATAATTTGCACGGGATTTATAAAAAAATAATTTGCCAATTAGCCACAAATTAGAGAGAAAGGGAGAGAAAGGGAGAAAGCGAGAGAGCGAGCGCGAGAGAGGGAGAGAAAGAGACAGAGAAAGAGAAAGAGAGAGAGAGAGAGCGAGAGAGAGAGAGAGAGAGAGGAGAGAGAGAGAGGAGAGAGAGAGAGAGAGAGAGAGGAGAGAGAGAGAAGAGAGAGAGAGAGAGAGGAGAGAGAAGAGAGAGAGGAGAGAGAAGAGAGAGAAGAGAGAGAAGAGAGAGGAGAGAGAGAGATAGAACTTGTCTTCTAACCCGCTCCATTTCTATTTCCCCTTGTTCCATTTAACCCGTCACTTGTCTTCTCCCGACTCCACAGTAATTCCCGAAGTGAGGGAGTTTGAGCCCAAGTCCATTAAAGCTTCCATAAAATCATCCAAGAACAGCAAGCACCACGCCAAAATTGTTTCTTATTCCGTGAAAGCCCTAGAAGTTTGAACATTTTAACCCCTCCCCCGCCCCGCCCCCATTAAAGCTTTTCCTCCATTGCTCCCGGACCAAGAACTCCAAAACCCCGGTGGTCCAAGAGAATAATGGGTTGACTCCCCACATGGGTCACGACGGCCATGGTCAATCTGCGGCCACGAAAGGGTCAACGTCCCCGAGGTCAGCAACCAGAGGCTCCAGCTCAGATATCTCCTCTCCTTCCGGGACGAAGTGGGTCGGAAATGGAAGCACAGAGAGGTCGGGTTTCTTGTAGACGGCGTCCTTTAGGAAGACGAAGTTGCCTTCCGCGCCAGGAACCTGGAAGAGCAGGGCATTTGATGAGCTCAGATGTTTGCTAAATCAGGTCAATTAGAAGCGAGAGAGAGAGAGAGAGAGAGAGAGAGAGAGAGAGAGAGAGAGAGAGAGAGAGAGAGATCACCTGGCCTTTGACCCACATCAGATTCCTCGCTGGATCGATTCTGTAAACCCACACATTCTTAACTGTACACTGCTTGCCACCCATGCGCCCGGGCATCTTCTTCCCTTTGAAAACCTGCGAGCCGCACCACATCGTGATATCTCCTAAAAAGGGAACTAAATGGGTGTCTGAAGTGATGATGATGATGATAATGGAAAAGTTCATACCATTGATTCATCTAGAGAGAGAAAGAACCCATTGAGACTTGGGTCGTATCAAATTTTTTTACCAAACTTGCTCTAAACATAATCATACTACTTAGTGAATTCCTCCGAGATAAATCATGGGCACAAGTCAGAATTGCCTATTAATAGCTTGAATGAACAAGAAGGGAGCAGAAAGTCAACCTCTAAGCTCCTGCCCGAGGTGGTAAATCAGCAGATTTTATTTTATTGAGGAGAAAGAGTAGCCAGATCGTCCATCTGACCAACAAGGTGATGGATAGATCAGGTGATTTAGTGTTTTTTTTTTCGCGCGGATGATTCAGCTAGAATTCAACTAGCTCTGACATCAGTGTTTCTTCCAGTGACTAACAAAGGCAAGTAGCACAGTATCTCGATCTGAAATCTAACTCAACTACGAAGAGAAAAGCGACTCAAGAAAGGAACCAATCGTCATCAAGTTACTAGAAAACCCCCTTGATGATATTGCATTCGATGCTTGTGTACTGCTCAAATTCCTTTCAAAAGATGAGCAATAAGGTTCAAGATCTCTCATAGTTCTTCTTTACAGCGGAAATATCTCTCTATTAGTTTCAATCTGTTTACATTCTTTCAGCAAAATTTCTACTCTCTTTATAAAGCGGTGGAGGTTGGAGATGAACAGAAATGGCACCTTGAACCTACAAGGAACAAGATCCACAATCCTCCAGCCCATATATTCGTTTTAGTTGATCCTCGAATCCAAAAGGATAAAACATGAAATCCTTGAATCCACAAGGGTTGACAAAGCTGGTCTTCAAATCTACAAGGATCGAGGAAAACAGGTCCCTTAAATCCAAAAAGAGGTTGATTGAATCTAAAGCAGATAGAAGGGAAAAATACTTTTACTGGGTTGACAAAAAACCATCTTGATCTACACTGCATTTTCCCTTGAATATGTCAAAAGTAGGTGTAGATCTGCTAAACAATATGATCTAATAATAGAAAATAATTACTAGGCCTAAAGTGTAAAAAAACAAAAAGCTCCTTTGGGCCTTATAGGCTGACCTAAACAACACTAATTGACTTTTCCTCGTTTTATCCGTAAGGGCCTTCTGGACTGCATCTTTTGGGCCTCTTCTGTTTCCTACGAATCTGTTCTACATCGCTTCACTGTCTCCTCTGACCTAACTTAGAACACAAACTTCTTTAAGAAGAGAGGAAAAGAAACTATGGAATGATGAAGATTTCCCCACAAGATCCGTGAACTTACACAAAACGATGCCATATAGACAGCGGCCAGCCAGACTAACATATGGTGTGTGAACAAAAACTAGCAAAAGACATGTAAAAGCATCGAGTTTGGTTTCTTTCTGACAAACAGTCACAATGAAATAAATATGGGGCATTAATCAATGATCCGAGTGGTCTCAATGCACCGAGAGTACAGCTAGCTAATATCTGAGCATGTTTACTTTTACTGGAAAATTGAGGTAGCAGCATAAGATAACCAAAAAAATATTAATCTCCTTTCCCTTTGATCTCATCGGAGATGATAATGTGTTATTTGCAACATTAATGATAACACACACATTCATTGACATGGTATCTACTTATCAAAGGGTTATTTTACACAACTGCCTGACAAAGATAAGGATCTCATAGGAAGAATCACAGAAATAATCACCAAGAACTTCTAAAAAAATAAAAGGCCAAGCATAAAAAGATGAATGTGCAGATATGACCGAAGAACGCAGTACCAAAATCAGGGAGGCTCTTGAACAATGAAGATACTAATAGGAAAAAGTTAAATCATCACAACACACATACCCTTCCAGGAGCATCTCTCTGTCCTGTAGATCCAATACTTCTATGAGATAATGATGCTCCGTGAGATGCCGGCATTCCAGAGAATCCCCATCTTTTCATACCGCCCTGTTGCATCAAACTCAGTGATCCGAACATAGCACGGCCAACATCCAATGTAAAAGCGCAGAAACAATACAATTAATTCGAATTTCTAAAATAATATAGCATAAAATAATTCGACATTTAGCCTCACAGACTCACTGTTCATCATTCCATCATGCACATGTATGTGGGAAACGAAGATTTTAGATTGATTTCTACTTACTTCCAACAATGATAAGATGTAATTTAATCAATAATGAGTCCTGACAATTTTCTGATTACCTTATACAACCAGACTCATACAGAGTATAGATAGGTTCCTGAAAGGCATGATATATGAAAGGACTAACTTCTCAAGAGGCAAATCTACCAATAAGACCTAAGCAACCAACTTTGATATACTTCTGCTTCACTCTTGTTTATGCTCTAAAACATCTAACATGTTAATAAATAGAACTTTCTATGGTAGAAGGAAAGGTTAATAAATAAGAAATAAACAGCCAAACACGAGGGTACTCGTCTGCCTATCACTTCATGACAAGAAATATACACCGAAGAAGAGGGAAGCCAAAATATTGGACGTTAGACAAGAAATAAGCAGAACTTCGACTGCTGATTTACCTGAAAACCTTTTCCTCTAGTAATTCCTATGACGTCGACATATTGCCCTGGAACGAAATGCCGAACTGTGATGGGAGTCCCTATCGGAAGAAGTGCATCCTCCGTCACGGGAAACTCCTTCAACTTCCTCTTCAAAGGTACGCCCTGTGCTCTGAAGTGGCCCAGTTCTGGTTTTGTCAAATGCTTCGCCTTCTTCTGACCAGCTCCAATCTAACTAGCCCCACGACCAAAGTAACGCTCAAAAAGCATTTCAAACAGCAATCTCAGATAAAATACCACTAAAAATTCGCGCAAAATGGACACATGAAGCTTCGTTTTCGTTCCACCAGAAGTTCTAAAAGATCTACCACAATATATATACAACGAAAAATAAATGATGTCTCATCCTAACATGTTCTTGTCGTCCAAACGAAGGAAAGCCCAGCTTCCAACTCCAAACGAGGAGTTGCCACTCATCAGCACTGAGATCACAGAGATAAATATGCCAAAGACAAAAAGATCTACGAGTCGCGTACACTTAAAAGAGATGAGCTCAGCAGGAGAACCATAGACGATTTACACGCAATGGGCGAAGAAGAAACTAATCTAGGAAAACCCTCAGAAAGCGCCGCAGTATACCTGCAACGCGGTGATCCCTTCCTTGTCCAAAGTCTTCACCTGAGAAACAATGTTATCATCCAACCAGAGGACCGTGATGGGGACTCTCTCACCCCACTTGTTCCAGAGCGCCGTCATCCCGCACTTGACCGCAATGGCCCCCGTCCTCTGCGAAGTGGGAAGCATCGTCCTCGGCCTCGCCTCGATCACCGATCGCCCACCTCCTCCGACGTGCCGCAACCCGTCCAACTCCTCCGAGTGTGCGACGGCCTCGGCGCTGAAGAACCTGCACTGAAGCGGAGACCTCGGCTGCGCCGCCACCACAAGGAGCCGGAATCGGTTCAGGAGACCTCTCGAGGCCGCCGCCATGGCGCCCCCTCACACACAGCGACCGAGGATCTCACTGCTGGCCGGCGGCTGGTACCTTCGCGGGCATGGCGGCGGCGGCGGCGACGGCGACGGCGACGGCGGCGACGGCGACGGCGACGGCGGCGGCGATGAGGGTTTAAGGAGAAGAGAGCTTCGCAGTAGTAGTCTTCTAGCTCTCTCTCTCTCTCTCTCTCACTGATCACTGTGTATATTTATGGGGTTGTCCAAAACCGACAGTTCTCGCCCCAATATGAAGCCCAGTAAAAATGGGCTCTTCACAGTGTTCCCGATTCCCAAAAAAATAGCCCAATAAGGAGTCTCCCACACTGGCCCAATAGCACCTTTGGGCCGACTGTCTGAAGGCACCTATCCGAAGTAACAGATGGATCAATCAGTAAAACGTAATAAAATAAAGTATCAGGGATAATTGTAATTAAAGGTATTTTTGAGGAATGAAATGCAAAAAGTCATCAGAAAGCTAGCTGTGGGAGGTACTTATTTCTTTTGCTTCTAGACGGGCCTGGTCCGGTCAGGTCCGGCCCGGCCCGTCTTACTTATTTGATGAGTTAAAAATCATTCTTTTCGGCATCTTAGAGAGGCCCGACTCTGGCCGATAAGTGGCTGGGCCGGACTTGGCAGCTAGCCCAGCCCGCTGAGATTTGTAGCGTAGAGTTTTTCGGGGACGCGGGGGAGGAGGGAGTTCTATTTTCCCGCCCAAAAAAGAGGGAATCCTGATGCTAATCCTACGGCTCAGAGTTCTTCATCCTGGCATCACACGTGTCTCATTAAGCCCGTCCGATTTGGAGAGGCTGCATCTGAAACCCCGCGATTTTGTCAGCTCGTGACGACGTAGCTTAGTACAAAACTACCCTTAACATTTCCCATCTCTATATTTCATCGAATAATATGAACACATTCTTAAAAGGGTATTATCGTCCAATTGAGAACTGCGTCGGTCTGAACTCCGCAAGGAAGGTAGTGTAGTGGCATAATTTGTAAAAAATAGATAAAATAAGGGTATTCTTATAAATTGGGTTGCTATATATACCAAAGCACCGATAGGAGCGAAGGCGTCTCGACACTCTCTTCTTTCTCCCTCCCCCACATTTCTTCTTGCCCTCAAATCATCGAGTTCCCCCTCTTCTGGCCTCTGAGGGAGGTCCCGAACGAAGCTCGAGCGTGGAGGGGGAGGCTCCATCGCGTCGAAGGGCGCCATAGCCACGGGAAGAGAGGTGATCCTCTACTTTTGGCTTTGATTCTGGTGGACTGGAAGGGGTTTTCTCTCTAGAGGTCCGCCGGAAACCCTAACCCTAGCCCTTGGGGCCAATACCCAATTGTCGATTGTTTTCACGAGGTTGAGATCATTTCTTTGGATTGGATTGCTCCATTTGGTGGCACTAATGTCTGCCGTTCCACTATAACCCCTTGTTATCACTTGGAGGAGGTCGAATCTGAATTCGATTATTTTTTGCTTTTTTATGGAAAATTTTAAGCGTGTTTTCCAGTGTTTTAAATTAATTTCTTTTTGCGCGTACATTAGCTAACATATACTCAGTTTGGGTCTCCCATGCTGCAGATTTGATTTGTCTCTACCTCGTTATCTTAATGGCTGATCAGAGGAATGGGGCCGCAAAAGCGGCCGGTGGTTACACCATTGATATGGGGAACTTCATCAAGCGCCTGAAGGCGTTTTACGGGCACTGGAAAGAACACAGAGCAGATATGTGGACCGGCTCTGATGCTATAGCTGTTGCTACACCGCCCGCTTCTGAGGATCTGCGATACCTGAAATCTTCAGCTCTCAACATTTGGCTGCTTGGCTACGAGTTTCCTGAGACTATCATGGTGTTTACGAGCAAGCAGATCCATTTCTTGTGTAGCCAAAAGAAGGCTAATCTTCTTGAAACTCTGAAGCAGTCAGCCAGGGATGCCGTGGGTGCTGATGTTGTGATGCATGTGAAGGCCAAAAATGATGATGGGACTGCTGCAATGGATGAGATGCTTCGTGTAGTTCGTGCACAGTCTAAATCAGATAACCCTGTGCTGGGCTATATTGCGAGAGAAGCACCGGAGGGAAAGCTTCTAGAGACGTGGGTTGAGAGGCTGAAAGCCTCTAGCATTCAACTTGGAGACATTACTAACGGATTCTCGGAGCTCTTCTCGGTCAAAGATGAGACAGAGCTCACTTGTGTGAAGAAGGCAGCCTATTTAACTTCCTCAGTAATGAAGAATTTCGTGGTTCCTAAGCTTGAGAAGATCATTGATGAGGAGGTCAAGGTCTCTCACTCATCTCTAATGGATGACACAGAGAAAACTATACTTGAACCCATCAAAGTGAAGGTGAAGCTGAAGCCAGAGAATGTTGACATTTGCTACCCACCGATCTTTCAGAGTGGGGGTGAGTTTGATCTCAAGCCAAGTGCAACAAGCAATGATGAAAATCTGTACTATGAGTCCACAAGTGTGATCATATGTGCACTCAGTTCACGGTACAACAGCTATTGCTCAAATGTGGCAAGGACGTTCCTGATTGATGGTAATCCAATTCAGAGCAAGGCATATGAGGTTCTTCTTAAGGCACAAGATGCCGCCATTGCATCCCTGAAACCAGGGAATAAGGTCAGTGCTGCTTATCAAGCTGCTGTCTCTGTCGTAGAGAAAGAAGCTCCAGAATTCTTGTCAAATCTTACCAAGTCTGCAGGAACTGGGATTGGCCTTGAGTTTAGGGAGTCAGGGTTGAGTTTAAATGCAAAAAATGACCGTATTCTGAAAGCAGGGATGGTCTTCAATGTGTCCCTAGGTTTCCAGAACTTGCAAGCTCAAACCAAAAATCCGAAGACTCAGAAATTCTCCTTGTTGCTGGCTGATACGGTCATTATTAGTGAAAAGTCTCCAGAGGTCTTGACAGCACCCTGCTCGAAAGCAGTGAAGGATGTCTCTTATTCATTTAATGACGAAGAGGAGGAAGAAGTGAGGCCTAAGCGCAAAGCAGAGGCCAACAGTGTGGAGGCATTACCATCGAAGGCGACCTTACGGTCCGACCATCAAGAGATGTCAAAGGAGGAGCTGAGGAAGCAGCATCAGGCGGAGCTCGCCCGCCAGAAGAATGAAGAGACGGCCAGGAGACTGGCCGGTGTTGGGTCTGGATCTGGAGACGGACGTGGTCACATGAAAGCTTCATGGGAGCTCACCGCCTACAAGAACGTCAATGACATCCCTCAGGCGAAGGAACTGGTGATACAGGTAGACCAGAAACATGAGGCCATCCTCCTCCCCATCTATGGAAGCATGGTGCCGTTCCACATTTCCACAGTCAAGAGCGTCAACAGCAACCAGGATAATCGGACATGTACCATCCGCATCATATTCAACGTGCCCGGCGCTCCATTTGCCCCAGCTCCCGACCCAAACTCCCTCAGGAACCAGACCGCCATCCACCTCAAGGAGATCACCTTCCGCTCCAAGGATCCGAGACACAGTAGCGAGGTCGTCCAGTTGATCAAGACACTGAGGAGGCAAGTCGCATCCAGGGAATCGGAGAAGGCCGAGAGGGCCACCTTGGTCACCCAGGAGAAATTACAGCTAGCCGGGGGGAAGATGAAGCCCATGAGATTGCCCGATCTGTGGATCCGCCCGCCTTTCGGGGGTCGCGGCCGTAAGCTCCCTGGTACCTTGGAGGCCCACGCGAATGGCTTCCGCTACTCGACCTCCAGGCCCGACGAGAGGGTGGACATCATGTACGGGAACATCAAGCACGCCTTCTTCCAGCCCGCGGAGAAGGAGATGATCACCCTCCTGCATTTCCACCTCCACAACCACATCATGGTGGGGAACAAGAAGACCAAGGACGTCCAGTTCTACATCGAAGTCATGGAGGTGGTGCAGACCCTGGGCGGCGGGCGGCGCTCTGCCATGGACCCCGACGAGATCGAGGAGGAGCAGAGGGAGAGGGAGCGGAAGAACAGGATCAACATGGAGTTTCAGAACTTCGTGAACAAGGTGCACGATCACTGGGGGCAGCCGCAGTTCAAAGGGCTCGATCTGGAGTTTGACCAGCCGCTCCGGGAACTGGGCTTCCATGGCGTGCCCCACAAGGCCTCTGCTTTCATCATCCCCACGCCGAGCTGCCTCGTTGAGCTGATCGAGACCCCGTTCCTGGTGATCACTCTGAGCGAGATCGAGATAGTCAACCTGGAGAGGGTGGGCTTCGGGCAGAAGAACTTCGACATGGCGATCGTGTTCAAGGACTTCAAGAAGGACGTGCTGAGGATAGACTCCATTCCCAGCACTTCTCTGGACAGCATCAAGGAGTGGCTGGACACGACAGACATCAAGTACTACGAGAGCAGGCTGAACCTGAACTGGCGGCCGATCCTGAAGACCATCACGGACGATCCGGAGAAGTTCATCGAGGACGGGGGGTGGGAGTTTCTCAACATGGAGGCCAGCGACTCGGACTCGGAGAACTCGGAGGAGTCGGACCAGGGGTACGAGCCCTCCGACGCGGAGCCCGAGTCGGCCTCGGAGGAGGAGAACGAGGACAGCGAGTCGCTGGTGGAGTCGGACGAGGAGGAGGAGGAGCAGGACTCGGAGCAGGACTCCGAGGAGGAGAAGGGGAAGACGTGGGAGGAGCTGGAGAGGGAGGCCAGCAACGCCGACCGGGAGAAGGGCGACGAGTCAGACAGCGAGGACGAGCGGCGGCGGCGGAAGAAGGTCAAAGTCATGGGCAAGTCCCGCCTCCCCGAGAGGAGCCTCCCCACTAACGCCAAGAGACCCAAGATGAGATAAGACCTTCTTCTTGTTCATCTATGGTGTCTATCTTTTTGCCCTTATGCTCTTCATCATTCTCTTGGCGGGGTTGTTCTTGCTCCTCTCCTCTCCTGTAATCTTGGAAGAAAAAACCTTTCCCTTTATTTTTCTTTTTTTTCGGCTGTGCTGGGTTTGACTTTGACCTTCCGGTGACTTTGGCCGGTTGGGAGCGGGAGGCCCAGTTGACCGTTCGGTGTCCACGTGCGTCAGACCAATCGGCCTCTCAAAAAGGGTTCAAGGCCCGTCATCAGCTGTCTCTCTTTGCCATGGCGCTCTCTCTTCGGTGGTACGACGCCCTCTGTTTCGCCATCGTCGCCGCCGCGGCGCTGGGCGCGGGGTGGCTCATCCTGGCGAAGGTGCGACGGCGCCGCCGCGAGAAAGTCAACGGCGCCGCCGGGTACGTGAGCCTGGCGGCGGAGGGCCCCCCGGAGCGGCGGCGGCGACGATCCGACGGCGGCGCCGGGGTGTGGGTGAGCTCCTGGACGGGACTGCACCCCGGATGGCTGCTCGGTGTCCGGGTGGCGTCCGCCACCGTCATGGTGATTCTGCTGGCCTGCGACATCGCCGAGTGGGGCTTGCTCATCTTCGTCTACTACACCGAGTATGACGCCACTCTCCCTCATCATCTCTCTCCCTCTCTCTCTCTCTCTCTCCGTCTCTCTCCATTATCTCTATCTCTATCTCGCTATCTCGAGTACACATCTTTCGTTTGGTTTCGATTCGTCCACCAGCGGATTCCGGATGTCTGGGCAATGGGCTAGCTAGCTCCGCGAGTCGGGGGATTGCTGAGAAAGCTGGCATGGTTCGGATTCCCGAGGATTCTTCGTTTTACCACAGTTCATGCCCTGGTTCGTTAGAAAATTGTTGTAACTATGAGGGTAATTATGGAATTAAACATACAGGGAGCTTCTAGAACCACGTGGCAAAAGATCGAACGTACACGTCATCACATTATACTTTTTTGCCCTCTCGGAAGCCTGCAGGCCAAGGATGGCACACCGAAGTTTTGGTACGCGGACAGGGGTATTAGTGGAAAATCACGCTCAGATACCCGATGTCATCGCTGAAACTCTCTCTGGTCAACCCCGGGGGTCAAGAAATCCATCCATCGCCCTCTTCCTCGTCTCCTCTCCCGGGTTAGGAAGCTTGGGAGAGGATGAAGGGGAAATAAATCCCTAGGGTTTGGTGGAGATGGGCGAGGGGGGAGGGGAGGAAGGGGACTGGCTCCGGTGGCAGGTCCCTGTCTGCGGCCTGATCTTCCTCATCCCCGCCGCCGTGGCGGGGGCGGTTGCCTACCGGACGAGGAGGAATCGGCCGAGGGCGACCGCTCTGTGGGTGCCCTGCTGGCGGGGGCTGCCGCCGGCATGGCTGCTTGGTTTCCGTGTCGTTGTCTTCGTCGCCATGTCCTATGTTCTGTCCCGGATCGTCCTCGGCAGCGTCTTCTCCGCCTTCTATTTCTACACGCAGTATGGAGCCTTCGATCCCCTTTCTTGGATATAATTATAATTTCGATCAGAGGGAAATGAACATTTTGATGCTTTTTGTTTGTGAGGTCAGCCTGCTGTTGTTTCCTTGGAGAGTGTCGAAATCTTTTATCTGTATCCCAGAGAAACCTTCTTGAGAATAACTTGAGGAGATGAGATCAGCATGAAGATTTTGGCGAAAGGAAAATAAAAAAGGAATAGGAGTAGTTTTTTGCATGGAAAGGATGGAGATGAATCATCAATTTCAAATGAAATTCTTGTTAATATCTTATTTCGTTTTTAGTGCTAAGCTGAGATTTCTTTCTGATTCAATGCGAGAGAGATACATATGAATGTCTTGATGACCGATTACCAGCAGGTCTGAAAACTATTGGCACGAGCTTTCCCCAAATTTTCACATAAAATCAACCCGATTGATGATATTGAAATCTAGTCTTTTTTAGTTCAACAATATACTCTCATGAAACTACATACGTAGGTGTCTTGATTCAATATCCAGGAAAATGGTCTCCGTTTACTCTTAATAACTTGAGATTTTGCTGCTAAATGATCAACAGGTGGACTTTTTCGCTTGTCATTTTCTACTTTGCGGTACGTATGCCTCCTCTTAGTTGTTTTTATATTTCTTAAACAAATATCTTGAATCTAGGAGAATAATCTATCAAAAAGGAAACAGGATAAAAAATAAAGAATTGATAGGTTTCCCCGTTGTTGAAAAATAAAGAATTAATAATTTAAATGATTAATAAAGAATAAAGATAAAAATTGAAAATTTCAATTGACCTAGTTTCTTTCAAATGATCAATATACATATTTTGCCTGTTATAGCTTGGAGCTGCGATATCTGCACATGGTTGCTGGATTTCCTCTAAGCGAGCTAGTTCCATGAGTGAAGAAAGAACTGGGTGCCTAGAAAGCTATATGGATCTAGAAGGGGACAAATCTGAAGCACATATTCAGGTAACCGATACAACCAGCAGAACCATCGAATCACCGAGTTCTCTGGATTTTGAAGAGAACAGAGAAAAGGCTGGATTCTGGGGATGTGCAATGCAAGTGGTGTACCAGGTTAGCTTTCCTCGAATCCCTTTAGCATCACACATTAATTTTCCCCGTTGTGTAACATGGTATTTGATTATTCATTCATGGTGTTTATTTTAGCAGTTAGCTGCAACCACTATGACTCTTCATCCTTTGCCTTTTTTGATTTATAATTTTTTTCGAGATTTTATTGACCTTCAAAGATTTACTATGTGAACAGACAAGTGCAGGAGCTGTAATGATGACAGACATTGTTTTCTGGTGTCTCATAGTTCCATTCCTCTCCGACGAGCGTTTTGCCCTCAATCTGGTAAGAACTTGCTCATTTTTATTTTTTATTTATGATTCATTGGATGAAAATATATATTTAATTTAAAAACCAATTTATATACACTGCAATGCCTTGGTTTTTGCAGAAAATTAATACCTCATTACCTTTTTTTTATCTGTTCATTATCTTGTAAACTCTGAAACTTGTTTTTTATTTCTTCCACATTATCTCCCAATGCAATTCTCATTCATAGCTGTATTCTGGTGAGCGCTAAATGTGGTTTGCATTACCATCCCTGGTATATCTAAGGTTGACTTGCAGGCCTGATCAATTTCCAGCTTTGACGTGTTGACTGACCTCAAAGTCAGCCTGCTGGTTCTTATCATGATATCTAATCTTGAACCTGCATCATGGACCAGAATTATGGATTATTGAGGAAAATAATCTTGATATCAAGTGTTTTTTGTTTTTTTTTTTTTTGAGATTTCCAGCTTCACACAATGGTGTAAAGGGCCATCTTAAAAATGAGAGCAGATGATAAATCTCGTGCTTCATTGTTTGAGTCTGTAGCACCAAACCATCTTTTTTTGGAGAAATAAACTAGAAAATGATCTATTTGAGAAGAATATTTGGCTGATTAAAATGAGGGGGAAAAACCTCTCAAGATGATTAGAGCGATTCCTCCACAGCTGACCCAAGATGGATGAACATGGCATCACCTCCCAGTTTTGAAAAAAATGTCTTCTTTTGTGACCGCCCTTTTACGCTGGTGTTGACCATCCAGGGAAATGAAGCATGATTTGGAAGCAGGTGACTATAGGCGGACACTTTTAATGGAAAAAATGTTTTCTAGGCTTTTGATCATAGATGGTGACCTTGTCAGAGCCCATCCTTTTAAGGAAAATAATGCCTCGACTCTTATTCGAAGCTTGACCCAGAAATTTTATTGGGCGGAAAAAAAGCTCAGATCTTATGTTCTTCCTGCAAGGCTAATAGATATTCATCTCTCCTTACTTTCATTATGAAAAGCTTGGGAGGCTGATGGTGACCATCCCAACTGCACTTTTACTTGCTATTTTTCTCATGAAATCAGACCCGATCAAAGACTGATACCGTTTTTCTCTCTGGCATGATGATTCAATTCCTTTCCTTTCTTTTCCTTTCGCAGTTGATGGGTAGCATGCATTCTCTCAACCTCGTATTCCTCCTCCTCGACACAGCCCTCAACAGGATGGTACTCTCCCTCTCTCTCTTTCTCTCTCTCTCTCTCTCTAAGCTCGCCTGGTGATGCCATTGGAGTGGGAGCTCAGACTGATGTTGACTGGGGCTCGTGCTCAGCCCTTCCCCTGGTTCGGCATGGCCTATTTTGTCCTGTGGAGCTGCCTCTACGTCACTTTCCAGTGGATTCTCCACGCTTGCGGCTTCACTTGGTGAGCTCACCCTTGCACATCTCTTCCGAACAGTTCTCTTTCTAAATCCCATCTTCCCCTCTGCTGCTTCTTGCAGGTGGCCTTACCCTTTCCTCGAGCTTGCAACCCCTTGGGCGCCTCTCTGGTAACTCAGCCGTCCTCCTCTTTTGATGCTAAATATAGTTATGATCATATATAACGTATACTATGGGTATACATACATTAATATGGAATGATTATAGGGAGGATGGATGATGGGTTTCCGATTTGCAGGTATTTTTGCATGGCGTTGGTCCACATTCCGTGTTATGTGTTTTATTATCTGGTTGTGAAGGCCAAGGACTCGCTCTTCTCCAAGTGGTTCCCCAATTCATACATTCGATCATCGGAGCTCGCCGGTGCCAACCTGAAGAATGGATTAAGTCGTGTTAAATGATGATGGGTTGAGGCAGAATTTTGAATCCTCTGGGAATCTTCTGTCAAGGTATTTATTTACTAATGTTCTAGAATCTCGCTGAAATTCGTAATTGGGCGAAGATCTCCTGAGCAATAACCTCTCTCTCTCTCTCTCTCTCTTTCTTTCTCCTGCTCGGTGATGGGTGGAGGTAGAAGAATCCTGTGGGAGTCTTCTGTCAGGGGATTTACTGCTGTTCTAGAATCTCACTGAAATCGTTGTTGGGTAGAAGCGCCACAAAGCAATACCCATTCTCTCTCTCTCTCTCTCTCTCTCTCTCTCTCTCTCTCTCTCTCTCTCTCTCTCTCTCTCTCGTGGTAGTTTTGGTTGGTTGCCGCACACGCGTGGGGGGAGAATGATAGAGCCAGGTGGACTGTCTGCCACCCGTCCTGCCCGCCCGGGACACGTCTCTGCCATGCACGTCTCCCGCCCTACCCTTTTAGAGTGCACCAGGATGAAGAGGAACTGGTCGAGTTTCTCTCTCTCTCTCTCTTCTTTCTCTCTCTCTCCGGGAGCGAGATAGGTGGGTTTTGAAGGAGGCTCTGGAAGGGTGGAGGAAGATGCCGGGCCTCACCATCGGCGACACCATCCCCGACCTCGACGTCGACACTACCCATGGCCACTTCCGGATCCATGACTACGTCAACGGTGGCTGGGCCATCATCTTCTCCCACCCCGGTGCCTGCCTCTCTCTCTCTCTCTCTCTCTCTCTCTGTGAGGGCGAGTGACCATTCCATCTGTTCTCTCGAGTGCTGACGTGGCCTTCATCTCTTTATCTCTCTCATCTTGGCTTCATCTTCATCCATCTCTCTGAGCATGTCTCATCTCTTTACTCTCTCTCTCGACCCCCCCACCGGACGATCCAACAGGTGACTTCACGCCGGTGTGCACCACGGAGCTGGGAAAGATAGCGTCCAACGCGGAGGAGTTCGAGAGGCGCGGAGTGAAGTTGCTGGGCCTCTCCTGCGACGACCTCCAATCCCACCGCGAGTGGATCAAGGACATCGAGGCCTACACGGTTCTCTCTTTCTCTCTCTCTCTCTAACCTCTCTTCTATGGTTTATAGTAAGCAGGGATGCATAGTGGGCTATCCGATTTTAGCCGACTCCCTCCATCTCTGTCTACTCTCTCTTCTGTCTCAATCTCTCTCTCTCTCTCTCTCTCTCTCTCTCTCTCTCTCTAACTTCTCTGTTCTGTGAGTTATGATAAGCCGGGATGCAAAGTGGGGTACCCGATCGTAGCCGATCCGAAGAGGGAGGTACTGAAGGAGCTCAACATGGTGGACCCCGACGAGAAGGACTCCACCGGCGCCCATATCCCTTCCCGGGCCCTCCACATCATCGGCCCCGACAAGAAGGTCAACTCCATACAGACCCCATCCTCTCTCTAAGCGTCAACGCCCGTTTCTCTCTCGCTCTCTCTCTTACCGACGTGGCGTGCGTGTGACTGCCACGGCGGCGGATCAGGTTAAGCTGAGCTTCCTCTACCCGGCGACGACGGGGAGGAACGTGGACGAGGTTCTGCGCGTGGTCGACGCCCTTCAGAAGTCCGCCTCCCACCCAGTGGCGACGCCGGCGAACTGGAAGTCCGGCGAGCCGGTGGCGATCTCGCCGTCGGTCTCCGACGAGGACGCCAGGAAGATGTTCCCCCAGGGATACCAGACAGCCGACCTCCCTTCAAAGAAGGGCTACCTCCGTTTCACCAACGTCTGACCGGAGCTCCCCCGGGTCTTCCTCCCCAATGTCTAAGTACCTCGTTAGGATGTCCCCGCGGTACACCTAAAAGTCTCCCCCTCATGTCGATGGATGGGCTGTATACTCGATAAAATAATATGTAATTATGGGATGCACGTGAAAATAAATAAAGTAAAAATAAAATATCTTTGAGAATTTCTGAAACCTGTTAACCCCCCCCCCCTTAGAGTTCTCTTGTTATCGTTCTGAGTGAGCATTGCCTACGGGTTTGATTGAAGAATTTTAATTTTTCTCACTTAATCCTTAGAAAATATGATAAAAGCAGATAAATTTGAAGGCTAAGTGGAATCAAACCCATTTTTTTAGTATCCTCGTATGTCATGATTAATATGATGTTATTATATATTATAAATGGCACTTGAGATTTAATGGATGAATCTTGAATGTCTTTCCACCACTATTTGAGAACCAAAATTCTAAATTTTGATGAACACTTGATAGTGTTGACCATTTTAAGGTGGTGGAGAGAATGTTGTTGGAATTTGATCTTCTTGATTATTTTTTTTATTCCCTATGATGCCACAAAATATATAAATATGTCAAAAGGTCATTCTACACTATTACACGAATTTTATGTCATTAAAAAATATTGGGGTGGGTATATTTCTGACCTTTCGTAAGTTATTGGAAATTTTGGGATACTTTATAAAATAATAGAAAAAATAGATAATTTATATGAGAATAAGGAAATAATAAATAAATAAATCAGAAATCTATGATGCATAAAATTAATATTGTACATAAATAGAATATGTATTGCTCAAAGAAATATGAGGGGTACATGTCTCCCTATATAGAGAGAAGGAAGAAGATGAAGAGTTAGAGGAAGACGAATATTAAGAGATATGAAAAGGTTAAGAGATACAAAGGGGTGAAGAAGGTAAAGGGCCAAGAGATGTGGGAAGGTCAAGAGTCATATAGTAGGCCTTTGTACTCACATTCTCCCTCAAGCTAGATTGTAGATGTTGACTAAGCTTAGCTTGCACGAGAAAGTATCATATGATGCAACCGGCAAACCTTTGGTGAAGATATCCATAAGTTACTATGAAGATGCTACATGTGGAGTGCAAATAAGCTCGTCCAAAAGTTGATGGCAAGTGACATGGCATACAATCTCAATATGTATGGTATGTAAATGAAAAGTCAAGTTATTTGTTATAAAGATCACCGCCTAATTATCATAGTACATAACACTTTGCACTAGATAGCCCAACTCTTAAAGTAGGTTATGTACCAAAAACATGCACAATGACATATCTATTATGGCCCAATATTTAGCCTCAACATTAGAGGAACAAGGGACCCGTTGCTTATGAGTAGACCATGTCACAAGATTTCTTTCGACATAGACACAATAGCTTGTGGTAGGCTTCTGATCTACATGATCGTTGGCCAGATTCGAGCTTGAGTAGTTGACCATGTGAAGATATTTGTGACTGCAAAAAGTGATTTCTTGTCTAAGAGGATATTTGAGATAGGTGAGAAGTCTAAGGGCAGCCTCCTAATGATTGTATTAGGGTTCATGCATAGCTTGACTGAGAAGATTCATCATATAAGCAATGTCGGGTCGTGTGATAGTCTAACTAGATGTTGATATGAGTGAGGATTGACAAGGAGAGGCAAGGTTGAGTCTCAGAAATTTGGTTGACTTTTGATCGAAGATGCATGTAGCTTGCATCTGAGTAGTTACATATCCTACAAAAGATTAAGTATATACTTATGTTGATTGAGGACAATTTTCTTCGGGCAGTAGATAAACTCTATGCTCAAGAAGTATTTGAGAGTTTGAAGTCCTAAATATCCAGATGTTCTTAAAACAATGTCTTGATGTCCTGAATACCAACCATATCACTCTCCGTGATAATCATATCATCCATATAGATGGTGAGAATACTGCATCTATTTGTAGTGATCTTGTGAAAAATTGTAGGCTCCACTTCGCATGTTGAAAAACCACACTACTAAATGAGGGTGCTGAATTTGGTGAACAAAGTTTGAGGACTCTTTTTGAGACCATAGATGGCTTTGCAAAGATGACATACTTTGGTAGATTTTGTCTTGATCATGTAGCCGAGAGACTGCTCTATATAAACTTATTCGTCAAGATCTCCATAGAAAAAAGTATTGGAGATATCTAACTAGTGTAGAGGCCAGTCGAGGTTGATTGTCACAGAAATAATAATACATCCCGAGCTTAGATGGACCATAGGAGAAAGGTCTCCTTGTAGTTGATACCATACTATTGAGAAAAGCCACGTGCCACTAGTCAAGTTTTATAATGATGAATAGTGCCATTTGAAAGATACTTAGGGGTGTAAACTCATTTGTAAGAAATAATGTTAGCACCATGCAGTTGAGGAACAATCTCCTAAGTTCTTTGACAGATGAGAACCACATATTTCTCATCCATGGTCACCTTCTAATGAAGTATTGTCATAGCATCCACGTGAGACTTAAGAATTGATTTAGTATCTAAAATTAGGACAAAGGCTTAATAAGATGGAGAAAGGCGATCATAGGAGATAGAAGAAGAAATGAGGTAAAGAGTGTAGGAGCGTGTACCTTTTTGGAGAGCAATAAATAAATAAAGATCATATGGAGGTGCTGAATTTACAGACGGTGTTGCAGATTGGTTGAGTACTTATGGAGAGATTGGTCTAAGAGTGGCTACGGATGAGTCTTTTGGAGGTGGTAGAATAAACTGAAGTAAGTTAGGATCAGGAGATGGTAATGATAAAGAGATAGTGACATCTGATGAAGTGTTGAGACTGGATAATGATGAAGATGTGGTGTCCTCTAGTAAGGGTATGGATGGAAGCGTTGAGGAGGGCACTCTAAAGTACCTAGACTCCTCATAGAAGGTGACATTTGCTAATACCAAATACTTCTACTTTTGAGGAAGGTAGACATGATACCCTTTTTATGTCTATGAGTAGCCAATGAAGACATTTTTTAGTACATGAGGGGCAAGCTTGGACTTATTTGGGATGTAGTTGTGTACAAATGCCACATAGTCAAAAACTTGTGGAGGTAGAGAGAAGAAGTCACCTTTGGGGTTGAGATGACGAAGGAGAACTTCACCACCTAAAGGAGATGACAAAAGGTGGTTAATGAGGTAGGTGGATGTGAGGACGACGTTAGTTCATAGGTATGTAGAAACCCCCATCTTAAGCATAATGGTACAAGTTATGTTCAAGATATGTTAATATTTTTGTTTTGTCACTCTTTTTTGTTAGGATGTATGTGGACATGTTGTTTGATGAATGATCCAATATGATTTGTAGAGCTTTTGAATTGTGGATTGTGTAAACTCAAGAGCATTATCCGTTTGAAAGATTTTGAGTGTAATGTTTCCTTAAGTCTATACTTCCTAAAAGAATTCTCGAAGATGGGAAGGATTGTAGTTCAATCAATGAGGAGGTAGACCCATGATGCACATAATAAAGAGTTTAAGTAATTATACTAATAGAGAGGAAGTTGATGTCAAAGTTAAGGACATAGAGGATGTTGGATAGAGACATAAAAGAAGTAGATTTAGCATCCTCCTTTTTGGTGACAGAATAAAGATGATTGTTAATGATCGTGATAATTTCGGGATAGGTTAGATTCTAGAGGCGGGAAAGGAGAGATGGAGTACTTAACATTTGAGCAGATGCCCTTGAATCAATAATCTAAGTCTCAAACTTAACAGCAGATGTTAAAAAGGTGGTACATATGTTGGAAGATTAAGTGTGGTGTGATATGTGGGAAGTCAAAGCCACCTCTTTAGAGCACATCCATTGATCATACTCCTCGCAAGACATAGAAATCTTGATTACTTGCACAAGAGTTAGAGTTGGTCCCAAAGAGGACCCTTACAAGGGTAAAAAGGTAGTAACTAGTAACTAAGAGGTTGTAGAGTATCCATAGAACCCATTTGGAAGAAGTGGGCCTGGCCAGTCAGATGAATAGCCAAACTTTTTGTAGCACTTGATCTCAATGATTGGTCCTCTCACAATATTTACATGAAGGAAGGTGACCCCTATTTGAAGAAGTTCCACGACCATTCTTCCCTTTCTAGCCAATGGGGTAGGGACTTTTCTTGTCGTACTTCTTAAGTAATAACTATCATAGCCAAGGTTCTGGAGATAGATGATGATATCTTCAATGATATCATAGTCAATGTGGAGACGAGAAGAGCTACTCATTCGACCGTGTTGAAGGTCTCCACTAATGTCAGAGGGGTCTCACCATTTAATATAGAGTCTCATACTTGATAAGTGGAAGAGTTAGATCAATCACATCGAACTATGCAGTTGTCAAGAATTTCTGATAATAACATTGTTGAATAGCCATGTCCATCGTAATGAGCTGGTACTGATCAAGTAGATTGCCAAGCTTCTGCATGGTGAGAAATGTGGCGTGAAAGAAAAGGTGGTGTCACATATCTTCATGATGTTTTCAAAAACATCCATTGTAAAGGCAATGCTGCCCTAAGTACTAAAAGCTCTATTGAGATCATCCTACATTTCTTTATCTATGTCGAGAAATTTCAAGTTGGCAAAGAGAGTAGGAGCAACAAGTTTGAGACGTCACATTTGTATAGTCTCGTTTAGCTGTCCACATAGGGTGACGAGAATTGTTCTCAAGAGGACGAAGATCAGTGAGGTATTGCCGACACTCAGAACACCGAGAAAATGACGAGTTATGTGCCTATTGAAGGTAATTCGTAACTCTTGCATCGAGCATTGGACACAGATTTTGGAGGTGAGTCGGAACTTTGGTGGGTAGGACGTGGGCAGCTGCAAGTGAATCGACCAAAGTTATGTCGGCATCGGTCAATGTGTTCAACGAAGGTGCGAAAGAGTTTGAGTCAACCATGATGCCAGGCGGTCATGGTGTGAGGGAGAAGTCGCTGGGTGAGAAGATGAATAGTCTCCTCCCATAGTGAGGAGAGCCGCCACCTAGAGATACATCGGCTAGGAGATTCAGGTGGAACGGGAAGTTCTAACGCTAGGGGTGGCATGAGGTGACACTTAGGGCATCAGATGGTGACGCTTGGGGCACCAGAAGTCGTCGCATGAGGCGTCAGGAGGTGATGCTCGGGGCATCAGAAGGTGACCCCTAGAGCACTGTGAGTCGATGTGCAGGGCATTGGGAGTCAATACACAAGGTGTCAGAAGGCTAGTGCCACCGAGAGGAGAAGGGTGCCGCTGACTTGCTCTAACGATGCACAGAGCACCGTGAGTTGATGCGCGGGGCATTGAGAGTCGACGCATGAGGTGTCGAGAGGCTAGCATTGTCGAGAGGAGAAGGGCACCATTGGCTTACTCTAATACTACCAATATGGAACCAAGAAGAAATGTGAAGACGATATTGTAGATGAGGTGGAGTGGAACCTAGCTCTAATACCATATATACAAATAGAATATGTATTGCTCAAGGAGATAGGAAGGATACATGTCTTCCTATATAGAGAGGAGGAAGATGAAGAGCCAAAGGAAGACGAACACTAAGAGACATAGAGGGGTGAAGAAGGTGAAGGGCCAAGGGATGTGGGAAGGCCAAGAGCCCTATAGTGGGCCTTCCTACTCACAAATGTTATTTGCATGTGCACTACATTAGGATTTTTAATTTTTTAAATAGAATAAAATTAAGAAAAAATATTTTCTATACAAGGAGATTTTTTAGGGTAGTTATTTCAACAACCTTAGAAAATCACTTTCAGATCTTATTAATATTTTTAATTTTTTGGGCACAAAGAAATTAGGGAAAAAACTTCTAAAAACATTAGAAATTAGGAAACTTTGATATCAACACTAATGAATCTTTATGACAACAAAGTGTAAATGTATGCACCATGAAGGTAAGATCATAAAGACATACATTCTCTAATGTTCCTTTACTATATGCAATTGTTCTATGCAATTGTTCTTGGTACTAGTGAGTGCTTGAGTGCACTTAGAGCATTTCTAGAGCCATAAATTTGGAATGGTGAACTTACATTGACGAACTTGTTGTTTGACATTATCCAATCAGAAACCTAATAGGGGAAAGTTCAATGTTTGTCTTTTGGTTGAGATACATCTATAAATCTATGACCAAATATTGAGCAAACTTAATGCTGCCCCTCTAAATGAATTGACTTTGGTACTTAATTGGTCTCATAAAGTTAGTCAATCTAAAGATAACAAGTTAGTTCCATTAGCTTCAATGATTTGTACCAACAAGATGTTAGTATGGTGTCAAAAATAAACTTTCTATTTTCCTATCTTAGAATAATCAAGAGTTTGGGTTTTACTATTTTCCTGACATCAATCAAATTACCTCATTTGTAGAGAATATAATAAATTGAGATCATTTTTGTGTTTGCATGAAAGCTCACATTGGACCTAAATAATCATAATTTTTTGATGATGATGATGATGATAATACAAAATGTCATTTTAACATTCTAATGTAAAACTCACACATTATTCTAATGACACAATTTATTATTATGATTATATAAGAAACTTAAATATATTTTATCTTAGTATTATCTTTTAATTTTATGCTCATTATACCTTGTATGTTTGAACATTGACGTGACTTAGTCATTGTATATTAAATCATGCAAATCTTAAATTTATAAAACTAGAAAATATGAATTTTTGGATATTTAGAAGTACTTTTAAATAAATATATTAATTATAATTCAATAAAACTTTCAAAAATAGCAATAATTTTCTAAGTCGATTGAGGGATGTAATATAATATCTAGTAATTATTCAGAATTTTTCTCAATAAATATGATTTTTTATGAATTTTATACTAGGAAATGAAAAGGAAATATATTTAAAATTCACAAAAAAAGGAAATAAGGGTGCGGACGTCAAGATGATATCAGCACCCGACGAACGCAAATCGGACGAAAATAGAGTTTCACCTGACAATTCTTATGTAAGCGATTATAGATGATTTAATTGATCAAATTAAGATATATAAAAGCTAGAAGAATTATAATAGAACAAAGTATATTTTGGTAAATTAAAATCACAAAAACTATCACTAAATGAAGTGTAAAGTAAATTAGAAGTAGGAAAACAGAGTTCCCGCGTCGCGACAGCAATGCATTGGTGATGTACCGGAATCCTGAGCGTTCGGGAGGATTGTCGTGTAGTGTTCATGGCCTTGAAGGCTCTCTTTGGACAAAGACGACGTGGACAATTTCTAGATCTTCTCACGAAGTCTAGAGATTAATGAAATGGGTCATTAAGTCATCTCCGACAATTGTCACCCGGCAAAGTGGAAAAATGGTGACTTTGCGGCTCTCTGGCGATTGTCACCCGACAGAGAGGAGCTGGATGGAAGTGGGGCGCATGTCAAGGAGCTTCATCCTCAGGTCTGCATAGCAAGAGGAGGCTCTTCATCACATCTAGTACATTCTTAGGAGGTGGCGACTCATCTCCCGATAGATCATCCTCTTCCCGACGACGGCTTGTTTGTTGATCAACCGGAGATGATTTACTTAATAGATTCACGATCCTTTTATCGCAAATTGTTCAGTAATTTTAGTAGCAATCGTATTGACAAGATTTTCGCCAATGATCTAGCGATTCTCGTTGCTTAATCCTTCACTGGCGATTTGTAAGAAAGTCGCGATAATCAGATAAAAATATATGAATCTTGACTCTGGGAGGATTTGAACTCGTGTTGGTTGCCTACCTCTGAGGAAGGTGTGACGTGGGTTTAGTCCCACATCAGTTGTACGCCAATTTTTTGGGTGAATATATAGTAATGTTAGCTTTACAAGCAAAGTCCCTTCTTTCGCGTGTACGATCACTTTTTGTCCCAAAGTTAGTTGGCCACCGGTGATGTGAAAGAGGAGTGGCGCACACATGCCCCTATCGGTCCAAGCCAAGCCGCTCGAGCCCTTACTCGCAGCTACTCCTCGACTACGCTTTTGACCCTCTTGCGGTCCCGGTTGGCCGACGGGTCCCCCTATTTTGTAATATTTTTATTTTTATTTCTTGTTCTTTATTTATCTCAAAAGTAAGATTGTAAAAATCATATAAAATTACATAATTACCCAAAAATTCACATTAATTAACTAAAAATCACTTTTCACACTTTAACACAAATATAAGTCTATTTCTCATGAGTTAAGGCTAAAACTATATTATTTAATAATTATTAATTCATGATAATGAAGATTTATTAAACATGAAATGAGAAGTTATACAAGTTTTTACTTCACCCTAGTCAACTAACTAATTTCACCAGATCAAGTAACATGTTCCCTCAAGTTCTCTAGATTTTCCCTATGTTTCAAAAAAAAATCACTCTCTTGAGCATGTTTTCTCTCTTGAACATTAATCTATAGCCTTTTCAATTTTTTGGGTCTTCACTGGCCCAAGGATTGATTTTGTAGGAAACACTAACATCAGTCATAGTGGAGGAGCATGCCAATATATAATACTAGTATTGGAGATCTCATACATGTTAATACTTGTAGGGAAGGTTGATTGAATGATTATTCTCTAAATTATTGTGAGATCAAAATGATATTTTTACGAATATATTTCCTAAATAATTAATACATCCCCAAGAAAAATGAAAATGGAAACTTGATTGGATTTCCTAATATGGCATTTATTTCTGATTTTGATAATTAACTTGATTAGAGTCTGGCTGATGTAGCAGCAGAATATGATCTTAGATAATTTTTCTTTTCTATGGATTATAAACTTGAATTGGACAGGAAAATAGTATAACAACCAAAATATGATCCAATATACCTTTTTTCTATGGACTATAACTTGAGTTGGATAGAAAAATAGTATCGCAGCCGAATATGATCCTTGAGTATTTTTTCTAAGAATTATAATCTTGAATTGGACAGGAAAATAGTATAGCAGCCGAATATTATCCAATATACTTTTGTTTCTATGGATTATAATCTTGAATTGGACAAGAAAATAGTATAGCAGCCGAATAGGACCCTATATATTTTTTCTATAGATTATAATCTTAATTTGGCCAGGAAAATAGTATAGCAGCCGAATATTATCCTAGATTTTTTTTATAGATTATAATCTTGAATTATATAGGAAAATAGTATAGCAGCCGAATATTATCCTTTATATTTTTTTTCTATGGATTATAATCTTGAATTGGACACGAAAATATTATTTCAGCTGATATGATCCCATTTTGGTTTTTTTATGGATTATAATCTTGAATTGGACTGCCGAATATCATCCTAGATATATTTTTTTCTTTTGATTATAATCTTGAATTGGTCAGGAAAATAGTAATTGGTAAAAAAATGATAATTTTATGCCACAATGGTCGATTTCCACTTGTAAGTGGAGGGAGGAGGGTGGATTGGCCCATTTTCTTTGTAGTCGGGTCAAGCCCGGTCTAACGAACGGGGAAGAGGACCGAGTAAAGAGGACCGAGGTCGGCCGGACTCCTCGGCTCCGGCGGCGAACTTCTTCTCTCGGCTCTTTTTGGTGATGCCGTGAAGAACGTCACCCCACCGGGAATTGGGCCTGGAGATTCTCGGACATGGCGGAGCAGGAGGAGGAAGAGGAGGAGGAGGAAGAGGAGGAGGAGGTAGAAGGTGGGTCGGCGGGGAGCCGCTGGATCGCGTGCTCCGAGTGCCTGGAGCGCCGAATTCAGTCCGACTTCTCGGAGGATCTCATATTCCGCCACGGCGTCTCCGACTCTGCCCTCCCATTTGGTTGCGCTGCCGTCGTTGAGGTCTGCCGATTGTTCCCTACGCGTCATTCCCTGCATTGTCTTCAGTACTTTGCAGCTTTTATGGGGAGGGAGGCCTTGTTCTCTCAGCCGTTTATTTTTCTGTCTCTGAGTTTTCATTTAGTGTTTGAATGTGATCGTAATTTTTTATAGAATATTTTAATTTCGTGACTGATGGATCCAATGCAGATGAATCTGACGAAAGGAGCGGAAGAATCGACGAGGTAAGTCCGAAGCACGCGTGAAACATTTCTACCTTTTCTCAGTTTTCTTAACCATTCCTGGTTATGGTTTTAATGAGTTTTATGTAATAAAATGGAAATAACCTTCCTCTAAGCTATTATGCAGACTGTTAGGTTATATGGTAGGTGAAATTTTTAGGTGGCGAGCTGAATGTAGAAATGTTTGCGGACATTGAACATGTTTTCAAATTTGAGTATGTGTGATTAGGCTCTTTTCATCTGTTTTAGAACTTTATTTAGGTTGAGGGAGTTGGATGAGGCAATGATAAGTCTAATCGAGTGGCCATGATATAGGATCATCTGCCGGGGTTGGTAAAAATGTTTTGCCCATGAAGAGGTTATTTCTGTCAATTTATAATCACGAGGAACAACATCCAAGATTGGCATAGATTATGGCTATTTGCAGAACTTGGATGAATTTTTTTTCTTGTATTTTATATGTTTCATATTTCAATAAACTTAATATTTATTTTGATGTACCCTGAATCTCTGTTTGACATTCATCAGTGACGAAGTTGCTGCTCAATTTTTGCTTGTAGTATTGAGTAACCAGGAGGATGCCCTCTCAGACGCTAGGTGAGACATCATATTTTCAGCCTATAGACCCCAAGAGGAATAATATGATGTTTTCTGATATTTTCCGGGTTTCTGATTCACCCATATTTCAACCTTCTGGAGTAGGTATTCTTTGTGTGATAGTACCGTGGACCCTCTTTCTGGTAATGAGAGAATGCCCTCGTCAAAAACTAGTCACCATCAGGATGGGATCAATATTGGAGTCCTTGATGATGATCACATTCACTCATCAGATTGGAAATCGAGGCTTATGTCGGGGATTAAAGACATTAGCTCTCTCCAACGGCTGATCACTGCTTTGTCACCAGGTGTTCATGTTGGCAGTGGTTCGTACTCTACTCTGCAGGAGCTTGTTAGCAATTATTTATCTGGTTCTACTGAAGACCATGTAATGTCATCTATTAATCTTCTCCTTGAAAGAGAAACCTCTGGGTCCTACGATGTTGATTTCTTCAGTTCAATTGGATTACCTTTTTTTATGGAAAAAGATGTTCCTCGTGGTGTTAGGCATCCTAATGTTGCTCCTGTCTTGGGTATGTTAAGAACATCTAGCTGTGCATATTTGTTACAACCCAAAGCTCCATATACCTTGGAGACCGTTTTAAATTACAGCCCTAGAGCTTTGCAGTCTGACTGGCATATCAGATTCTTAATTTACCAACTACTCTCTGCACTGAGTTACATCCATAGCTTAGGATTCGCTCATGGCAATATATGCCCTTCCAGCATTATGCTGACTGATTCACTCTGGTCTTGGTTGAATTTATGTGATGGAAAAGACTGTACCTTGGGCTCGAAGGAGGACTCTATTCCTTCCAGAGTATGCTTTTGCATGAAAAACTGTCCTTGCCAAGCTATATATGCAGATTTAAAGCTATCAAGTCCTATTGACTGGGGATGCGATTTCAAGCGATGGTGGATGGGGGAATTGAGCAACTATGAATACCTTCTTATTTTAAATAAATTAGCGGGCAGAAGTTGTGGAGATCACACATTCCATACAGTGATGCCCTGGGTCATAGATTTCAGTGTGAAACCTGATGAAGATTCTGATGTTGGTTGGAGAGATCTCCAGAAGAGCAAGTGGCGCCTAGCAAAAGGAGATGAGCAGCTAGATTTCACTTATTCAACCTCTGAGGTTCCCCATCATGTCTCTGACGAGTGTCTCTCAGAACTAGCTGTCTGCAGTTACAAAGCAAGAAGGCTGCCTTTGAGCATACTTCGTTCTGCTGTCCGTTCTGTTTATGAGCCGAATGAATATCCTTCTAATATGCAGAGGCTTTACCAATGGACTCCTGATGAGTGCATTCCTGAGTTTTACTGTGACCCTCGTATCTTTTATTCTATTCATCCTGGAATGAGTGATCTTCGTGTGCCTTCCTGGGCCAAGTCTCCTGAGGATTTTATCTTGTTGCATCGTGCTGCTTTAGAGAGTGATCGTGTTTCTCGGCAGATTCACCATTGGATTGATATTACCTTTGGTTACAAACTTTTTGGTGAGGCTTCTATTGCAGCCAAGAACGTTATGCTGCCAACAGCAGATCCCATGATGCCAAAGTCGATTGGACGACGTCAGCTCTTCACTAGACCTCATCCAGTGCGCCAATGTTCTTGGAAAAAATCTCATCATAATCTGAAAGAGCAAAAAATGAGCCATCTAGCCCCAGAAAAGGGAAATCATATGGGTTTGAATGAGAATGTAAATGCTACAATATCACCAGAAGAAGACTGCCTCCTCCCAGAAACCTGCTTCCTGCAAGCATTGGAAGCATCTGTTTCCTTTTCTGCTGATGCCTATGTCCTGAGTCCAATCTACAATATCAGTGAAAAACTTATGGAGGAAAGTTTTATTCGTAGACCATCAGATGAGAATGTGCCAAGGAGAGTTGACGTAGAGAGTCACTGCTTAACATCACGTAATGTTGATTTATCTTGCCTCTTAGAATCTTTTGGAGCTGGTGACAATGGTTTCATAGGTTTCCAGGATTTGCTCTGTTTGAAGCAACAACTTTCAGACTCAACAGTTCTCTCTGAACATGTTGCGAGGGACATGTTCTCTGTTGGATGCATCTTAGCCGAATTATATTTGAAAAGGGCACTCTTTGATTCTGTCTCCTTATCTATTTATTTGGAAAAAGATATTCTGCCTGGAGTTATATGGGAGCTTCCTGCACATGTTAGGATACTTGTTGAATCATGCATCCTGAAGGATTGGAGGAGGTATGGTTGCCATATATATTTCGTTTTTCCAATGTTAGGGCCTATTAGACTGTAAGATAAAATAAAATAGAAAGATAATATTTAAGAAACTTGATCTGCTGATTTTTGATTATGTCTTCTGCTTAGTGGAAACCAAGGACATACTATTTGTACTCGTGGTCCAATAGAACATAAAATCAAGAACAACACGAATTTCATTGCTTATGATTAAAAAAGGAGATGAAACAAAGGGAAAATTTAATCTCCTAGATTCTTGATATTCTGTTGCGGTTGTGCATTGCTTTATCTTGAGCATGTTCATGTTATTTTGTGCCTGGAGAATGAGTTTGCATCTCATTTTTCCTGTTATCCAGTATCTTCTCTGAATTTTTATTTATGCCAGGAGGCCCTCAGCTAAAAGTATTCTGGAATCACAGTACTTCCCTCCAACAGTCAGGTCTGTGTATCATTTTGTTGCCCCACTCCAGACTCTGTCAAAATCTGTATCTCGCCTTCAGTATGCTTCAAAAATTGCAAAAGAAGGAGCCTTCAAAGCCATGGGCCCATTTGCTGCGGAAATGTGTGCTCCATACTGCTTATCCCTTATTTCCAATTCTTTATCCGATGCTGAAAGTGAGGCATCTTTATCTCTACTTACAGAATTTGTGGGATGCTTAAAACTTCCTGCAATTAAGTCACTGATCCTACCAACTATTCAGAAGATTTTACAGGTTTGTTTTGCAAGGCAGTAGCATGATTCTGTTTGTACACATTTTTTGGGCAATTTATTGTTATATTTTTTGAGTCACCTTTTGGATATAAAAGGAAAATGCGGTTTATAGTTTATCATGAGTTTTCATATAATATTTTAATTTCTTGTCAAAAACTATACAGTAACGCAAACCCTGGGAGGATATACAGTGGGAAAAAATCTCTGCTTCTTACTCACATCATAGATAACTGGTAGTTATAACAAGTAATAACAAGTACAAGGGCCGCGAAATAAATAAACTACCTAACAAAATAGGAAACTGACCAACTAAGAGCTAAGCTCCTATATATGCGTTCTTTCCTAACTTATTGATATTGAGATTGAGTTTGATTGCTATTACCATGTTATTTTATTCCTCAAATGCCCCATGAATGAAAAATCACTGTTGCCTTTAAAATGTTTCTGTTTTGGAGCCACTGCAAGGATTCTTTGGACATTAATTTCTTTCTTGAGCATCGTCATCAGACACATGCTTATTCCTGGGGGTTTCTCTCTAGGTTTTTGTGCTCAATTTTTCTGAAATAGTTTGTGTTGCGATTTTCATTGTTTAAATATTGAAATAATTGACCATAGAATATTCCAATAATCATAACATGTATTTTGCCTCAGCTAGCTGGCTCTTTACACTTAAAGATTTCTCTTCTCCAAGACTCTTTTGTTCGGAAAGTATGGAAAGATTTGGGTAAACAAGTGTACTTGGAGAAGCTGCATCCTCTGGTGATTTCAAACCTGTGTAATTATCCGAACAGGGTCACCGCTTCTGCTGCATCTGTACTACTGATTGGATCTAGTGAAGAGCTTGGCCTTCCAGTCACCATTCATCAGGTTATTAGACAATGCAACAGTTTCTTTTCATCACTGACTTGAAGATTTTTTCTCTTACTAGCATTTTTGAATACTATTTCTAAAAAATTGCAGACAATTTTGCCCCTTATACATTGTTTTGGGAGAGGGCTCTCAGTGGATGGAATTGATGCACTGGTTAGAATTGGTATTTCAGTGCATTCTTGTTCACTATTTCGTTGTTTTAGAATTACTTCGGTAATGATTTACTGACTAGCTCTTTACCCATTGGTAATGATTTAACTCGCAATTGTTCTGTATGTTTGTGTTTGCAGGTGGGCTTCTTGGAGAGGATTTTATTACCAGACATCTTTTGCCTCTACTGAGGAATGTTGTCTTGTCGTGTCTTGATGCTTCCTCTGTGAATAAGTCTGAACAAATCCAGAGTTGGAATTCTTTAGTGCTGATTGACTGTTTTACTACTTTAGATGGTCTGGTCAAACTCTTGCAAAAGGATATGATTCTCAAAGAACTTATCATGGTAAAAATCTGTTTTTCATTCTGAATATATCCAGCTGTGTGACATCTGATTGGATTGTTGATGTCTTATTTTTCGCCTTTTGATTTTTTTTATTATACAGGATCATTTCTGCCTTCACATAAAGGTTCTTGGTCGAACTAATCTGGATCTTTCCGTATTCCAAGTACGCCTTTTTACTCTCTTTGGTTTTATGCTGGATGCTGAAGTTTTTACATAACTCAAAAACTGCCAATGTTCAATGAGTATAATTTTCAGTCAACTTCTATGTACTTTTCTCGTGATATTTTGGCTTCCTGCTAGGTTGTTGCAACAACACTTGTCAATGTCTGTCAACGGATAGGACCCGAGTCAACTACAGCCCATGTCCTACCTCAGCTTAAAGGACTCTTTGATGAACTTGCCTTCTCTCAAGAGGCTGTGGGCTCTAGTTCCTCCAGAAGAAACTCAAGTTCTTCTGTTGCAAAATTAGACAGGGAAATCTTCATAGAGAGTCGTTTGGACCTTGTGTAAGAGCTATCTATACTGCAAATATTTTTTTCCTGTGGGGACATCTTGTAACGTTACCTCATGCTTTTTTCGTAATGGCAGATTGCTTTTATATCCTTCCTTTGCATCACTTATTGGCATAGAGAGGCTGCGTCAGAGTTGTGCCACATGGTTTCTTCTGGAGCAATTTCTTGAAAGGTCTCACAGTTGGAAGGTAGTCTCGTCTGCTCATTTTTTTACTTGGTATTCTTTGCTGTAGTGTCCTGTAAAAATTCTAGCTTGTCCTTTTGATATCTTTATATCTCTCTCTATATATACATGCATTTCTGTATTTTGATTTCTCCATTTACTCGGTTACCTAATCTCCTTATAATTGTGTTGCAGTGGGGGCTTACAGAAGAAGCTTCTCGGAGTGATAGTGTTGAGAATACAAATCGTCAGAGAGGCACATTCTCAGCAACTTCATCAATTGACTATAATCCAGCCAAGCTGTTACTCAATGGGGTTGGTTGGTCTATACCACAATCACAGGGGGCCAGAGGCGGCAAGAGTTTGATGTATTATAAACATCTCCATGATCAGAGGGCTACAACAGAGAAAGATAAAGTTAATTCTGGTTTGGACAGGCATCATCCCTGGTTCTGGTTTCCTAAAACTGCTGCTAGCTGGGATGTAGTAGATTATCTTGGGCGTGCTGGGAGCCTTAAAGATGATCCATGGAGAATCAAAGCATCGATTCTTTGTTCAACTCGGGCACATCCTGGAGTTCTACGATCCTTAGCTGCTTCTCATGATGAATGTACAGTTTTCACTGGAGGAGTTGGGCCTGCATTCAAAGGAACTGTACAAAAATGGGAATTGCCTCGAATGAACTGTGTTTATGCGTATTATGGCCATGATGAGGTTGATTCCTTTCCTTTTCAGAAAGTTTGAAGCATGATTTTAAATTGCAGAAATTTGACCTTTTTCTAGCTCTAAACATGCAATTCTATTTGTCACAGTAGTCCTACATAAAAAATGTAAAATTCGGTGCTATTAATTAGTGAGCCTACTCTACCGGCATTTGCGTTCTAGCTAGATGACCCATTAATTTTAAGATGGTATTAGAGAAATTTGCTCTTGGGTTATGTTGTTTACCTGACTTTTAATTAGTTTGAACATGGGGGGTTGTGTTAGCATAAAATGGCCCATTGCTTGTAAAACTAAAATTATGTGGCATAAATAGATGAACTTTGAATTGATCCTAGATCATCCCTTATGGACATGAGGCCTCTTGTTTGACGATCCAACGACTTAAAATGTTGTTTCTATGGAGAAAATGTATTTGGCTGCTCTTATATAAATTCTGATGTCATTTGTTTGCTGGGAATTAACTAAGAAAAGCGAAACATTGAAGGGTTCCAACTCTGTTGTGTTTTTGAGATAAGATTATGTACGGTGTTTCTTACTTGGAAATTAGAGAACGTCTGGTTGCATTTATGATAACTTATACCAAGTATATGCATGGACTGTGACAGTGCTTTCTTAAAAGGATTTGTTTACGGACAGCAGGGATAGAATGCCTCATCTCCTTCTTCATGTGACTCATTGGGCAACGTATGGTTGCACTGGAGCAATACTGTGATCTGGGGGAGCCAGATACTGTCCCGGTCAGGTCTGGTCTAGATTTCGATCAAATTAGGTCAACCATATCAATTGACCCAAGGGAATGGAAACAAATTTAGTCAAATCAATTGGTAGACCTTGGCTTTTTCTAAACGTTTTAAATGAAAAAGACACAATATGATTCTCTAAAGTAAGAGGATTTTAATGAAGGAACCATTTGTCTATCCGCGTAAGGTTTGTCAGTTCTCAGCATATTACATTCTGTTTTTCCTTTACTCTCTTTCAAGGAGGGATTGCGATTCCCCCCAGATGGCCTTTGTACTTTTTTCTATCACTCGAACATAATTCATTTTATTTAGTTTTCCCCAACGGAGGTGATTTTTTATAAAACAATTCTATCTTTTCTATTGTTCTTAGGTATTGATTTTTTTTAATTCTATTTTTTTTAATTTTACTTAGTCCTTGTAGGTTGTTAACGACATCGCTATCTTGTCTATGAGTGAAAGGATTGCCTCTTGTGATGGCACCATTCATGTATGGAGCAGCCTTAGTGGAAAGCTCATTACAGCATTTGCTGAATCATCAACAATTACATCGCAGCATTCAAGCACTTTGCTGCCATTTAAAGTAAATGCTGATCCTCCAACCCATGTGCCACCCACCAATTCCTCCGGTGGAATTTATTCGAATGCATTCAGTGGCAGCATGTACACTTGTATGCATCACTTGGACTCGGATGATAAGCTGGTAGCTGGCATGGGAAGTGGTTGTATCCGGTATATACTCAATTTATTTTTTCTAGAGATTTTTGCACCCGTGATGTAGTTTATCTTAGTAATCACTAGCTTACACCTCTTGATCCTAGAAAGTAGGTGATGTGCATTTTGTTTCTACAAACTGCATATTTTCCCTAAATTTAATTTTTATTAGATCCCATTTAATAGACTATTTTGACTGCTATGAATGGTTGGAAGAACACTGATAAAACGTGAACCATAGGTTCATTGATCTGGCTGAGGGCAGGAAGCTGCATTTGTGGAGGACCGACACAGCTGAACATTATTTATCGTCTATTGTATCTGCCATTTGCTCTTGCGGATCCAGTGAACTCCAAGCGGAAAGATCTCCATGTGCACCACACTGGCTTGCTGCAGGACTGAGTTCAGGCCATTGCAGGCTTCTTGATTCAAGAAGTGGAGAGATTGTTGCCGTTTGGCGTGCCCATGATGGCTATATTACTCGAGTATGCTCTCTATATGCTGAACCTGATATGATTCCTTTTTAATTGATTTTTTTTTTTTTTGGTGGTCTCTGTCATTATATACAACAATCATAAAGCCTGGACACCAGGATATATGCTTGAAAAGGCTGTTCCATGATGAGTTATGTTGGGGAATGCTGATCTCAATAACATCATGCCACAGACAAATGAAGATAAGAAAAAAAATTTGAAACTCAACTTAGAAGAGTAGTAAGGATTTTGAACGTGTAAATGAGGAGGAAGTGTCTTCTATTTCAGATTAACCTTCAACTCAATTCATCGTTTTCATTTCAAATCCGGTTTTCTGAATTTTCCTATTCACCCATTCTTGTGTCCTTACTGTTTTCTAATTTCCTCTGGCTTCTTTAATATTTGCAGCTGGCTTCACCAGAGGACCACATGCTTGTTTCCAGCTCACTTGATAGAACTCTGCGGATTTGGGACTTGAGAAGGTATCTTTTTCTCTCCTTGTCAGCTTACACAGTTGGAAAATCTTGGCAAAGAGTTGCGGAAGGACTTATTCATTCGCTGGTTCAACGTTTTAGGTGTTTTCTAGATTTGAGACTGCTCGAATCTTTCTGTCCCCTCAAAGATGAGGATATTTTCACATGGTGTTTCAATTTCTGCCGCCCATTTGTTTCGCAGGGACCTGTCATCTCAGTCAAATATTTTCACGGGCCACTCAGATGGCATCTCCAGCTTCGCTATGTGGGGTCAGAACATAATTTCAATATCTAAGAACAAGATTGGGCTCTCCTCTTTTTCAAGATCCACATCTGACGTATGTGTTACGCTGTGATTGTTTTGACTTTTGTCTGTTTTATTTCTGATTGAAGCACGTAAGTGCATAATAGTTCTTTTGCATAACTAGTTATCATATTGAAATTAAAAAATATATGGGCCTTTGATCATGTGAAGACTAATGAATTAGCCTGGAAGCAGTAGCCTTCCGTTTCTTCTTCCATCCTCTTTGACTGACTAACTAACTTATCTGTGTTCACTATCACAGAGAGGCCAGCAGCATATTGCGCCACAGAGACTCTACTCAGCAGACAGGGGTGCGAGAAACCTGTCAGTCCTGACAACCATCAGCATTCTTCCATTTTCCAGGCTGTTTCTCGTAGGAACTGAAGAGGGCCATCTGAAAGTCTGTTGCTAAGGTTTTCATGTTCTTCTTGTTAGTTTTTTTTTCTCATTCTCTGCTCTTTTCTTTCTTCTCGATGCAATATTGCCTCTCCCCACTCTTCTAACATAGCATTGTAAAATATAAATAAAGAGTTGTTCAAGTTCAAAACCCATGTCTTGGGTCAGCTGGAGAAATAATTATGGATTGATCAGTGCTGTATAAATGCTGTAATTCATTCTGCTGAAATTCAAAAATCTGTTATAAAGGTGTGTCAAATTCATTGCATTCCCATATAATTTTTTCTTAAGACTCTAAAACTTGAGTGTAATGGATTTCCGTGTTCCAAGACAAGTAGAACCTGAATTCTAGTGCCATCTATTATTTTCTGTGATTGAAAGTATGATTCGGCATGCTAACATGGTATTCCAGAAGCCTAGTTCCATGGCAGTCAGATTAAGTCTGAGAGATTATTGGCTATGCAGGATTCTAACACACCAAGTCTGAGAGCCTAGTTCCTTGCATTGACAACGTTTTGATTCAAGTATCATAAAACCATCATGGAGCCATATTGACATTCTTGGGAAAGACCAAATATTTCTCATGTTCATAGCTGCTAAAATACGTTGGCAGGTTTGGATGCTATTAATCCCAATTGTGATCTGGAGTGGATTATATTGGTTCTGTTAACGTTTACCCACATCTTTAAGGAATCCTACAGAGGGAGACTCCAATTAGCTTTCCTTGTGTAGGTCAGAGTTTGGTTGATGGAATTTTAGCTGTGACTGGTTATGCTAGTTGAGTTCTTTTACCAGTATAAAAATTGTAAATTTTCATCAGGATTCAACTCCTCAAAGTACTCTACTTTTCTAGGAGACTCTCCCTGAAGTTCCATACTCTTTTTTAGGGTTTAATCATTGAAACCTTGGGGACCAGCTTACCTTGTACTGTTAAGCACCTGACGTGAGTTTGTTGTACTACATTCACTTGCATTAAATGAGCTGATAATTGAAACATGGGGACTTTTCTCTCTAGATTTATGGCTGTAGATAAGTCCTCCAGACGTTAAACACTAACTAGTCAATCTTGATTCATGGCTTTAAAAGAGCAGGCTAGTGCTAGATATTTGGCACTAGTCAATTGTTCTAGCTTAACAGTTCTAGAAATGGCCGTAGCACACTTCACATCAGTGGCCGTGGCTGCCAAATATCAGCACAAAAACATTTATTTGATAAGCCTCATAAAGTTCGAAAGTTGTGTGGCAAAAGAGTAGAGCAATGAATGATGCCCCTGTTAATTTATTCATGCGAGCTTTGTATCTTCTTCTTAAGTGTTCAAGAATATAAAAAGGGTTTTCTACCAATCCACTCCATTTACCAATCATAGGCACAATTCATTTAAAAAGGCGGGTTTTCTACTCCGTTTCCTTGAAATGGACAAATGAACTCATCAATCAATCATTCAATCCCAAATTTTTGTGAGACTTTTGCAAAGGTTGGTGCAATAAAATCATATTTAAGACATTAAAATATCAGCATCGTGATGATGTTAGATGACTACTTTATCCTTGCATCTATTTTTTCAACATAAAATTAAAATGGACTCAAGAAGCTGTCATTGTAAGAGGAGGCTGAGAGCTAAATATCACCAATTCAAAGGGAGTCAATCTCATGTTAATGTGGTTGCTATTTCGTTTACCTGCAAGTTCAACCGGCTATCTTATTTAGCTGCAATTTTTAAACGACCGCTTGGGAGGTAATCTGGCTTCTGTGATGATAACATGCTTCACAGCCAACCCTCAAAGGGAGACAAAGAGTCCCTGAAAGTCCACCCTTTACAACGAATTTATTATAACCTGATTCCATTTCCTTTGGAAGCTTTCACTAAATATATAAAAATATGAATTCTCGTATGAGAGGTGCTTGCTACTACAACAAAGTGAGAGAGAGAGAGAGAGAGAGAGTTAGAGTTCATTTTTATCATAAATGAAGAAAAAGGACAACATGGCACAGCTTTCTCCTCTCCTAAACCCTTAAGAGACAGAATCACATACCATGCCTACCTTGCTTTATGCAGGGGATTCCATTTCAAACTCATAAGATCTGATTGGTAGCCAGTCTTCAGAGCATCCACAAGGTCAGTGCTTCACATAACCAAGACTACTCAGCTTCTCGACCAGTTTCCTCTCTGCGCCGGCCTGAGATAAAAAAAAACCAAACATCCATCAGCTACCAACAGCAGTGGCAACATGAACGTTGATTAAAAGTAAGTTTTGACAAGCGAACCTCAAGCCTTGGGCTGTCCTTTGGGATGTTGCAGGCGAGAACAACGTTGAGGCCGGTCCTCAGTACTGAATGGGACATGCAGCTGCGTCAGAGGCATTAAGGGACGGTAGCACCATTATAATTGATGCTTCAGAGTCTACTTAACCTAGGCGGCGAGCCATTGCTGAGCCCACACTATCGGAGCCGCCCCCAAGCAGGGAGGTGACGCTTACTGAATTACTCTGCAGAGGTTTGTCTCATCATACAATTTCACAAATTCATGTAAACATTATATTAGGTTGTAAATTGTAGAGTGTCAGAATGATTAGTAGCATACGGGCCGGGTGGGTGCAGCTGCATACAGGTGGCCGAATTTGGCAGAGTTGCATCCGATCCAAGCATAAATCTGCAATGATTAGCCATGAAAGGAGAGGATGATCATGAATTGGTCATTCTGTGGAGTCATGACAGTTATCAGTATTTGTGGGCGAAGAGAACATAAAAATCATAGCTCCTGCTGTGGAAGAACACAAACATATTTTGCACCTGATAACTTATCTGCAGGAATCTTTTTGGAAAATACACACTTACGGGCTTATGCTGAATAATTTCAGCAGAAACCTATGATCGTAACTACATACTCCAATAATCTTATTTATAAATATCTAACGACAGGAGGCGACAAGATATCAATTTTAAGCACATACTCGACGGGGCAGATTCTGAAGGGTTGAAGGATGAGATCACGGTTCACTTATCAATCAATTTTAACAGCTACGGGTTATTCTAGGAAAAGATCCTACAGACTGGTTCCGCCCAATGAGTTCAGGGTTCACTACGGGACTTCTGTGATGGAGTCACAGACCGGAGTGATCCTGTAATCTTGAAGCAGTATGAAAAGACAGAAAACACAAAACTTCAGCTGGTACAAATGCCAGACTTGTATGTACTGTATGAAACCCCTGAATACAGAAGAGTTTGAGAAGAAACATGGCATCCTATGGTGAACAGAAGATTGAACGACTGCAGAATAATGAAAACACAACCTAGAAGATATAATTGGGGGACATGTATGGTTAGGTTCCATTTGTATGTAGTTCTACGGCCCACATCTCTGTCAGAAGTTCCATCATCCCTCCATGAAGATGCATGCATATTTTCTCCATGCCATTTCACCAAAGTGTCAATTTAAGGTGAGTTATTCTTCATAATTATTTCTCTGTTCGATAGTTTCTTCGTGACGGCCTTTTAATCTCTTTTGAAACAGTTATGAAACATGATTCTGTGTGACCTAGTTCAAGTTCCAATTTTGAAGCTCGAAAACCAGGATTGATCCAAACCCTCTCTAGAGTTTTCCCAATAATCATCTGAGGTCCAAAAACCGATTTTAGGGAGAGCTTCTGACATTGGGGTCTCTGGTGGTGAAGCCATAAGAACAAGAAGGCCCAATCACCAACACAAAAGCTTCACTTTGTCCGATGAAGAAGCAGCAACTTTTTTCATCTATCTCTTTTTTCTGTTAACTTATTTTTAAGCATATCAAATATCTCGTTTCTTCTTATTAATGCTTCCACCATTGGAAGTTAGAGTGTTCCAGGTATCTATGCCATTAAAGACAGAGAAGACTAACCATAAAGGGCATTGAATTATTTGACATATTTCATGACTCTCGCATGCTTAATTATGGTTGACCACATTGCTGTCACTTTCAACTTTTGTATTGATTACATGAGATTTGTATGTTCCAATGTATCCCTTATGGCGTGATGAAGGATATTTGAGCAATCCTTTTAATAATAGCTATGCGTCTTGAACTAAGTGAGAGCTCAACAGAATTCTACCCTTCCAATACAAGAGGAGCTATCTGAATTAATACAATTTTTACTTGGAGCTTCCTGCTTTCATTTAGTAACCCCTTTGTAAACAAAAAAATCTCACTCATTCCTCAACACTTATTTGATCAAAGATATCAAGCTTACCGAAAAAGAGAGCCCCATGGGATTCACCTAATAATTCATCAGCTCTAAGCAAAGAAAATAAATCTTTTATAATCTGCTAATTAACTCTGTCCTACATCCATATGCCAGCTTTCTTTTTTCCTTTTAAACTGAGATTGTTAGAGAGGAGAAGGTGTAGTCAAGCTCCAAAATTACTCCCAGCATTTAAACTTGTTCTTTGTTTTTCAAATAGCTGCAGCATTCTACATAAAAATATTTCCAGTGTGTTGTCTTCCTATTTTCACTGAAGATTGTTCCAAAGTCAGTAACTTCATGATGATTTTTATGAGACATCAATTCGAGAAATGATGATACCAAATTCCCACAAACAGTGAAGTTCGATTCGTAGGAAATAACACTAGTCTTTTCCAATTTTCCAGCGAGAACAATAGAGTGTCTGGATTCCAATGAAGCAGTCACTTTGTAGGAAGAGAGCTGACATGCAGGGATCATCTGATAAATGGGGGGCACCAAATGCGTTGTCATTAATCAAAATATTTTGTTTTTCTCAGGACCAAAGATCTGATATTATAGTGATGCATGGGCACATCTTCTTCTTCGTCCACATTATTCACCTACAAGGTTTACATGAACATTTGACTCGGGCTAAAGCCTAGTCGCTACTTTCTTTTAATAGGACGTGTTTCATTTTTGCCACAATCAGGGCCTGTCCGATGTACTGTTATAACAAGTTCTGATACTCCCTCTAATCCCCATTCCCCTAGAAAATTTCCCATGATAGATAGTAACAACAATTGGTAATGCTTAAGACACATAAACCATGCAGAACCAATCACCATGGTAAAGCTGGGAATTTTCAAGGTCAACCAGGTGATCATAGATACCAGCTTATCAACCATGTTAAGATTTTGTGAAAGTCATTAGCAGAAGCAGATCACAGCCTATGAAATTACATACGCTATCAAATGTAGCGGGGGGAGGGGGGGTGTAGAAACAAGCCCCGATTTCATTTTCAACCCCGAAATATCACTACTGATGAACTGCCGTCCACAACTGGGTGAATCGGAATTCATTCCAGCTCTCCACCACACGTCAAGCAGCATCTTGATTAGAGGAAACTATATGCCTCTACGGACGTTGGGAATTTTGTATCCTACTCGAGCATCCTTCACCTTCCTGACGGGGACTGTTTAAGGTTGTTCCCAAAGGCCACAGTGTGGCTTCAGAGTTGAAGGTACGGATGGCAGATAGATAACAATTTACCCGGACGCAAGGAAAAGATACCGAGGACTGTGTCAACCTGTCCTCCTCCTTGGACCGTCCAAAATGCCAATCCTTGAGAACGTCACTCAGGATCTACATAGCTCCGTGAAAGCCAAATTCGAAACTGAACACAAAATTTCCTACATAAACCCTAGATGGGGGAATAGGAGGTAAACAGGAGAAGCTCTGCGGGCTCACCTGTTTCTGGAGGCGGATTATCTGAAAATGGAGGGAAACGTCGTGCACGTCCTCCGTAAAGCTCGTGATCTGCACGGTACCTCCGTCGTCCGCCGCAGTGTCCCGAAGCGAGGACGATGGTGAGATGCTCAGCTCCGCCGGCGCCGCCATCAGAGACCCTGCCGCTGGATCACGACGGAAGAGAACTTCCGCGGCTCCTTCCCGGACCCTCTCTGGTTCGGCGGGGAAGGAGGGCCCCTTCAATCACGATTTTCCCTCTTCAAAATAATAAATAATATATATATATATATCATTAAATAGAATAATATAAGGTTTTGATACTATTTATTTATTATTTATGGAGAAAAGGGGAAAACTACGTATCCACCCATTGGATTTCGTGATATTTCTACATTTCGGGACGCTTTTTCTGCAGCTATGCAAATATAAAAGAACCAGCCGATTTCCTCTCTCCAAAATAAATATATTTCTAATTAAACATGATTACACTATTTACTATTTAAGGAAAAATAATTAGGAAAATCACATATCCACATATTTTCCTTCCCATATTTCTACATTCAAAAGAACCAGCAGATCACCGTATGAGTACAGCATACGTAGCGTCTAACGCCCATGCGTTTATGTCAACGCTCTCGCTTCCTTAGAGAGTTCCGATAGGTAATCTGGTGGACTGGAAGTCAACGATAGAGAGAGAGAGAGAGAGAGAGACTCTGAGAACTGTTAGAGTCTGTAACGATGCTTTTATGTGTACGTGTCTGTACGCGTGCTACGTACCAAGGTATATACATTACATTCGGCCTGGACTCCATCCTCGCCCTCTGATAGACCCGCTTCAAGGAGGCTGTGACTCCCATGGATAGAGAGAAAGAGAGAGAGAGAGAGAGAGAGAGAGAGAGAGAGAGAGAGAGAGAGAGAGAGAGAGAGAGAGAGAGAGAGAGAGAGAGAGAGAGAGAAAGAGAGAGAGAGAGAGGAAACTACAGGACCTGTGGGTAAGTAAGCTAAACAAGATTAGAACAGCTGGTCGGAGCATGGAAATCCATAAGCAGTGAACTGGCCGGCAGCAGTCAACGGGATACTTCCGAAATTCAAGACTGCGGCAAGAAGCCTCTTCATCCATGGCAGAAGACACATGGAATCAATGGCCCCGATCTCCCATTCCATTTCAGCAGATTCACACCAGAGGATCCAACCCCCCTTCCTGCCAAGATCCAAGAAGATTCATTCACCTGGGTCCTCTTCCCCGTCCGTGCTTTAATCCTTCAGAGAGATCCGCTTCATTCATCCATGGTTTCCTGACGAAATCACAGTACCATACGGATCAGGATCCAATGAAGCATCATTGCATTCTTCCATGAAAGAAGACGAGAGGTGCCATCCATGAAAACGATGAAGCCCAGATGCAGTCGATCCACATCTACCAGTTCATGGGAAAACACATACATACATACGAGATAAATCCAACGTATCAGACCAGAAGAATTGATCCCTGTTACCTTGTCCGAGAGGGGCTGGTCACTCTGTTATGTCGAAGCAGAGCCTGGCTTCGTCCCAGGGACCATTTATCTCAAACTTGTATTCATGGATTCTTATGAGCCAGTAAGGACAGACGACTATAATGAACACCTGCAGACCCCCAAACACCAGAAATAGTAAACGGTGCAGGGGAAATATCAAGCCCAGGGCCATACCCATCAGTAGGAAGGAGCAGAGGAGATGAAGTCTGGAGGAGAACTTCTTAATGCAATACATAACAAGAGGCGCGAACAAGAAGACCTGCAACGAGAAGAGCATTACAGCGAAGACATGAAGCCTGGAGGGAAGGCGCGAGGCTATAAGGACTGAAGAGACGATGGAAGCATTCAGAGATACGTTGCTGGCCAATGTGGGATTATTCAGCGCACCGGGTGGTCTAATAATGGAACCTGAGTAGTCATGTAGGAAGAGATGGAGTATGACAAGCGAAACAGTGAGTGCCCATATGGAGTCGGAGCTGATGGACCTTGTGAGAGTGTAATAAATGGGTGCTAGGACGTATAAACTGCCGATGAAAAATGAAATGTTAAGGAGATAGCGAGAAAGCAAGCAGACGGTGAGCCTACCATCCATTAAAAGGAGGACCACAAAACCGAGTCCCAGCAGAGCAACGTCAAGAAAGAGAAGAGATTTTTCACTGATGGCTGAAGCTAATGTGTACGCCCAGACACAGACGACAACGGCCACAATGCATATGTACTGGGAAATTGAAATCGAATCGAGCATCACTTTCTTCAAGTCTCTCTTCACAACGTTGGCGTTCATAACCATGTCTTCCAGGAAAGATTCATCAGTGTAGTTATCATCGTATCCAGGTTGCATCCCTCCATATACCACTTTTTTCCACTTATGTGGAGGCCTAGGCCTCTCAGGGGCATTCTCCATCAGGAAAAAAGTTGAATGCAGTGATAAGAACTTATGGGAGAATTTTTAGAGCAGGAGCCACGACTTCAGTACGCTAGCAGTCCACATCTGGCTCATTTGATAATTTCTCTTCGGCCTGATCAGATCAGAAAAGAGAAATTTAGGGTCCAAAAAGAAGTTTATGATGTAGTGATGGTAACTGTAACTTCAAGATATAAACTTTATTCAGCATAGACATTGAATAGTGGAAGATGACCGGAATATATGCCAAGAAACAGCCAAGAATGTAGACAATTACCATATTACAACATTAAATTAAGGGTGATTTATAATAATTACTGGATGACACAATCACATGGTATCAAAAGTTATACCACATATGTGATTTATAATAATCACATAAGTTTAACAGACTATTCTAAAATGTTTATCAAAAGTTATAATTTGATTGCAGAACCACATATGAACTTGTCAACAAAGCAAAGTCTATATCATGATAGGAATGCAGATGAAGTGTGTGCAGTTGCTGACAGGGCAAAACTTAGGTTTTAAATAAGAATCTTGTCATTGAATGTGATGCAAGTGACACTGGAGCGGGAACAACAGTGGTACATTAATGGGTGGTCATTGGTGTATAGTGCATCCCACCCCATGAACTTCACTTCTGACCATTAAAGAAAATAAATGTCAACCTACAAATGGGGAACCTTAAATCTTGACCAATAAACTTTCTTATTAGAACCGGTCTCAAGAATTTCTGATACCTTCTTGAACGAAGTCAAAAGTGATGTACCATGGTCTCCTGTGTGGCCCCATGATGGTGACTCAAGTAACCCTCTTAGCAGCTTTGTGTCGTGAGCTAGGTGAGAGTTCTACAGAATTCAACCCTTGAAATACAGAAGCGGTTCTCTCCATTGATACAATTACCTCTTTACAGCTCCCTCGTTCTATTTGGCCATCCTCTGAAGAAAAAATAAAAATAATCTTGCAAATACCTGTTTGTTAACAGCTGGGAGTTTACTTCAGATATGGCGTCCACGAAGGAAAGATCCTCTGTCCTAGTGATAAATGGGTCCCCCAACAAATTATGTAGCCATTTCTGGACTCCAAGAGCTATAGTGCATGTTCCTTCTCATACGTAGAAAACGAGTGATAATTGCCTTCAAGGTTCGGGTAAGAAATGCCAATGCAGGCATTACCACCTTCAGATTTTTCATCTGCTGAGTTGACCCAAATCATTACACATAGATGGATTCATTTTCCAATTGTCTGTTCAAAGGAGCCACCAGCAAACCATAATTTTAAGTAATCCCCTAATAGCCACTAAATACAATAAACCTCTTTAACTTTTTTTTAAAAAAAAGCCTGGCAGAAACAAAAGAATGTCCACATTCTGATGAAGTAGCTCACATTTTAGGTGACAAGCTAAGATGTGGGCACCATTTGAATAGAAGGGCGCACCAGATGGATAATTAAATGAAAATTATCTCCACCAGACCATATTATACTGTAATATAAAAGTAATCATGCATGGGCACATTGCATTCCCCTTCCTGTGAACTATTCATCTATCTCTATTCACACAAATGCGTAAGGTAAAACCTATCTGCCTTTTCTTTGATAAGATATACTGTATTCTGCAATAATCAGTTCCTGTACCATGTCCCGTTAGCAAGTCCGATACTCCCTCCAATCCCCATCACCCAAACAACTTTCCCATGGCCGTCGGTGGAGAGCACCAAAAAACTGAATGCGCCTAAGGCACATTTCCTTTTTGCAGAACAAAAAACCAATAAAAAGCCCGATGTTTTCAAGTTCAATCAGGTGATCATAGATACCTGGCCAGCAAGCAGGGCAAGATTGTGAAAATTTCAGGTAAATCAGAATTTTGTAAAGGATTTATGTTATACGTATATCTAAGCGGTGGGAACGAACCACATCGCATTTTCAAACCCGACATTTCACTCCAGATAAACTAATATGCCTTTCTACTCCAACTAGATGAAAGGGCAGGCCCTTTACCATCGTTGACGTCTTCGTATTCTGGATCCCCATCCGTCATCATCCAGGCAAGGAATGGATAAGTTAGGCGTTTTTTAATGTTGTTCATAGGGTCACGACCGCTTCAAGGTTTTGAATACAGAGGTCGGCGTAAAAACACTCCATGAGGAGGTAAGGACACGAGAAAAAGGTTTTCGCTAGCATCCTCTTACTCGGAGCGGCCTTAAACCCCCATTCAAGAGAAGGTCGGCCAGTTTGAATAGAGATCCATGAGAACATATTTGACACTGAAACCAAAATTTTCGTGCTCCCGGAGGGATACGAGGTTGACTCACCCGTTTATGGAGGCGGATTATCCGAGAATGGTTGTGTCGCGCCTTCGGCGAAGCAGGTGATCGGTGCGGCTCCACCGTCTTCGTCGTCACCACCGCCGTCGTCGCCGGCACCCGCCGCCCTCTCCCCGATCGACGACGAGCGTGCGGCCCTCACTCTCCATCGGCGCCTCTATCATCCCCTTTCAAAAGAGCGCACTTCCTGGATCCGGGGAGAGGAGGGGGACGGTGGCGGCGAAAAAATTTCCGATTGGAGATAGCTGTGACACCCCCGGAACCTCTCGACCGGGTTGAACCGGGAGAGAGACCACGTGAGATGCGCGCGACGGGAGGGGGGCACCTCACTCGCGTGGCTCACGAGGGGACCGCACGGAGGACGCGGTAAGACGAGGGCTCGGCGGAGCGAGCCTCCTGGATGTGGAACGAGCCATCCGGATCTATCAGAGACCCGAGGCAGACGGAAGAGCCTGTCTAAGGAGAAGAGGACGCGGCCGAAGAAGAGAGGGAGAGGGCGAGGAGAGGAGGAGGGAAGCTTTGAACGAGAGAGGTCTCGTCGGAGGAGTGGGGGGAATTCTCGAGGAGGAGACGGGTGTACGGGTGAGAGCCTAGGGACAAGAGAGGCTGTCGTGTCAAGCTCCTTCTCCCCTTTCTTCTTCCCCACTGTAAGCTTTCGAGTTCACTGGAATCCTTATACCTTGACTTACCGCCGTAGGGTCAGTGGGAGCTTCCGCAGGTAACACGAAAGACTGAGCAACGGTCGGGGCCGGTCTCGGGTGACGAAGCAGGGGGCTCGGATTTATCACCAGTGACAATAGCCCAGTGAAAAATTGTTTCTTTTTCAAATTTTTGGAAAAAATTGACGGACCCCAAGTAGAAGACTCTAATAAGATCGTAATTTCATAACAATTATAAAGAGTAGATGAATAGTGATAGTGACTAATATATGGCATAAAAATGACCCAAGATTCAACTTCCCTATTTTTTCATCCTTTTTGATGAAAGAGGCTCTTTCTTCTTTAGACAACAATGATTCTGTAGTCTTTGTCAATGCATGTTCGATCGTGTTGTTGGCATGAGTTATATGGCCATACTATTATAGTGTGACTAAATTCTATAGAATTATTGTTGACTTGATTATGGAATTGTGTTGTTGTGGTGCCACATATGTTGATGATAGTATGATGGTATTACAAGTGACCTTTGGAAGAATATTTTTTGCAATTAGATTCAGACCTTAGCCTAAAGGATTTATTAACAATCCTGTCCATGACATTCAACTTGTCCTCAAGATGAAGAAATTATTGTTTGCAAAGATCAGCATGTTCTCAAGAGGATTTGAAGTTAGGAAGGTCCTTTCATTTGGCAATCAATTTTTGGCCAATTCTGACTTGTCTAGTGTTTAGTATTTCAAGAAGTTCAACAGCTTAAGTTAGACCTTCATCAAGAATAGTGGGAATGAGTTGACTTTTTGAGATGATATTGTTGATTCATGAAGCTGAAAAATATTGAAGATTGGATAAATGTATGAGTATTTTGGAAGGCTTAATCATATTGTGACATATAGTAAGAAAATATAGTAAGAGAAAGAAGCAATGGACCAGCTTCTCATATTGTGACATAGTGAAACTTGTGAGTTGGATGACTTATGTGAGCTGCAAACAACTTTAGCATTGTGGAGATCGAAATCATGTCTTGAATCCTCGAAAGATGTGCTTATGTCATTATTATTTTGCTTAGAATTTATAAGTTAGAGAGGACAAGTATCTTGAACCACCCACAAGAGTGTGATCCTAAGCTTACATAATCAAAGAGTCAAGTTCTTTGAGTCCGCATGGGCATTGGAGTCCACTTGTAGATGATGAGTACCTTAGAGGGGAAGAAACTCATGAAATATAATGATTGAAATTAAAATTTAAATGACTCTTGAACTACATGGGATGCTTTTAAATAGGATGAAGTGTGTTGATTGGGTGCCTAAATTTAAATTTCAAATGAAATTCAAAAATAAAATGAGAAAGAGAATAATAGAAAGGAGAATATGAATAAAAATAAAATAAGAATAGAAGAGGGAGCGAAAATAGTAAAAGCATAAAGATAGAAAGGAACTAAAAATATAACTAATAATAAAATTAGAAAGAACTAAAAATAGAAAAAGAGATAAAAATAAAAAAGGATAAAAATAGAAAGAGCTAAAAATAGAAGGGGGATAAAAATAACACGAGCTAAAAATAAGAGGATAAAAATAAAAATAACTAAAAATAAAAGGGGGTCAAAATAGAAAGAGGTAAAAATAAAAATTTGAAGACAGAAATATAAATATGGACACATCCTAAAACGTGTCTTATTATGGGCTTAATTTTGTAATTGGATTAACCCCAACTTAAATAGATCTTCATGTTATTTGTGCTTTTGTTTTGTTTAACATCTTAAATAAAATGTATCAATCTCTCTTACTTCAAAAGAAATCATTGACATGACTAAGTTGTTATATAGTAAATCACATAAATTTAAAATTTATAAAAACTAAAAAAATACTAATTTTCAGATATTTAGAAGTATTTTTGAATAAATCTATCAATTATAATTCAATAAAAATTCCAAAACTAGTGAAAATTTACCATGTCAATCACAAGGATGTAATATAATATCAGGTAATATTTCAATTTTTGTTTCAAAGAATATAATTTTTTATAAATTTTAAACTAAGAAATAAAATTAAAATATATTTAAAATTCATAAAAAAGAGAAATAATAGTGTGAACGTCAAGATGACGTTAGCACCCAATAAATGTGAATTGAGAGAAATAAAGTTTTAGTTAAAAAATCTTACGTAAGTGATTATAGATAATTTAGTTGGTCAAATTAAGATCTATAAAAGTAGAAATAATCGTAATTGAATGAAGAGTAGTTTGAAAATTTAAATCACACAAATTATCTTTAAATGAAGTAAAAATTAAGTTGAAAGCAGGAAAAATAGAGTTCCAATATTACGGTAATGATGTATTAATGATGCACTAAAATCTTGAGTATTCAAGAGAATTGTCATGTAATGTTTACAACTTTGAAGACTTTCCTTGAACAAATACGACATGAGTAATATCTAAATTTTCTTGTGAAGTCTAAAGATTGATGAAATGAGTCGTCAAATTATCTCTGGCGGTTGTCACCTAGTGGAGTGAAAAAATAGTGACTTTACGACTCTTTGACGATTGTCATTCGACAGAGAGGAACTAGATGAAGATGGGATGCATACAAAGAGCTTCATCCTCAAGTCCACGTAGCAAAAAGAGGCTCTTCATCATATTTGGTATGCTCTCAAGAGGTGACGACTCATCTCTCGGTAAATTGTTCTCTTCTCAATGACGACTTATTCATCGATCAATCGAAGATGATTTACTTGATAGATTTGTAATATTTTATCACGAATCATTCAAAATTATTAGTAATAATGTTCCACACATTATCTTGATGAAATTTTTGTCGATGATCAAATAATTTTAGCGGCTTAATCTTGTACTAACGATTTGTAGAAAAGTTATGATTTAATTAGATAAAAATATAAGTTTTGACTCTAGTAAGATTCAAACTCATGCTAATTGCTTGCTTGTATGAGAGAGAGTGAAATAAGTATTCTAATACTTTAATAAAGTGACATCATCATGATATATCATTGTTATAACTAGGGAGTACTTTAGGTATTAAAATAATCCACACCATTCGGGGGAAGGTGTGATGCGAGTTTAATCTTACATCAGTTGTATATTGAAGTTTTTGGCAAGTATATGATAATATCATATTAGAAGTAATGAGTTCTTTTCTCCCACGTGTACAACCACTCCTTACCCTATAGCTAGATAGCCACTGGTGACGTGAAAGGAGAATGACATGTATGTGCCCTCATTAGTCTATAGTCGTTTGAGCCCCTATTCGTAGTTCTACCCCAACTATGCTTTCAACTTGTTTGTGGGTCTAATTAGCTAGTGGGTCCCTCATCTTTTTTTATTTTTTTCTTTATTTATCTGAAAAATAAGATTATAAAAATTATATAAAATAATATAAAATCACATTAATTAACTAAAAACTACTTTTCATAATTTAATATAAATATAAGTCTACTTATCATGAGTTAAGGCTAAAACTATATTATTTATTAATTATTAACTCATGATAATAAAGACTTATCACTCATCTTAGAGTTTTCATCTATTTTTAGATAATACTCATAAAGATCCATAACATTTAACTATTTTCATTGTCTCTAATAAGTCAATGACATATGCATTGTCATTAATCTTATAAAGGACCTTACATGGTCCATACTTCCTTGGGCTAAGTTTGTGATAGTTTGTGGCTAATAATTTTTCTTTTCTCAGATATACTATAACTAAATTATAAACTTCTAAAATCTTCTTTCTCCTTTTTTATCAGCCTTCACCTTGTAATTTGTATAACTAGTGGTAAGATGCTTCTTAACATTTTCATGTATTATCTTGATGTGCTCTACCATATTATTGGTCATTATACTTATTTACCATTAGATTTTGTGTTGACTTACTATAGATTATGTCAACCCAATTAAGTTAGAATTTGAAATAATAACTTAAAATTATATGAAATGTCAAAACACTATAAGAAACTAATTAACCACCCACTTTGGTTCACAATCTTTATCTCATGTATTTGTATATATGTTGAATATGCAAGGTGGTGACACTTATCTTCTAAACTTTCATCTGATGTGCTTGAGTCATCAGACTTTCTCTCTCCCTAATAAAGATAATTTGACACAATTTTATAAGTACACATGCTTGTCTCTCCCTAGGTCAGTTGACACACCATCTACTGGGCTGACAATGGGTCTACATATGAGTTTACTCACTTTTTCTTCTCATCTTATTTTTGTTCCATCTCTTTTGTTTTAATTTTCTTTTGCTTGGTCCTCACATGATTTAAGACTTTTTTTTTCATTTGATGACTTAAACAGATATTTATATAGAAACCGAAACTTGACCTAAGGGTTTAGATCTCTATTTGATGATTAATGCATTTTAACATATTTCATGTTAGATTGATGCAATTAACTCAATGAAAATCATAAAGCCCAACAACGAGCACATTTACATACATATAAGAGGAGTCATGTAAGATTTTAAAAAGTAAAAACTCTTCCATTTTATCTCATATCTAGGTCATTGTTGGCAAAGAAAATAATCTGTGGTATGATCACTCAATGTTCTCCAGCTCTCAAGAACTCAAGTGTCTCTCTAAGTTATGGTGTGGAAGATTAGAATCCTTTGTGAAACTCAAGTCCAATGATCTTCCATTGATCGAATCTTCCAAAGCTTTATAACTGACTGAAGAAATTGCTAATTTTCTTCTCTCAACTCTTTATACATAAGAGGAGAACTGCAACTAATCAAGTTTTTTTTTCTCAAGGTTTAGTCAACAGTCAAGTGACGTAATTTGTTTGTTCAATTTAGAATTCCAATAATGCCTCTCGAGTGAAATTGACCTAGGACTGAAGAAACTAAGTTACCTTTGTGCATTATTGGACGGCTGCACCCATTACTATTGTTTTGCACAGATGATTCATTTATAAAATATTACAACCCTTGTTGTTTTCTATTTTTCAAGAGGGTTTCAAATATAAGATGACTTTTGCATATATTTGAGTGATTTGGAGAGATATTATTTTAATATCATGGTTATTTAAAATAATAAATCACATTTTTATTATCATAAAAAACCGTTCAATTAAAGGGCATACTTTTTTAAAATCTAACGACAGCCATTAAAAAAATAGCTATAGGTTACAAATACTTTGTATTGTGTGTACAACATTTCTCAGAATTGGATATGATTTCCATAGTAAGGGATTTGACTTTGGGATGCTACGATTGAGATATTTATGATCATCACATGCGAAGGTTCTTCCACATTTATGGATACCCTGGACTTGGTGCGACCCCTCGTCCGCAGTTCCAGCAAATAAACCATAGCTTTCAATGGCTATAAATTTTAGCCCATAGCTCATAGCCATCGAAAGTCATGTGGTGGTGGACCTTCCCGAGGCCGACGTATGATACTAATATTACTAAAATTCACTCGTAATGGGCATACAACAAATGACAGTAACCTTCCAAGATCTACAGTGACTGTTTTTGACAGTAACCCTCCGAAATAGCGCCGTAACAGATTCAAAGTCAAAACTCCGGAGAAAGAATATTGTTGATGAGTCATTTTTTCCGTAGGGAGAGCTGAATCATTCGTCACTAAAATTCTCTTCTGGGTACCCAATTATTTTTTACTAGCCGCCTCAAATTGTTCGGAAAATCTGATCATACGGCTCATTTCTGAAGATAACTATGCTCACATATTTTACTTCCTATGTACAATTAAAAGGTTAGCCTAGGTTTCTACTACCAATGACGAAAATTAATGACACAGTTTCGCAGTCTCTACGCCCTACCATCTACTTTAATTGGCGTGAGCTACTATTTAAAGCTCAAGCAAGCGCATCACAAGTTGGATGGGACGCTTGGGATACAACTGCATGAGTCAAATTTATGAGGCGGAGAGCATAACATAATCCTTTGAAGACGGAAAATATCTGACTTAGAAAAAAGGCCCGAGTCATAGAATAAACGGTAAAAAATCAAGTGCCGTTTGAAATGTGTTCGAGCCATTCATATCTCAAATATGAACAGTAAGTAAATGGGGTTTCCTTTTTCTGAAAAATACTACAATAGTAGGGTGATTACGGAAATAATGGAACGGCTGATGACACTAATGAAACCCGCCCGATTCGGATTCATAGCATTTTTGTCCGATCCAGTTAGAAATTTCGCTTCCAGATCAACTGTGGATATCCATGCCTGGTGGCATATTTAATAGAATATTCCTGGGTGTGTTTCGGCGCACTCCTTGGTTTGGTGCAGAAGACTGAATTAGGTCGAATGCTAAACTGAGTTCCATTATATTTTTTTGACTTACCGTGAAAAGAGTAATTCCTATGGTCTTCCCATATATCTCTGCATTTTCCCCGGCTAGGCAGAATGAGCAGAGTCGTGAACGGGCTTACCAGGCAAGACTGGTTGCTGTTGACAAATCATAGATCTCGTTTGAGGCTACGGAAAAGCCCCGGGAAACTCAGAGAAGAGGCCGGATTTTTATGGACCTTGCATAACGTAACCTGCCAGTCTGGTACTGATTTTGACAGAAATACACCGGACAGTGGAAGGCGCTGTTGAGGGGTAGAGGGCGGTGGCATTAGGGGCCTTTCGAGAGGAGGAGATGAGTGTTTGAAAGAGATCGTGTCGTCAAATGAGTTGTTCGTGAATCTATATCTGACGCTTTTACCCAACAATGAATATTATCTGGGAACTTAAAACAAGTAAAACGGAAACCACGAAGCTTTGGCGGAAGAATGGTAAGAATTTAGATTCATTCTTTAAGTTTATTTTAATTATTAGTTTTTTCATTGACGTATTGGTTTCTTTTTACGGTAAAGTTAGTAATTAGATCAAAACAAAAGATTAGACGAGTCATCGAACAAATAAGGTTTTACCGAAAAATTCGTCTAGATTGTCTGATACATACATCTTACCTCCTGAGAAACTCGTTATCTCAAGCGTAGAATTTAGTAATCATTGTTGTCATCGTCACGGCTGTCAGAATAGTACTCGATATTTAAGAGGTGTACGAATGACTCTTTAAAAGTCAACTGGTTGAATGTTCTATCACCGTCACAGCTGTCAGTCAACTTTGAAATAAAACTCAATCGCTCGAACGAGTTTTTCAAAGACAGTATACAAATCTGAAATCTCCTTTTCATTATTACAGTGTCCTGTCATTTGTCCTCTTTGCAGAGTAGATATTTCCGTGTTCGTTTTCCTCAGAATTTTGTGCAAAGGAGTATACTTTCAAGCGTGATGTTCGATTTTGCTCCCGTCCTAGTCCGTGTATGTTGAAGACCCTCTGGTATGGACGAATGATTCTGTAGATGATGAAAAGGATTACGCTTCAAGATTCCATCACTCTAATTTCTCAATGAACAAATCCCATATTTTCTTCAACTTTGCTATGCATCCTGATCATGAAGATGTTGTTTCGAAATAGTTTTCTAACCAATATTGAAGAACCGCGTGCGCCCGAAATGATTCTAACCAACGTCCCACGTATTTTCATCACATCGGTGCGGTACACTATCACACAAAACAGAAGAGCACAAGTATACCAGAAAGCGCAACACCTTCCTCTTCCCCACGTGCTTCGCCGCTCTTGTTTGACTTCAAGAAGATTGCTTACAGTAATCCCATCCCAACGAAGAATGAGGAAAATAAAGCATCGCTTGGATGACACTAGAGATGTTAGCTGGTAGCTTTAGAATCTAGACTAGCTTACGACTTCTATCCTCGATAATCCCCCTTTCCTCTTAACCGGTCATACAGAACATATCTACCAGCAGTTGCACGCCAGGGGATTCCCGGTGTGCACGACCTCTCTCACTCGTCTCGACCTTGGCTTCCTTCCGCTTCTGCCTGTCTCCTCTTTCTCTTCGTCATCGATATGACAACGCACATTAGGATGTCAAGTGGAAAGCGGCAATCCTCTGACTCCGTTGCTGAGCTCGTCGAAGTGGGCGATGGGACGTATGGCGGAGAGTCCTCTCGACCAGCCTTGCAAAAAGAGTCAAGGATTCTGGACCTTGGCTCGTGATCGCCTGCCGCACCTTCCCACCTTGGCCCTTGTCTCCGGAGCCTACAGGATCCCCATTGTATACATCTCTGGTATCCACAACCAGCACCGGTCTTCCGAACAGCACCGCCATGGCCATGGGGATGGTCAGTCTTACTCTCTCTCTCTCTCTCTCTCCCTCATTGGACAATTGGTTGGGTTCACAATCTTTTGAGTCAAGCGAGGAGATTTGATTTTCTATGTGCCTTCAGATCTACCAAAGGACAAGTATCTCGGCGGCTTCCTCGCCACTGGATTCAACGAGGAGTCCTGCCGGAGCAGGTTCGAATCCACCATCTACCGGAAGCCCTCACCCCACAAGCCGTCTCCTTACCTCGTGCAGAGGCTGCGACAATACGAAGATCTCCACCGACGGTGCGCCCCCCACACAGCGGCCTACAATAAAACCCTAATGCTGCTGAAGAACAGTGAAGGGGACTCCAGCGTGACACCACTTCCCCCTGCCGAGTGCAAGTACCTGGTTTGGACGTCCTATAATGACCTGGGAAACCACATACTCACCTTCGTGTCGGCGTTCTTGTACTCTCTCCTTACTGGGAGGGTCATGCTCGTTGACCGGGAAGGATCTCGCCGATCTCTTCTGCGAACCCTTCCCTGATGCCACGTGGCTCGTGCCCACTAGCTTTCCAGTCGATTTCCAAGTCTTCGAGTCGAAGAACAACCACAGCTACGGCAGCATGCTGAGGTACGGTAAGATTAACGTCGCTAGCAGTGGCGTCGTGACTAGGCCTCCCCTCCCCTTCATCTACGCCCACATGACTTATAGATACGACGACAATGATACACGATTTTTCTGCGAGCCCGACCAGGAGTTCCTGGTCAGGATGCCATGGATGGTGCTCAAGGCGGACAACTATTTCGTGCCGGCGCTGTTCTTGAACCGAATGTTCGAACCGGAGCTCAGCCGGTTGTTCCCAGACAAGGAGACTGTTTTCCACCACCTGAGCAGGTATCTCTTCCATCCGTCTGGCACCGCCTGGGGGATGATTACCAGGTACTACTACTCCTACCTCTCAATGGGTAGGGAGAAATTGGGGATCCAGAACAGAATATTCAACAAGGACCAGTCACCTTTAGACCTGGTAGCGGATCAGGTCATGAACTGCACGCTGAGCGAAGGGCTGCTGCCGCCAGTGGCCTTGGACAGGCCAATCGTCTCTGCCAACCTAAACAATTCCAAGGTCGTTCTTATTACCTCCCTTTACTCCCAATTCTCTGACCGAATCAGGAATATGTATTGGGAGCACGCCAACAAGGGCGGCGATGTGGTTAGCGTCCACCAGCCAAGTCACGAGGAATGGCAGCAGACGGGATCGGAGAACTATGACCTTAACGTGTGGGCGGAGATTTATCTCCTCAGCTTTACCGACGTTCTGGTGACGAGCACCGGGTCAACGTTCGGGTACATTGCACAGGGGCTCGCTGGTATACGACCCTGGATCCTTGTAAGACCTTACGGCGGCAAGATGCCGGAACCCGCCTGCGTGAGGGAGACGTCCATGGACCCTTGTTTCCACTCGCCGCCATGGTATGACTACAAGTCATGCAAGTCATTCTCCGACCCGGGAAAGGAGATCTCCTACATGACGCACTGTAGGGACGTTCCCGACGGCATCAAGCTGGTTGCCCCGACGGACTGAGTAATAGACGTCATTATGAGTGGCCATTCAATTTCTTATGCCGCAGAGCACGAGGTGATCTCACGCATTTGACGCATCTGATCAACGCTACGTTGGGTTTAACTAGGACAAAATATTTAAGATATTATGTTGTGTCCACATGTACGACATGAAAGGGAAGAGCTTGGTGGGGGCTGTGTTGGGGCAGTGGGGGCATGCGAGTTGGGTGCTGAGTGTGGACAAGAGCCCATATACTACTGCCATTGCCATGGGTTCTAGCAATGGAATGGTGAAGTTGTAAGATTGATAAACTTAATTTAGAGGTTAAATCTGCCATTGCCATTGTCGTGATTTAATCATGTTCATGTAAATAATATTTATAAAACCTCACTTTTCTATTTAAGATATTAAGGGTCGATCTTTAGGTAGTGTGGATAATAAGAATAAGAATTTTATTTATTTTATTTCTTATATATGTAGATATACTTGAGATTGTGAAGGGTGAAATTAAATTTTAAAAAGGGTGAAGACAAGATAAATGAAAAATGTGGCAAAGGAAGGAGAATGAATTTAACATAATAGAATGATAGAATAAATGGTAAAATTAGTTTGAACTAAGAGTTAATCTATTCATAGAGAAGGTTACAAGGATGCCTCAGATTTAGGTCTTGCACAAATTTCGTTTTGCATCAGTCTTAAGTCAAGTGGTGCTTGATTTACGATGATCTTGATGCACTCTAGGTAGTTTCTTCTTTATGATGACCTATAAATTTGACTACAACATATCGAATCACTGATTATTTGGCCGTCGTTCTTTGCAGAATGAGAAATGACTAGGCCTTGATTTCTTTAATTTTTTTTTCAGTTAACCATTGCTAGAGAGAGGCCAAAAAGTACCCTCCAAGAGGGAGATGAGATGTCTTAATCCTTTGGATAATTGGGACCCTCTACTAGATAGTTATAATTAATAATCGACTCTCTTGATGGACAGTCTAAATTTTTTCATGAAAATAGTGCTCTAATCCTTCTCTTGATCTCCTCTTAAGACATTGATAAGTTTTCATTATCATAACTTAATAATTAATAAATAATATATTTTTAGCCTTAAATCATGATAAATAAACTTATATTTGTGTTAAATTATAAAAAAATAATTTTCAATTAATGAATATGAAATTTTAACTAATTATGTGATTTTATATAATTTTTATAATCTTGTTTTTGAGATAAATGAAGAAAAAAAATTAAAATAAAAAGATAGAAAGGGAGAGGGGACGCCAATTAGTCTAGCTCGCAAGTGGCTTGAGCAGCTATGGTCTAATGAGGGCACGTGCATGCCACTCCCCTTTCACATCACTAGTGGCCAGCTAATTGTGAGGCAAAAAGAGGTCATACATGAGGGATAAAGGGACTCATTACTTCTAAAACCCATACTACTATATATTCACCCAAAACTTCAGCATACAATTGATGTGGGACTAAGCCTACATCACCTTCTTCTAAATGGTGTAAATTATTTCAATACCTAAAACACCTCTTAGTTATAATAATGATATACCATGATAATGTCACTTTATAAGGATATTAAAATATTTTTTTCACTCTCTCTCATGTAGGCAGACGACCAATATAGGTTTGAATCCTACTAGATCAAAAACTCATATTTTTATCTAATTAAATCGTGACTTTCATGTAGATTGTCGGTGAAGGATTAAGCCACCAGAATCACTCAATCATCGATGAAAATCTCGTCAATGTGATTTGCAGAATATTGTTACTAAAATTACTAAATGATTCACAATAAAAGATTGTGAATTCATCAAGTAAATTATCTCTAATTGAAGAATAAATTGTCGTCTAGAAGAAGACGATCTGCCAAAAGATGAGTCATCATCTCTTGAGAGCATACTAGATTTGATGAAGAGCATCCTCTTGCTACATAGACTTGAAGATGAAGCTTCTTAACACACGCCTCACCTCTATTTAGCTCCTCTCTATTAGGTGACAATTATTAGAGAGCTACAAAAGTCATGTTTTTCCACTCTACCAGGTGACATTTACTAGGGACGATTCGATGACTCATTTCATCGATTTCTAAACTTCGCAAGAAGAAGTAGAGATTACTCATGTTGTCTTTGTCCAAAGACAACCTTCAAGACTGTGGATACTACATGACAATCCTCTTGAGCACTCAAGATTTCTGTGCATTGTCGACACATCGCCTCCGTGATGCCAAAACTCTATTTTACTATTTTTTAATTAGTTTAACTTCTACCATCATTTTCTAGACTTTGAAAGAGATCCAACAAATGCCTTGGTCGTCCATGTCTAATGAGAGCTTTTGAGGCCATGGACATTGTTTGATGACCCTTCCGAACACATTGAATTTCAGTGATTACTATCATGAGGTTGGAACTCTACTTTTCCTACTTTTAACTTAATTCTCGCTTCATTTAATGATAATGTGTGTGATTTCCACTTTTTAAATTATTCTTTGTTCAATTACATTCTTCTAATTTTTACAAATCTTAATTTGACCAATCAAATTGTTTATAATCACTTACGTAAGAATTGTTGAGTGAAACTCTATTTCCACCCTATTTGTGTTCCTCAAGTGTTGACATCATCTTGATATCCGCACCCCTCATTTCCTTTTTTGTGAATTTTAAATATATTTCATTTTTATTTCATAATCTAAAATTTATAAAAAAATTAATTCTTTGAAGAAAATTATGAAATATTACCTAATATTATATTATATCCTTGTAATCAACTTGAATTTTTTTTACTATTTTGGAAACTTTTATTGAGTTATAATTAATATATTTATTCAAAAATACTTCTAAATATCTAAAAATTAATATTTTCTAATTTTATAAATTTTAAATTTACATAATTTATTATAGAACAACTAAGTCATGTGAGACATAAGATAAGTGGCCTAGATATCTCTTGATAACTTTTTTAAGTCTTAATGGACTAAGCTAAGGTGACACTCATTCTTAGACTCATAAACTTATTAAATCAGCCCTTTCCATAAGACTTGGACTTTTCCTTGGGCTTCTTCTATTACTTTTAACTTATAATAAGAGCTAACTTAAGTCCTTATCAAAAAAATGTGAAAAAATCACCACTTGCTTCAACCAAAACAAGTGGAATCAGTCTCATAATAAAATAAATAAAATAATATATATTATGACTTAAATGATATAATATTATGAATGTCATAATGAGTCGATAACACATATATAATTATATTATCTACTCATTAATTAGTATATATATATAAGATATTAATACATAGATGTAACTATTAATTTATAATTATCAGAGACTCAACATGAGGGCCACTATGTTGATGATGAGCAACCACGGAGATTTGGTATGAGTTATGGAGTATCAAACACTCGGTGATGACAAAAGCATCTCTTTGTACGATTATATATGAGCACAACAAGGAATGGGGTTATTCTACGTCTTTTCCCCCTCTCTTCCCTCCACCTCAACCCATGGAATACTGCATAAACTGTTGTTCACTACACTGTATCAGACTTCTTTTTTGTGAAGAACAGCAGCTTAAAAGGAAATTTGATGTATATTTCAGAGACATATTTTTCTAGGTAGCTGATTGCATTCAAGTTCGCTGAAATTTCTCTCATAGTAGAGACAACAATTTTTTTTATTATTTTCCCATCCAATCATTCCTAATTTATTGTGTTTATGTGGCAGCAGGTCAATGAATATAGTTGGTGTAGGGAGTTGCACTACCAAGGGTTGAAGATTGTTTGTTATAAACTGCCCACTAGAAGAGGACCTTAGTGACTGTAATTGTGTTGATAAATAGAGATAGAAACTGTATTTCTATTGACACATTGCCAGACAAAATGAATGATATGAAAATCAGTGATGATGAGGTATGTTTTATCATCTTCTTTATTCCTCTCTCCCTATCATCTTATTCTAACTTTGGAGAAAAATGTATATTGCATTAGAACCTAGACATGTTCATTAAACATCAGTGTTGATGTCAACATTGCAAGAAGCTGAGCCAACTGTAGTTGATGGAAATGGCACAAAGATGGATCATGTCATTGTGACAAATTTGTGGTGGGAATGAGTAGTCTAAACATGTAAAGTTTCTTCTTTAGGGAAAGAAGTTCTGCTACCCTGTTGATCCATTTTAACTATATGTACCCAATGGGGTTAGATTGTCTTGGAAGGTTTTCATGATGTAATTGTTGGGCTGTGTCTTCTATAAGATGCTTTCTAGTCAGTTTTATTTTGGTAGCTTAGTATAGTTATTTCTTTTCTATCATTTTAATATTTTTTAATGTTAGTTTTTGTTCATGGCAGATTAGCATGACCTAATCATTGTAATTTTTTTAAAACGTAGAAATAGGATTAGATTGATTCATTGGCATCCCGTTTGTGGACTGACGTGACTCAGTCGTTGTATGTTAAATCACGCAAATATAAAATTTATAAAACTAGAAAATACGAATTTTCGGATATTTAGAAGTATTTCTAAATAAATATATCAATTATAATTCAATAAAAATTCCAAAAATAGCGGTAATTTTCCAGGTCGATCACAGGGATGTAATATAATATCTGGTAATTATTCAGAATTTTTCTCAATGAGTACGATTTTCTTACGAATTTTATACTAGGAAATAAAAAGGAAATATATTTAAAATTCACAAAAAAAAAGGAAATAAGGGTGCGGACGTCAGGATGACGTCAGCGCCCGGCGAACGCGAATCAGGCGGAAACAGAGTTCCGCCCGGCGATTCTTACGTAGGCGATTACAGACGACTCAATTAATCAAATTAAGATCTGTAAAAGCCGGAAGAATCGTAGTTGAACGAAGTATAGTTTGGTAAATAAAAATCAACAAAGTATCACTAAATGAAGCGTAAATTAAATTGAAAGCAGGAAAACAGAGTTCCGGCGTCGCGACGGCGATGCGTCGGCGATGCACCGGAATCCTGAGCGTTCGGGAGGATCGTCGTGCAGTGTCCACGGCCTCGAAGGCTCTCCTTGGACAAAGACGACGTGGGAAATCTCTAGATAAAGCAGGAAAACAGAGTTCCGGCGTCGCGACGGCGACGCGTCGGCGATGCACCGGAATCCTGAGCGTTCGGGAGGGTCGTCGTGCAGTGTCCACGGCCTCGAAGGCTCTCCTTGGACAAAGACGACGTGGGCAATCTCTAGATCTTCTCGCGAAGTCTAGAGACCAATGAAGTGGGTCGTCGAATCGTCTCCGGCGGCTGTCACCCGGCGGAGCGGAAAAACGGCGACTTTGCGGCTCTCCGGCGGCTGTCACCCGACGGAGAGGGGCTGGATGGAGGTGAGGCGCGTGTTAGGGAGCTTCATCCTCAGGTCCGCGCAGCAAGAGGAGGCTCTTCATCGCATCTGGTACGCTCTCAGGAGGTGGCGACTGGTCTCCCGGCGGATCGTCCTCTTCCCGACGACGGCTTGTTCGTCGATCAATCGGAGATGATTTACTCGATGGATTGCGATCCTTTTATCGCGAATCGTTCAGAAATTTTAGTAGCAATGCTCCGCGAATCGCGTTGACGAGATTTTCGCCGATGATCCAGCGATTCCGGTTGCTTAATCCTTCACCGGCGATCTGCAGGAAAGTCGCGATAATCAGTTAAAAATATATGAATTTTGACTCTGGGAGGATTCGAACCCGCGGCGGTCGCCCGCCCCTGAAGAAGGTGTGACGCGGGTTTAGTCCCACATCGGTTGTGCGCGGATTATTCGGGCGAATATATAGTAAAGTTAGTAGGCAAAATCCTCTCGCGTGTACGACCACTCCTTGCCCCACAGCCGGCTGACCACCGGTGACGTGGAAGGGGAGTGGCGCACACGTGCCCCCTATCGATCCAAGCAAGGTGCTCGAGCCCCTGCTCGCGGCTACTCCCCGACTGCGCTTCCGACCCGCTTGCGGGCCCGGCTGGCCGGCGGGTCTCCCTATTTTGCAATATTTTTATTTTTATTTCTTGTTCTTCGTTTATCTCAAAACTAAGACTGTAAAAATCGTATAAAATCACATCATTACCCAAAAATTCACGTTAATCAACTGAAAACCACTTTTCATGCTTTAACACAAATATAAGTCTATTTATCATGAGTTAAGGCTAAAACTATATTATTTACTAATTATTAACTCATGATAATGAAGACTTATCATGGACTGTTGGTAATCATACATGATAGGGCAGGTGGATCAATGTAGGGAACAGTGTAGAGGCAAATCCAGGGGAAGGAACATGGAATTGATCAAGAACAAGAACCTTGATAAAGATAAAAACCAAACAACATCAGGCCTGGCCTCATTGTAATTTAAATCACATAAATTTAAAATTTATAAAACTAGAAAATTCTAATATCTAAATTTTAAAAATTATTTCCAAAGAAATATATTAATTTAAAATCAAAGAAGGAGATCCAAAATAGTGAGAATTTCCCAACTTGATCACAAGGATGTATAATAATATTAGATATATTTTCAAAAATTGTCCTGAATTTTTTTTGTATAACAAAAGAGATTTGTAACAATAATTTAAGAAGGTTTAATTAATGAAATCAAGAGTTGAAAGTGACTAATCAATAAGAATAGACTAAAGTTTAGTTTCGAAAATTTAACTAAACTATTATTAATTTAATAAATAAATGACGTTAAATAATATAATTAGAGCTTCAATGTCACAATAGTGATCATTAGAACTCTATATGTTCAAAAGATCTCTAGGCAGTGTTAACCTCAATGGCTCTCTTTGGATGTGTAGGGCATGAGCACTCTTTGGATTCTTGCGTGAAGTTTAGAGGACGAAGTTAGGTGGTGATAAAGTAGATCTTCGGCAGCTGCCACCGAGTGGAGTAGAGGTGAAGTAAACATTAATGGAGCTGGTGTGTAGCTCTAGGAGCTTCTTCCTTAGGTATGTGCTATAAGAGGAGGTTAGATCACAAATGGAACACTTTGAAGAGACTGCAATAAGTCTCTTGGTGAATCTCTCTATTCTTGATGATGGTTTGCATGTTAACAAACATGATATGAGATTTCCTCTAGAAGCTTGCAGTTTTTGCTATCCAAATCTTTGGTCAAAGGCTACTAAAGATCTTTGTTTTTTGTTGATGAAGATTTCATTGATGATAGACCATCTCTCTAGCTCTTTTTGTTGGCTGTTTCTCGATAGAAAAAGCATGGAGTCAAATAGAGAAAATCTTTTGATGTCGGTGAACTTTGAAGCTCTAGCAGTCTTGTGGAATTTGGTACATAGAAAATGTTAAATAGTTTCCCATTATACCTTTAAAAAAGTAAAAACACAAACGCTTTACCTTCTCTTTATGCAGTGGTTCTTCTACATAAAGTCGTATTGATTTTTGGGGAACTTTAGATCTATATAAGTTTAGGTTTTCTTATGCATATGAGTTCTTTATCCTAAAAAAAAAATGATTACGACTACTTGAGGAGAAGGGATAGTAAGTGGTTCCACCCAAAACATGAGTGATGAGATCATACCTTACCCTACACACTAATTTCCCCCTAGTGACATAGAAGAGCAGCATGCACACATGCTCTAAGTAGGTCATTGAGCTATGTGAGCCTAGCTTATGGTTCCTCTCAACTTGAGTTGCCCACTAGAGCAGTCCTCTAGCTAGAGGGTTAACCACCGAGTGTTGGTTAGCTAATGGGTTCTTCTCTTTTTTAATATTTTATTTTACTTTAACTTGAAAAATATGAATATAAATCATATAAATTCATATAATTAATTAAAAATTAATATTCATCATGTAAAACCTATTTTTCTTAATTTAAAGTAAATATTAGATTATTTATCATGATTTAATATATAATAGAGACATTAGGGACTATAAACAACATGATTGAGTACTCTGTAAGTTATTTCTAATGCTTGATTTTTATTTCTTAATTTGTTTCATCTAAGTAGTTTGTTATTTTAACTCATAGAAGAAAATATAATTTTATATATATTTTTATAATGTTAAAAGTTAAAGAAATAATATATTTCTTCTTAGATATATTTTTATATAATTAATAAAATATTACTACTTATTATAATATGCTGCAAACAACCATCTTTGTGGCCCATGGCCTGTGCTTGGATTGAGGACTTGTTAGAAGAATTTGGAAGTGTTAGAAGAAATGTCATCCTTATTTAAGGATGGCATCACATTTTATAGGTAATGTATCAAATGTCAAGCTGCCATTAATATTCAAAAAGGAAATGTAATACCTTTAAAATCAATAATTATTGTTGAAATTTTTGATGTTTGGGGCATTGATTTTATGGGACCCTTTCCTTCATCTCGAGGCTATGAATATATTTTGTTAGCTGTTGATTATATGTCAAAGTGGGTAGAAGTTATTCCAACAAGGACAAATGATCATAAAGTAGTTACCTAGTTTGCCTAAAGAAATATTTTTACATCATTTAGATGCCCTAAAGCAATAATTAATGATGGGAGAAGTCATTTCACTAATCATCACTTTAGAATGTTGCTTAGAAAATATGGTGTTGATCATAAGATAGCTGCCCCATATCATTCTCAAATAAATGGTCAAGTAGAATTTGCCAATAGAGAAATAAAAAATATTACAAAAAGTTGCCTCTCCTAATAGAACCTAATAGAAAAGATTGGTCTGAAAAATTAAATGATGCATGATGGGCATATAAGGCAATAGACAAAGCTCCTTTAAGTGCATTACCTTATAGATTAGTTTATGAAAAATCGTGTCATTTATTAGTGAAAATTCAACACTGTGCATATTGGGCTATTAGGAAGCTTAATATGGATACAAAAAAATCAGCTCATAAGAGATTTTTACAATTGCATGAATTAGATGAAATTCATACTAAAGCTTATGAGAATTCTCTGATTTATAAGGCTAAAGTTAAAGATTTCTATGATAAACATACTGATAAGTTTTCATTATCATGAGTTATTAATTAGTAAATAATATATTTTTAGCCTTAACTCATGATAAATAGACTTATATTTGTGTTAAAGTGTGAAAAGTGGTTTTCAATTGATTAACGTGAATTTTTGGCTAATTATGTGATTTTATACAAATTTATATAATTTTTATAATCTTATTTTTTAGATAAAAAAAAGAAAAGAAAAAAAGCAAAATGGGGGGAACCCATCAGTCAGCTAGGCCCAAAAGTGGGTTAGAAGTACAGTCGGGGAGGAGTCGTGAGTAGGGGCTCAAGTGGTTAAGACTGATGGGGATATGTGTGCACCACTCCTCTTCTACGTCACTCGTGACTAGCCGATTGTGGGGCAAGGAGTAGTCGTACATGTGGGAGAAAAATACTCATTGCTTGCAAATGTAATATTACTATATATTTGCCCAAAACTTTGACGCACAAATGATGTGGGACTAAACTACATCACACCTTCCCTCAAAAGACTTCAATGATTTTAATACTTAAAATATCCTTAATCTATAATAGAGATATACCATGATAACATCACTTGATGAGAGCATTAGAAAACTTATTTCAATATCTCTCATGTAGGCGGGCAACCGGCATGGGTTCAAATCCTCCTAGAGTCAAAACTTGTATTTTTATCTGACTATCACAACTTTCTTACAAATCATTAGTGAAGGATTAAGTTGTTAGAATTGTTGGATCATTAGCAAAAATGTCATCAACGTGATTTGCGAAGCATTATTACTGAAATTACTAAATAATTCGTGATAAAAGGATCACGAATATATTGAGTAAATGATCTTTGATTGATCGATGAACAAGTCGTCGTTGAGAAGAGGACGATCTGCTAAGAGACGAGTTGCTATCTCTTGAGAGCGTATTGAATGTGATGAAGAGCCTCCTCTTGCTGTACGAATCTGAGGATGAGGCTCTTTGACACGTGCCCCACCTCCATCCAGCTCCTCTCTGTCGGGTGACAGCCACTGGAGAGCTGCAAAGTCGTAGTTTTTCTACTCCATTAGGTGATAGCCGCTGGAGACAATTTGATGACTCATTTCATTGATCTCTAGACTTTGTAAGGAGATCTAGAGATCACTCACATTGTCTTTGTCCAAGTAGAACCTTTGAGACTGTGGACATTACACGACGATCCTCCCGAATGCTTAGGACACTAGTGCATTGCCAACGCATTACCGCCGCAATGTCAAAATTCTATTTTTTTGCTTTCAACTTAATTTTCGCTTCACTTAGTGATAATTTGTGTGATTTAAATTTATCAAGCTATACTTTGTTCAATTATAATTCTTTCAACTTTTATAGATTTTAATTTGATTAATTAAATCTTCTGTAATCACTTACATAAGAATCACCAAAAGATGACATCATCTTAATGTCCGCACACTTATTTCTCTTTTTTGTGAATTTTAAATATATTTTATTTTCATTTCCTAATATAAAATTCATAAAAAATAGTATTCTTTAATAGAAATTCTAAATAATTATCTGATATTATATTACATCCTTATAATTGACTTGGAAAATTATCACTATTTTTAGAAGTTTTATTAAATTATAATTGATATATTTGTTTAGAAATATTTCTAAATACTTGAAAATTGGTATTTTCTAGTTTTATAAATTTTAAATTTGTGTAATTTACTATACAATGACTATGTCATGTCATATATTATTAGAAAAAAATATAAAATTAGGACAAAAAAGTTTGATTGTATAATACTAGATTAAAATTATTTCTTAGAAAATTAAGATCCAAGTGGGATGGTCCATATCTTAATTGAGACTATTGATCAATATGGGGCAACAATAATCAAAGATATGAAAACAGGTATAAGTTTTAAAGTTAATGGGTATCAACTCAAAACATACTTAGAACTTGAACAAGAAAAAGAAATTGAGAGGGTAGATTTGTTAAAATTTATCTAACCTTACATGTGTTTGGTTGAAGACATTAAACTTGGCGCTAGTTAGGAGGCAACCAAATAATTTTATTTTTGTAGAGTTTAATTTGTGTTTTATAGTAAATAAATTTTAGAATTTCATTGCTCCTTATTTCATTTCAGTTGTACTTCATACATTTTTGTTTTATTATGTTATACTTGCTTGCTGATTTATGAGTATATATCTTTTGCTTCACAATTTAATTTGATAACATATTTCATGTCATTGAGGACAATTCCAATTTTAATTGGGGGGAGCAAAGAAAATTCAGTTAGATTTATTTCATGAATAATTAGCATAGAAGGAAAATTTAAAACTAGTACTGATGAATTCATGGATTTCTATATTTTTCTTATAAGATGGTAAATTCATTTAAGTATGAAGGTTAAAATGTGTTAGATTTAGTGACTTCAATTGATAGAAAATAAAAATATAGTACATTGAAGGATGAAATATTTTCAGAATATATTTTGATCATCATTATCCATATGTTATGAATTCGCATTTTGAATTAGTAGGAATTATGAAGTTGGATGTGATGAGGTTGAAATTGTATAAAAATTATTAGAAGCTAGACATTCTTAGTATGAGGAATCCTAAGTAGTTGACCATTTGTGTTATATATATTTATATATAAAATCATCATATGGTAGAGTGTAAGACCCAACTAACAAAAAATATATATATGAGGATTTCTCACTTGTCCCATAGAGACTTTTCTATATGTGAGACTAGGACCAGCTAAAAAAAAAAAAGAGTGAGTGCAAATGCTTCTATGGGGATTTTCCACTTGTCTCATGGAGGCTTTTCACATGTGAGATTTAGACATGAAAAAGAAGCTATATGGGGAAAGTTATCTGCCTATAATGTTTATAATAAAGAAAAGAAAAAAAAAAGAGAAGAGATAAATAGAATATGCTATTTGGGTGCACGAATCTAGAAGAAAAGGGTAAAGATAGTTTGA